GACCGAAGAGGGCAAGGCACTAAGGTTGGCCCTTATTCAATCGCTGACCAAAAGGAGAGCCACCCTAATGGAGAAAGTCCCTACTCTTGCACTTCCACTTCTGTTCTCCCCTTACCTCAAGTCGACTGTCCAATGTACATTTGTCGAGCCTCCTGTAACTGAGACCCGCCGAGCAGGCAGACCACCAAAGACTGATACATGTATTGCAAGTAGACCAGAAGTCTATGCCACACTGTCTGGGGACAAAGTCAACATTAATTTGACACCCTCGATATTGTCGTCAATGTTGAAGATCATCGAGAGAAGTTCGCCTGTTGCGCCACTGGTGGCACCTAGTCAAACTCAATCGACAAGTTCTATAACCTCTGATGCACCAACAAATAACGCCTTTGGCAGCAGGCTCTTCAAAACATCATCAATCCCCGCTGCCAGCAGCCAAGGTATAGCCACGTTGCATTCACTCAAGATTGAACTGAACAAATTCCTTTCCGAGCCATATGAACTGTCAACTCAAGAAAAGGATGCACAGTATTCAGATCCGTCCATATTTTGGAGCGACACCAATAACATCAATCGATTTCCACTTCTCTACCAACTTGCCAAACACTATTTAGTAGTGCCTGCTTCGTCAGTTCCGTCAGAAGGTGTATTCTCAAAGGCCAACTATATATTTTCCGATCGCCGACAATCAATGTCATCATACCATCTAGCGGCCTTCGTTTTATGCTATTGCAACCAACACCTGTTGTCTAATAAACAATGATAATCATTGTTTTGTTTGTATTATAACTATGTTTGTGTCATCTAACTCATCACCAACCTCTCTACCAACCCCAATCAACCGGTGGGGTTTGGTTGCGTATTTTCACTTCAAACCTCAAACCGGTCAAGGTTGCAAGCATCCACTCCATTCGGCGAGGACCATTGATCAGGAGAAATCAAAGATCTTGATGAATGGCAGACTATGCAGACACAATCACTGCCACTCTCCGAGAGAGAAGTTTGACAGGAGCAACCTTGCCAAGCATGAGAATAGGCCACACAAGCTATGTCAACCAAATTCCTGTCCTGTATGTCTGGGCCTTCCAATGCCCAGGATAAGGTCGAGCTCGAGTCCAGCTGTCGGGGTTGTCGTCCCCCTGATACCCGATACCGATACCGATGATGTTCTCCAACCTTTAGATATGTGTACAACAACAATAGTCGATCCATTGGACGACATTCCGACAACATCTACAACATCTACAACATCTACAACTTCCGCAACTTTGGCAGAGCGTGATCGATATGAGTCGATTGAATGCTCGTCACCAGATGATGACATGGGTTCGCCTCCTGCTTCCAGCGACTCTGAATCACCTCCTGCTTCCAATGTTATGGATGAAGGTGATACTACTGAAGAGGATACCTATGAAGAGGATGAGGGTGACGATCAAGACCTCCCGATGTCCACGATGATGACGACAATAAAAACGACGACTCCTGATTCGCATAGTAGGTGGCAGGAGTTGATTGTTTATGATGTTGCTGAAACGTTGTCAAGTTTGAGTGATACCCCAAGGGCAGCGGTAACTCATTCGCAAAGTCATCTTCAACATAATAATAGTGGTAGTAATAGCAACAAATCGATCAGTAATAGTAATAATGTATCTGTACAAACAAGAAATGAGAGTACATGTATTCAGGATGTAGGATACCATGGTGATTCTTCGGCTCTTCATGAAGGACCAGGGCCATGATCATTGACCCCACACGGATACTCCTGTTTTGTACAATCCCTTCGCAATGCCAATGCCACTCATCACTCTTTCTCGAGAGGGCAGCAGACCAGCTACATACCAAACATGCCACTCAAACAAGGCTCTCTTTCAATGAATGGTGTCGGCCCACAAAAACCGAATTTGATCAAAAACATCCCAATTATCTCTTTCAGTCAGTGCAGATGCCTTCATCACCCATTACAGTTCAACTAACATCTGGCCTGTAGGTCGTCGATTGAAACTCATGAACAGACCCATTCCTCATCGGTGTTTGAGATATTTAAATACTTTCATTCACTAAACTCATCAACAACAAGGCAAGGTTGTTGTTTAAAAAATTAAAGGGAAGGGGAGGATGGTATGGTGGCTCATGTGAATGTGGATGTCCGTTGCAGTGTAGACTGAGTGTACACTCTCAGCCAGTCAGTCAGTCTGTCATACAACAAAGAATCTTGGTCAAACATACATACACATAATCAATCATTCTTGATCACTCACTCACACACGATCAATCAAATCAATCAATCAATATTATATAAAGAATGGGAGGAAACTTATCAACTGAATTGAAGTCTTCCAAGTACAGGAAGAGAGAGGTGGTGGACCTGCGAAAGATGAACATCGATAAGCTGCCACCAACTATTGGCACATTGCTGTGCAAGGAGTTGCTGCTCAGCGAGAACGACTTGACCACGCTGCCAGAGGAGATTGGCAAGCTGGGCAACATCGAGATCCTCGACGCCTCCAAGAACAGAATCACGTCGATCCCACTGGAGGTCGGCCTGCTCAAGACCCTCAAGCAGCTGTACCTCAGCAACAACAAGCTGTTCTGCACACCGCTGCCCGCCAAGATCGGCGACCTGCGCGGCCTCACCAAGCTGGACCTGTCGGGCAACCAGCTGGACGAGCTGCCCATGGAGCTGTCGCGTCTCGAGAGCCTCGAGTACCTTGACCTGTCGGACAACCAGCTGCAGTCGTTCCCATTGGAGCTCGGCAAGTTGCACGAGCTGCAGACATTCAACATCAGCAAGAACTCGCTCAAGGTGTTGCCCAACGAGATCTCGGGCTGGATCCGTCTGAAGGAGCTCAACGTGTCGGCCAACCAGCTGATCACCCTGCCTAACCAAATCTCGCTGCTAGGCCAGCTCAACACCCTCAACGTCAGCTCCAACAAGCTGCAGCAGCTGCCCGAGGAGCTGTCATCCATGGTGTCACTGACCGAGATCGACCTTAAGGTGAACCCACCCCTGCAGTACGTGCCACCCCTGGCCAACCTGCGCTCGCTTAAGAAGCTCTCGCTCAGGAACCTCCAGATCAGCCATTTGCCTATGGGCATCGGCTTGCTCAACGAGCTCCAGGAGCTGGACCTTCGCGACAACCCCCAGCTCAAGGAGATCCCCTACGACATTGGCACCCTGATCAACCTGCAGCGTCTGGACCTCTACGGAAACAACATGAAGATCGTACCACGCGAGATTGGCAACCTGGTCAACCTGCAGTCGCTCGACATCCGCAACAACATGCTGCTGCTCGACAACATCCCCACAGAGATCGGTCGTCTCACCAACCTCAAGAAGCTGTCGCTCTCGGGCAACAAGCTTGTTGCTTTGCCCGCCGAGGTGTGCAACATTCGCGGCCTCAAGGAGCTCGAGTGTGCCAGCAACCAGCTGCAGGCCATCCCTCAGGAGATTGGTAACCTCACTCAGTTGACCAAGATCAACTTCTCTGCCAACAAGTTGACTGCCATCCCACCAACATTTGGTAACCTCACTGAGCTTACTGTATGTATCCATCCATCTCATCGCCAGCCCCTCTCGCCTCGCCAACACTTACTAACCACACGGCAACACGGAACATGCGGCAACAAACGGCAACACATAACAACTTTAACAGATTATGGACATTAAGAGTAATGAGATTTCTGAGTTGCCAACAACATTGGGCGGATTGAAGTCTATTAACAAGATCGATTTGAGTCACAACATGCTGACAGAGCTGCCTTGGGAGTTTGGCGAGTTGCTCACACTCACCGTGTTGGACGTCAGCCACAACCCATTGACCCTGCCACCCAACCCAGTCGTTATGAAGGGTACCGAGGCCATCATCCAATGGCTGCAAAAGAACGAGAAGGAGGGTCGCAAGGGCAAGGTGTCCGGTCTCGAGTTGCAGAAGAGTCAAGAGGACAAGTAATCAACCAATTAACCAATCAATCAATCAAAACAACATATCGATATCACTTCACTGCTTGCGCGCAGTATATTATACATAACCTCGTCTGCCCAACCTTTCGAGGTTGGGTATTCCATCCTGTCCAGTCCTCGTCATCGCCCGTCGTCAGGCTTCAATGTAACATCAATCATTCATTCCAATCATCCATTCATTCATTCACTCTTTCAATCCAAGTTTGTAATAAACTAATTATTCTGTTTAAATCAATTCTCTGTTTGTGCTGATGATGTCATCGAAGTCACACTGTAATGCCATCTCGGGGTATGAACATTGAACCTTATTCCAACAACTCGAAGGGGTGTGTTGTGGTCAGCTTCAAGAGAACTTGCTTTGTTGATATAGTCCAATTCTCAATTATCTGGATAATTATATATATCCTAATCAATAATAATAATGATGGAAGATATAGTTCATAATGAATTCCTAACTCAATAGCACCATATGCAAGGTAGGTAAATAATAATGTTCCATCGATAAGATGTTAGCATGTATGTTGTTTTAACAATGTATTGCAGTGAATCAATACAATTCATGTTAGGGGAACTAGAAGTGGAACAATCCATTGATGACATATATGAGATAGTCTACCAAAGAAATGAAAGACTAATGGATGAAATTGTCAATCTTTGTTCGGATCCTTCCAAGAGATCAATAGCTCATAAAGAGTCGCAGAGACTAAGGTAAGTAGGATCGATCAATCAGCCCCACATACTACTCCAATCTAATATAATCTAAACTATATATATATTATAATAGAAGGGGATCTAATTCCATCAAGTCAATTATAGATATGAGTGTCAATACAAGGATGACCCAGGAAGAATCAAAAGATATACTTAAGTTTACTCTCAAATTAATGATGGATTCACTTTCAGAATAAAATAACTTACTGGTCTGTCTCTTATACAACTGGTGATTGGATCATTATTTGCAACCTAGGTCATAACATTAGTCCTTGAAGCCAACGAAAGTGTCGCCAAACTCATGTGATCGTGTCGTTGACTTGTCTTGAAACAATGTTGTGAGGGTGCCACCTCTGCATTATTCAGGAAAAAGGAATAGTTCAACACCTCCTCTCCCCCACACGAGGTTCTTCTCATTCCCACCATCCACCTCACCTTTCAATTTACTCTGGCGTGGAGTGGCGTTGTTGTCAGACAGGTCGCAATATATAATATATTCATTCATCATACATCATATACAGATAATACATTCATTCATTCATTCATTCATTCATTGCACATAGCTATTTATCAATCAATCACACACAAAGAGTAGCATATACTATTCTCTCACAATCCACACTCATTCATTCATTCTCTATCAAGGTTCACGACGACGTGAACAAACAAGTTATTTAAGGTCACAGACAGAAGAAGAAGAAGAAGAAGAAGAGGAAGAAGAAGTGGATTAAGAAGGACAGGATCTCAACATCATCATCAACAACAAAAGAAAGACAGGTCACTTTGGATTGATTGCAGTATCAGAAGGGCTTGTGACCAAAGATGATTGTACTATTCCTATTGATTATGGTTGCTGTGGCAGTCGCAACTACACTATTACTGCATCGATATATATCATTTAAAAAGACTCCATTGTATGTTCGATTCATTTACTTCATTCGTTCGGTCATTCAATGAACTGACACAATTAATCAATCAATCAATCAAACATATAGATATGTATATATTATGACATGGATTGGCTGGTTCATGTGCTTTGGTATCGTTGTCTTGGTACCAGTCGATATATTAGCCGTATGTATATGCTTGGCTTGCACGCCCATGACTCCAGCTGGACTTGGACTGACACATGCCCAACCAACCAACTTTTAGACCAAGTATAGAGAGTGTACAGAGATTACACCACCACATGAATGCCCGAATGAACCTTGGACATACGTATCGAATGAGTTCCTCACTCGCTTCTATCAGACCTTTTACTTTGGAACATTGCTGCTCACATGGTTGGTCTATCCATTCTTGGGATCATTCGTCTTGGCTGGAGACTTTAGGATCACGGAGAGGATCCATCGAGCAATCCGTGAGAATGTATACATCTATCTCGGATTGGGTCTCGTTGGCTTTGTCATCATGATCTATCTTCTGGCCGTCAAGAACCTCGACTGGAAGTCAATGGTTGGTCTTGCCATGGGTGCAGCCAATGCCTGGGGTATAGTCCTAGTCATTGTACTCATGGGTTATGGGTATGTTATGTTTGAATGGATCACCGCGGCGAGACGTGAACGCTTCATGCTTACCCAACCTACTCAATCATTCAATCGATCAGACTTGTGGAAACACCAAGATACTTCTGGAATGTGGCAAATAGACAGATAACATTGAAGCATCTTCAGTTCAAGGTTGCAGACTTGTCGCAGCAGAGGAAGAATGCACATGATGAGCTGCTGACGACGATGAAGCAGATTAAGAAGGTCAGGGAGAAGACGAGGAAGTTCGACCCGTACGAGAAGTACCTCGAGTCGATCATCGAGCAGTGTCCGCCCGAGTACCACGACATTCAGAACGGAGAGGGCACGGGCGAGATAACCTACGCGACGTTGGTGGCCCTCAACACTCGCCTAAAGACCGCCGTCCAGAACCAGAACAGGACCGAGTCATTGTACGAGCAGTGCGTCCTCGAGGCCTTTGGCCTGGAGGACATCATCAGCAGCTCGTCCAACCCCGGCCGCACCGTGCAGTGGAGCCACAAGGCCCCTCGCACTGGTCGCTTCGCCAACCTTATCAACAGGTTCGAGTGGGTCTGGTACAACTACCTGCAAATACCTACCGTCATCATCCTGGCGCTGTTCTTTGCGCTGCAGTCGCTGCTGCTGGTGTGGTCCGAGATTGCCATGGCCATTCCCACCATGGACCTCTCGCCACTCTCGCTGCTTGTGAAGCGCACTGACATTGACAGGATCGACACGCAGCTCGTCCTCTTCTTCCCACTCGGCTACGCCGCCCTTGTCACGTACAGCACACTGTTCAAGATCCGAATCTTCAACTACTATCGTCTGATCCCACACCAACACTCTGATCCAAACAGCATACTATTCAGCGCAGCGTAAGTCCGAGGTCCACTCACTCCTTCATCAATCAATCACTAACTCGTTCCAATCAATCAAACAGATACTTATGTCGACTGGCAGCGCCACTGTGCTTCAACTTCATCTCGTTTATTAAGACTGCGACCACTTTTAATGCGGTCATGGGTGGAATGGACGCGACACCATTGCTTGGCAATTACTTCTACGTGTACTTCCCTATTGTGATCACTGTAGTCGTGCTGGCAACCACTTTCAATCTGTACACTCGCTTGATGAACTGTCTAAACATCACTCGCTTCCGTTTCGACTCGGACTTCTCGCACGAGAACATCGACGAAGGAAAGATGATCTTGACGACCGAGAAGAGGAGGCGGTCGCTCAACCAGACGCTGGCATCCGACTCAACATTCGCCTCGCCCATGTCTCCGTCGCGAACCACCTCGACCAACAACAAGAAGTACTCACTGCTTCAGAGCTCTCTGGACAACGACTTTGACGACGACGATGATCTGGAGAGTGGCAACATCGACTTCTTTGGATCGTCCGGAGGCAGCAGCAGCAAGAGCAGCAGCAGCAAGAGCTCTGGCGTTGGATCGTCCGGCAGCTTCAGCACCAAGAACACTGGCAGTAAGAGCAACAACCCTTCAGCCAATCCAATTGATCGATTCAAGAACTCACTCAATGGATTCCCCAACATCTTTGGCAAGAAGTAATCTCTCTCTCGCGAGAGAGGAACTAAACTACCAATCATTCACACAACTTTATTACATGTTGCACCAGACAGGTCTTGTCTTGATCGATTGATTGATTGAGTGTGACAGAGAAGGAGTTTAATCATCAGAGTCAGACTCGATTGTTGGAAAGTCGGCTTGCTTGCTAGTCGTATGTATCGGTCGTTGCTTCAGTGTTGTTGTTGTCGTCTGGGTTGTTGGTGTATCTGAGTTTGATTCGGTAACACCCGAGGCCATGGCAGGGGCCTTCGAAGTCTTTGATGATGGTGACCTTGTCTTGGTCGTTGATGTCGACGATGATGAGGGCGACGCATGAGTATTGTTGATGGGCTGGCTTGGAGCTCGAGCTACTGGATGTGAGCTGGGCAATGCCAGACAGAGGATGATGAATGGAATGGTGATGGCGGCGGCGATGACGGCCAGCTGCACTGGATATAGTTTGATAAAGTCGATGGCCGACTCGGTGAATTTAACCATTCGATCGAATACGCTGTTGCCATGTGTTGGCCATGGCACTTGTTGTTTGAGCTCCATGTCGTGGCGGGGCGCCCAAGTGTCGGCGGCCAGACGGTCGGCCTCGTCCTTGCTATGTGTAATGATCACATTGTCAAAGAGAATGCTCGGTGTGAGTGTCCATACCTCGATGGCAATGAAGCCGATCGGGTCCAGTATATAAGGGTTCTCCACGTTGAAGTACTTGTCGTTTGGTATCTGGCGTGCACGCCACACGCCACGATACGCCGGGTTGGGAACTTGTGGAGCGCGCCACTTGCCCTTGTACTTGGGGTTGGGGATCTTGGGTGCCTCCCATGTGCCGCACAGACCGTCGGCGCACTTGGGATTGGGCACCATCGTCGGCTCCCACTCTCCATCCTCCTCTTCATTCCACTCGGCGGGTTGCGCAGCCGGTACTAGTAGTGGTTCGTTGTCGCGCCAGTTTCGTGGCTTGTTGGCCGAAGGCTTGGGGATCGTGGGCGGCTGTGTCTCGTCCCAGTCGTCGGGCTTGCGCGCCGTCGGGTCGTCCATGGTGGACTGGTCGACCCAGTCGGCCGGCTTGCGGTCGCTCGGATCGCTCACCTCTTTGGGCGGGCTGAATGGCGGGACAAAGTCCGTGCGCAGATCGCCCTGCAGCACAATATGTTGATCGATGCCAATGGTGAACGTGCTGTTGGGGAAGACGTGTAGCGTGTACAAATGCGACAGCGAGTCGAATGGTATCTGTCGCTTGGGTCTGATTCGCTTCTCCTGGAGCTCATTGGTCACAGGGTTGCGATGATTGATCGTGAGCTGCACCTGGTTGCTGCGCGTGCCGCAGCGGTCCGGGCCAAACAGCAGCTGGTAGGGTGTGGCCGGCGCGATGGTCTCGGGTGTGATGCCCTGTGCAGGGTTGTCGCGATATAGCTTGATGTAGGCACCGCCACACGCCATACCTTTCTGCAACTTGAGGTCGAACTGGACGATGAGGTCGCGGCCACTGTTGTCTAGCGGCGTGTCCAACTTGCGCGTGATGATGTATCGCTTGCCAGAGTTTGGAAACAACATGCCCTTGTCGTAAGGGTTGAGTCGCTGGGTGTCGCCTGGCGATGCGATCTCATAATCTGCCTCTGAGTACTTGCTTGTCGTCCATTTGCGACCGCCTTCTTCGTTGGCGGGTTGTTGGAAGTCATCAAAGAAGACTGTCTCGCGCAAGTCTGGCGTGAATGCCAATGTCGTAGCCAAAAACACCAACAACAACAATACCAATGTATATATATTCATTCACTCTATCTCTATATTATTACAACAAATGAATGAATGGAATGAATGAAAGTGTTTTCATGTTGATGGTATTGGGGGGTTCACCCCAAACACACACAAGAATGAAAAAACGAATGGTCAATCAATCATTCAGTGCACTCAAGACGAATGTGATCAATCAATCAATCATATAATAATAATAACAAATAATGATAATATGTCAACTTTTAACAATAATAGTAATAATACTCAATGGTCATATTTAGAAGTGACGACTAAAAGATGGACACCATTCGATTTGAATGTTAGTGATTTGTTGGAACAATCATACTTAACAGGTGTTAGATGTATAAATGTACATTCAATCAACTTTGACTTTCAATACCTACTATCATGGACCTATGACAACCCTTCAACAAGCATCCCAATCAGACGAGAATGTCAACAAGAAGATGATATCAATCTTCTGAAATCATTCAGGAAGTTAAACACATATTAGACCATGACAACCTCATGTCATCAAACATACATGGTATGCCATTGTTGATGTTGGTATAGTTGGTAACACTTTGACCTTTGCTTGGGCTTGCATGGTCCTCGAGGACCATTGACCATGACCAGGACTCACCCGCCGGTCGTGGTGAGTCACAAAAGCAAGAAGTTCGCCAAACTTTGAATAAAAGGTGTGGTCCGCACCACTTCAGCAAGCAAGGTGGCTTGTGACCTCTCGACTTCACTTTGTTGTTCTTTGATTGAATGATTGAATGATTGATTGATGGTATAAGATACACTTTATTTATTTATTACAACATATATATACATATAATTAATAGATTAGATTAGAATTAGATATGTCCGCACAGACGGGCAATACAACAGCTTCTGCTACACAACAACAGTCAAAGGCTAGTGGATTGGGATTGTTGACTGTGTTACAGACTGACTTGAGATCTATATCACAAGAGGCAAGGACAAAGTTCCCTGCAATAAAGGATGCAATCGAACGAGGTATACTCAAACTTAAGTACATCGAAGATCAATCAAACAACAATGAGAACGTTATACAAGGTATGAATGATTGAATGGTTGAATGGTCACATGATCATCTTGGATGCTCAATCACTCACTCATTCAATCAATCAATCAAACATGTAGCATTGTCAAGGTCAGAAGATGTTCTCAAGCCATTCTTGTTGGCTTGTGAATCAAAGAATCAGAAGATGATATCGATTGCTATTGGATCAATACTTAAGCTCATATCTCAATCGGCAGTGTCAATAGTATGTGTACTGGAACCATTCCAATCAATCAATCAATCACAAGACTTACAAACATCAATCTTTAGAACACACTCCCATCGATACTTGCAAAGATGGCCATGCTCATTGATGTGGGATCAGAGGAGCAGATACAGTTGAAGGTGTTGCAGGGATTGTTGATCTTGATCACAACGTTGCATGATCTTCATGATGACCTATTGGCACAATGCCTGGTGTTATGCTTCCGTCTACACTCGAGCAAGAATAGCTCCATCCAAAAGACATCGTCGGCCACATTGCCACAGATTATCCGTATCATCTTTGATAGAGTGGTTGCAGAGATCAACCAGTCGCCACTGGAAGACGTCACATCCGGCATCCCACCAGTACTGCTCAGTGCTGCTGACGACTCGCCTGTGGCTGAGACTGTGGCGCCAGCCACTGACGATCAGGCAGTCGAACAGCATGATGAGAACACGACGACTCAACAGGATAGCGAGAACACGACTTCGACATCGACATCCACTTCGACAACGACTACAACACCAGCCACTCCAACAACAACGACGACGACATCAGCCTCACCAATGGCCAATGGAAAGGCTGTTCAGGACATTGTGGACAGCACCAGTGCAGCAGCAGTGCTGTCGCCAGCGATTGGAAACAGAGCACCAAGCAGCCTGAAGCCATGTGCACGCGATGCCTATCTCCTGCTTCAAGATCTCTGCCACATCAGTGGCGGTGACAACCCAGCCTGGCTTCCACCAACCACATCCATTGCTCGTGCAACTGGACTTGAACTGATCGAGATGATCATCTCGCTTCATCAGATATTCACAGAGGTATGTCCAGGGTGTCCGTCACTCATTCAATCCATTTGGCGCGACGACTAACCCCTCGCCATCACACTCAATCAATCAATCACTGGAACTATTCCAATCGTTCATTCAATCTAATTAGTTGGAAGAATTTAGATTCCTGCTCAAGGACAGAGTGTGTCCTTTGTTGATCAAGTCATTCAAGTTCAAGATGGACTTCTTCCACACAGTGCGATTGATGCGCGTCATTGTTCAGTTCATCTCAAAGTACAGCGTGATCATGGTGACCGAATCAGACGTGCTGCTCAACAAGTGCATAAGGATGCTCGAGAGCGACAACCCATCGTGGATGCAGGTGTTGGCACTCGAGTCTTTCAAGGTCTACAGCGAGGACCCATCACTGCTGCGCATGTTCTACAAACACTACGACAAGGACAATAACGCCGCCAAGATCTTTGAGAACATGGCCTCCAACATTGGCCGCTTCGTCCAGACACTGTACACAGTGGACAGCAGCAATTACGTGTTTACCAACACGGGCAAGAACCGTCTGATCGACCTGCTGTGGCAGCCAGAGCCGCCCCACGTCAAGGAGTCGTACATCATCTCGGTGTGCACCGAGTGCATCACTGGCATCGTCAACAGCGTGGCTGAGATCAACAACCCTGAGCTGCGTGCACAGGCCAGCGCCGACGGCGACGACGTCTTCCCGCAGATGGCCAATTCATGCTGGGTCTCGGTACTGGCTGCAATCTCCATGCTGCTGGGCAAGGCAGTCGACGAGACGCTCATCCAGATCATTCTCAAGTCATTGCAATCATTCACCAACACTTGTGGCGAGCTGCATCTGTCAGCGCCACGCGATGCTCTCCTCACATGTCTGTGCAAGACAACGATTCCGCCTTCACAGGACTCTGCGCTGAACGAGTCAGGCGAAGAGTCGGGCGGCCGCGGCGACAAGCTGTCCAACTCATCATCAGACGACAAGAAGGGACAGGCCAACGCGTCCGTCACCACACAGTTCTACCCAACCAACAAGAACATCCTGGCCGTCAAGACATTGTTGAACATCGCGCATTGCATGGGCTCAGTACTAGACGAGGCCTGGATACTAGTGTTGGAGACTCTCGAGGTGTGGGACCGCGTACTCAAGTCCATGCACCAGTCACAGCAACAGGACGAGCGTTCGGCTACGGCTTCGTCCAGCCCGCGCATCGGCCAGGGTGAGGTGCCCATCCTATCCACAGCGATGAACAGTCTTTTCAAGTCCTCGTCTCAGCTGGACGAGAAGTCTGTCAACTTCTTGTTTGAGGCGCTGGCCAAGCTGTGCACCAACTCGCTCAACAAGTCACCCTCAGTGTACACCAACATGTTTAGCATCAAGAAGCTGGTGGAGGCGTCGCTGGCCAACCTGCATCGCGTCGACAAGCTCTGGGGCTACATCTCGACACACCTGGAAGAGACGTGCAACTACAAGAACAACTATGTGCGCCTGTTTGGCGTCGAGTCGCTCACGACCATCATAAAATCGGCGCTATCACTGCCTGCGCCGCCCCAGCACGACGGCGAGGATGATGTCACACAGGAGGCCAGCTTTGCCACCCGCAACATCTCCACCAACCTGAGTAGCAGCGCCGAGCTCGAGGAGGAGTACGTGCCCATGACCAAGCGATACCGCTCGTGGAACATCGAGAAGATGCAGGTGCAGTTCATGAATGCCATTGAGGAGATCTCGTTCTCGCAGCATGTGGACACCAAGGAGAAGATACTCGAGTCGATCCATCAGATCCTGTCGTCGTCGGGTCAGACGCTGTCGACGGGCTGGCCCATTCTGCTGTCCGTCCTGCTGCGTGTGGCCCAGAACAGCGAGAAGCCGTTCATCCCCGTGGCCTTTGAGAGCCTCAAGTTGATCTGCAACGAGTTCCTGTCGAACCTGACGCCCGAGTGTCTGGTGCTCACCATCGAGGTGATCCTGGCGTTTGGCTCGCAGCGTCCCGATATCAACATTGGCCTGACGGCGAGCACGGGCCTGCTGCTCGATCTCACCTACTTCCTGGCCAAGGAGAAGGAGTTGGCCACGTCCAAGTACAACACGACCACAATCGATGAGATCAATCAGATGATTGATGCAATGGATCTCGGTCAATCTGATGAGCCAACCTCCACTCCAGTCGCGACCACCTCCAACAAGGTGCGCGCACGTCCCAAGATCCCACTCACATCGCCATTCTTTACTGAAAGACAGAGGAGTGTACTGGACAGGATGTGGCTCTGTGCCTTCTCGTCCATGAAGATCCTATGCATCGACTCTCGACCCGCCATTCGTAATGGTGTCATCGTCTCATTGTTCCAGAACCTTGCCACATTCCTCCATCTCTTGGACAAGGAGTTGATTGAGACAATCCTTTGGAAGGTATGTCCTGTCGCTCATTCATTCGCTCAATCAATCAATCCCTAAAACTCACACCCACTCATTCAGATCCTGTTCCCCTTGATTGATGAGGTTAAACAATGCACAGACCTGGCCGACAAGGATCGCATTGACTCTGACCTTGGCAGTGGCGTCCAGCTGTATGTTTCCCTCGCTCGCTCCAACAATCAATCAATCACTCACTAACAATCAAACAATCAAACGACGCGACATATAGACTGGTACATCACAGCAGGAACACAGCACAGAAGCAATGGGATGAGACATTGGTCATACCAATCAGCCGAATGATCATCACTTTTAAGACATTCTTTGATACTTTGTCACAGTTGCCTACGTTCAACAAGGCCTGGGAGAGATTGTTGGATATCTTGGAGACTGAGTCCAAGTCGTCGAGCAAGGAGGTGTCAATGGCAGCCATCACCTCGCTACACGAGATTGTCAACTCATCGATCACAGACGCGACACATCCCGACCTGTGTGAATCTGTCTGGGAGACCCTGTTGCGTCTGTCCACACGCCTGACAGACCCAGCCGAGAACAATTCCAAAACACTGTTTGTGTACATCAAGGTGTTCACTGACCTCTTCCACAAGGCCAAGGCCACACTCGACCACGCTCAAATGATCCGTGTCCTCCAGATCATCTATCCTCTTGGCCTCTACATCTCAGAGTCCCCATCCGAGATATCCAATCCACAAGTCCACATGTTACAATTAATCAAATCATTGGTATGCTCCAATTCGTTCAATCAATCCATCAATGACACTAACACCTCAATCAATCACTCTCCAACCCAGCTTCCAATCAAGGAGGAATTATTCCCATCAGTCGTAACCATTCTGTTAAAGTATATATCGATTGGAATTCAATATGACTATGCACCAACAGCAAGTAATGTTATATTCCCAACAGCACATATCACCAAGGATTTGGTGTACTACACTGTCATCACAGAGAAGTCCATGGAGTTGATCTGTGAGCTGTTCCAACACTCATCCACCAACAACTCAATGCGAGCATCCATCTACGAGGACATACTCAAAGTGTTTGGCGCTGCTATGATGACCAAGTATTCCAAGTACCATTCAAACATTTGGAAGGTAAGCATAATACTCCTTCAATCAATCACTGGAGCCATCACTAACCAATCAATCAATCAATCAATCAATGAAACGTAGATATCTGTATTAAATCTGATCAAAATACTACCTCAAGGATTGTTGTCAATCAATGAGGACTCTGGAACATTGAATGATATTAAGAGGAACATCATTTGGACTGAACTCATTGATTCGATACAGACATTCATTCTGCATGAACGTGTGGGCGCCACGACAATGTCGCAGGAGAAGAGGAACGAAGAGGATCGCTACGACGTCGACCTGATCAACGCGATCTCCAACGAGATGGTCTGCTTCTCTGGCATACGTGTAGAGCGCGTATCAATCATTCGCGATCGTCTCGTGGAGATACTGTGCGAGGGATCCATGCTCTCATCACAAGGCCGTGAGAAGGTATCCCAAGCATGCTACCAAAACATGTTCTCAATCTGCAGCAAGGCATCGTCTGCCAACCCCGAGAGCATAGAGATTGCCAAGATCATCATGCCAGTCATCCTCAAACGATGCAAGGATGTTCTTCAACGCTTTGTTATCGATGAGAGACAGAGTGGACAATGTCCACTTCCAAGGTAGGTTCCCCCCCCTTTGGAATCATCCCTCACTCCTCAATCCAAACATATACTAACACTCAATCAATCAAACAATTGACAGACATAGATTGACAGAGGTATCATTCATATTGAGAGAGATACAGAACTTGCAGTTGGAACAGGGTATCTATCAACCATCAAAGAATGTCAACAAGAGAGAAGTGGGTAGAAGACCACATCTGATGGAGTTGTTCACCATCCTAAGTGATTGTATATGTACATCTGAGAAGGAGGTCAAGGAGTTGCTAAAGAACATATTCTACATAGTGGCAAACGAGTATCTCTTCTTGGAGTAGAGTAACCCACTCCTCATTCATTAAATTGTTCCATGTTGGTAAAAGGTTCATTTAGTTATCTCGGATGCAAGATGTTGGTTGGTTATCATACCAAATGTTCAGTTTGGTTCGCTTTTTGAGTGCTTAACTTGGTCCCAGATACCACCTGCAGTAATGACATCACCAACTAATTGACAAAATGATCTGGAGACCAGAGTGAGTACCCAAGAGGTGTGGAACCAGGTGCTTTCTTGATCATGAAGATGGGGTTGTTGTGGATTGGATGCTCCTGGAATCTGGCACCGAACCACTTCAAGTGTTGTGATTTGGGGTTGGCCAAAGCGACCAGATGTTGGTTTGTGTTGCCAATACGCGACTTGGAAGAGCCTATATAGTACAACCTGAAATGTTCGAAAGAAGCTACAGGGAGAGAGACTCTGGGATTGAATTGAGAAGACGATCTGAGTGGGTAAACAGATGAATCGGGAAGTTGATTGGGTTCACGGTGGGGATTCGCTCTGAAGAAAACTCCCTTTGGAGCGTTGTGGATGTCATAGTCGTAGTGGAGTGTGTGCTGTCAGTTTTTCCACTGTATCCCTCGAAGAAGTCACGTGATAAAGACCTGGGGAATCTTTGGGGGTCTGTGCTACACTCCTCCAAAGCCTCTGGTCACGTTCGGATTGATTGATGATCTGTGCTGGGGGCTTGTTCGTGCATTAATGTCAGACACCTGATCTCTAACAATAGCGAAAGATACATACCTTAAAACCACCCCTTTTGTAGAGAAGACGTTTGTGTTCACTAACTGGTTGGTGTTGTTGGTATGGCAGATGGACCATATTCTCCTCGTCATCTACCTTTTCATCCGCCTTCTCATCCACCTCCTCATCATCCACCTTCTCCTCGTCCTTGTCAGAACTTGTGTGAAGATAGGTCCTGGTTTGTTGAAGCTCATGTTGATGTTGCTGCAGTTGTTGTTGATGTTGTTGTTGATGTTGCTGAAGTAATTGTTGTTGTTGTAGTTGGCTAACATGGGGAGTCTCCTTGAGTAAGAGCTTGACGAAGTATGACGGAATCCTGGGAAGGCCCCGAAGTGTTCTTTCATGATCTTCGATCTTTTGGAGGCACTGTATCGCACGGTCGTCGCCATGGAGAATGACCAGATGCTCCATTAGCACTTCTCTGGATATATCATGATGTGCATATGCGGTAGCCAAAAGTTCTCGGTGTTTCCTGATGGTTTTCAGAGTATCTTGTTGTTGTGGATTCGCGTGCTGAGTGGGATAGAAAATGAAGGGCGGTAATGTCATCATCACCGCCCTTCTTGTTGGCCATTCTTTGTTCCAGGTGGGGCTCATACTGTGGAGATATTGGAGGGATTGATTCTTCAGTTATTACTGATTTGGAGGTGGTCGAATCTGGACCATAGAAAATGACTGCCCCCCGCGGAGGCATCGCCCACATGAACTAGCTTCGCAAACTTTCCTTGTGGCCATAGTATATCGTATGTATCGTCAGTGGGGTCGTCCTCGTTGCCTTGTCTCTTCGACCTGACTGGAACAGTGGCTTGAGTGTGTGTTGGTATGGATAATGATCTGATCACTAGTACTTACCGAATTGTTGTTGTTGTGGTGCTTGCACTATGCAGGGAGTTGTAAGTATTGAATATATACCCTCCACATTCATTGCATTGTACTTACTTGTATACCTAAGCCTGAAAATGTCTCCTTGATGGAGACCTACGGTCAGAAGAATATGCGCCATAACGGGATCGTTGACAGCACAATTTAATGTATCAACGTCAAAGTTTTTGTCAACCAACAAAGATGCTGTGACGGATTTCACTTTAGCTTTGAGGAGAACCAAATTAAGTTCCTTAATCTTCTCCTCGTGCTCGTTATCGTCAATGTTTGACATGATAAAAATATATATAGTACTATTAATAGAGATAATGAAGTGAAGATATAAGAGTGGTGAGAAGAAGTTTAAATTTGAAATGTGTAACTCTAATTATTGATTTGTTTTCCAATTAAAAAAAATAAATAAATAAATTTTAAAAATGATTGGAATCTTTGAATTATAAATATTTATTTAATTGTATCAAAGATTAAGTATATGATTATATACTTATTACAACAATGTCCTTTACAGCAAATCAAATCTAATTCCACTCTTACCGGTCAAGATCGAAACTTGCACCAGGGAAACCTGGTTAGCCGGTAGAGCAAAGAAAACATACCATAGATCTCTAATCTTTTGTTTCGAATTTACCAACCCTCCTCATTCTACTTCTCTTCTTTCTTCACCATAACAGGATAATAGAATTGTCCAGTACTTGAGGAATTATTGATTTTGAGTTTGGCGAGTCTGTTTGAGATGTCCTGGCTAAAATGACGTCCAGAGTGGTGAGTAATCTCTCTGACTTGTTTGCTGGAAATTGTGTTCCCTAGATGTGAGATTGTTTGTTTCTTGGTGGGGCGTTCCTGTTCATTACTCTGTTCCTCACGGGTCCTCTTCTTTAACTCTTTTACCAGTGCTTCCATTTGATCCAATAAAGTTTCAATTGTTTCCTCCTCACCATGGCCTAGAGTATGTATGTTAGTAATGAAGGAATATAGACATTGGTACTGTTATAGTTTGTACTTACTCTTTTGTAAAGGATGATCAGGTGAGCAAAGAGAAAGGTCTGAATCCTCTTTAATTGAAAGTTCCTTCCAAGTGTATTTATGATTGAGATGATAACCATTCCAGTAGATGTTGTAATCGTTGGGGGGCAAAGAGTAATTCCCAACGACTTCATCAATCAAATTGGTAATGGTAGATTCTTGTCGAAAAAGAATACGAATTGATCTTCCTTCAAGTGGGAGGACAATGATGCGGAGAGACATTGGAGATATTTAAGAATGTTTATTTGAGTGATAGATAAGATGAGTTCGAAATATATATATATATATAATTAGAATATTGGAGGAGTAAATTGTTGTGAATGTTATATTGAGGAGAGAATAAATGAAGTGGCTTGAATTAAAATAATTAAATAATTAAATACATAAATAAAAATAAAAAATAAAGATCTGTAATCTCACTTAACAAACTAAGACTTGATTTGCAGATGAGGTATATAACAAGATAATGACAACTGTTTACTTATCACCTTTCTCGAGTTTGATGTTGGATGTCGTTGTTGTGTTCGATCCTCCCCACATGCTACTATGTGGCGAGTGATTGTTGTTGTTGTTGTTATTTGATTCTTGATTGTCGCCCTGTTGATTGTGAGGCACAGTCAGCTTGCTCTGCACCTCGGAAAGGAATGAATCAAATGAGCCCTGGGCCATCAGTGCAGTGGGCACCGTGTTGTAGTCCCCTGTTGTGGACGTTGCCTGCTGCTGTGCATTGGGCAGACCGGCCAGCAATGCATTGAAGCCGTTGGCCAGCTTGGCGTTGAGGTCGGGGTCCAACTGCTGTGGCTTGATGCTCACCGTGTTGCCCTTCTTCATCAGTGAGTTGTTCTTGAGGTCTATCAGCTGCGTGACGCACTTGCCCAGGTCGTACTCGCTGGAGTAGGCCACCCACTCGATGACACCCTCCTCGACCGTTGCGCCAAACAGCTCCTTCAGCTCCTTGATGATCTCCGTCTGCGAGTACTTCTTCTTGTTGGGATGCGCGTTCTCCTTGTCGCGCTTCTGATCGGCAAACTTCTTCTCGAGCTTCTCCTGCTCCTCGATCAGCTGCAGCTGCAGCGACCTCTTGTCGGCCTCGGACAGCTGGCTGGTGATGGGCTGGCGCGGCGCAGGCGGCTGCGCAGGCGTCGGGTTCTTTGCCTTGTCTAGACGCTGCTGCTCGCTGACCAGCTGATCGATCACCAACTCCATGTTGCCGTTGCAAAGCACGTACATGCTCTTCAGCTCGTACTCTGTGTATGCTGCAGTGCCAAAGATGTCGTATAGTGTCTGAATGTCCTCTTTCAGCTTGGGGAATCTGATCTGATAGTCTATCTGCTCGTTCATCTCCTCCTCCTCAGGATCATCACCCTCCTCCTCTCCATAAGACATTGTCTCTGAGATACTTCTTCCTGATCCAATACTATCTAGACTATCCAAAGAGTCATTCATTGTTGCTGTACATTGATTGTTCATTCCAGTGATTGAATGATTGATTGATTGAATGAATGAGTGTCAGGGAGTGACATTGTTGGTGATTGAGTGATGTGATTGATTGTTTGATTGAGTGAGTGAGCGCGAGTTAGTCCTTGATCAATCAAATCATTCAAATATATATTTGATGATGACAACGACACTTACCATTAGTTGTATCATCACTCGGGAATGATGGCATGTTGCTCTTGTTCTTCTCGACCAGCTTCTCTTGGTGCTCATGACGCTTCTGTAGCTCGGGTATAGAACGGTCTACATTCCAATCGTTGCGATCTAGTATAGCGTAGACCTTTGGATCCTTCTCTAACAGTGGATACATGGATATGATCTGTTCGACCAGCTCGAGACGGTCGCGGAAGGGCAAGCTGGCCGCGTTGCGATAGGGCACGTATCTGGCTCTGTGTCCCCCGGCGCCGGTGGCCATCACGCCGCCATTGTGCTCGTCGATCGCCTGGTCCTTGCCGCTGCCGGGCGGTGAGCTATGTGTGATGGTTGGCAGGGTCAAGATGGGCTTGCCGTCGACTGAAGGCGGTTGTTGCTCGTGCTGCTGTTGCTGCTGCTGATGATGATGAGAGGCTAGTGCTTGAAATGACAGGTGGGGATATCCAGGTGGAGGTGAATGATACAATGGACTTGAAGATATATTATTATTGAAGCCTGTCTCTGGTGCACCACCTGGTGGACTACGTGGTGACAATGAAGTAATAGGTTTAATTGGTCCTGTTATATTTGTTGTTGTCTGTGTCTTATTATCTTGTTGTGATTGTGATTCTTCATCACCATTCATTGATGATTGTTGTTCCATCTCTTTATCTCTTTATCTCTATCTCTATCACTCTCACAATTATTTGATTGATTGGTTGATTGAATGAATATTTACAAACTAACACTCTATCTTCACTCTTTACTCCAATATCTCTATCTATTATAACTTAAAGGTGTAATAAAGTAATGAATGAATGTTTGATTGAGTGGGTGTGAAGTGTGAAAGAGATAAATGAGGGGTGTCTTTGTGTCAAGATCATTATTATATAAATTTCCAATAATCAATTAATTGGGTTTTCATTCATTGCTAGTTGTGTGGCACGTCATCTATCTCGAGAGTCCACTTCATTCGTCTGTGTGTTGGACAACTCAAGTGCATGTATAATAATAGATATTATTGTTATTGTTATCTCTTTGTCTTCTTGCGCTTCTTGTTCTGTGCATTGGGACTGGATGAACCTGGCGTTGAAGTTGATGATGGTGTTGTACTCTCTCGTTCCAGGAATGCCTCTATTCTGCGCATGATCACCTTCTTGTTGCCAGATGACTTTAGTCCATTTAATTTACAATATCTGCGTAGGTCTGGTGCGTGGAACCTATTATAATGTAATGGATTGATTGATTGATTGATTGAGTGAGTGAGGGAATAGTTCCATAATCCAACTTTGACTGCCAGTGTAACTTGACTTACAATGTATGTAACTCTGCCTTGGTAATTCCTTTGACAATTAGTGATATTGGATGAATGGATGGTGGTACTGGCTTGCGGATATACTTCTTCTTTGTTGATACCTCCTCATCATCATCACCATCTTGTTCGTCTTCCTCCTCCTCACCACCACCACCATCAGAGTTGTCATCTCCATCGACATCCTCTACTTCCTCTTCTTCCTCATTCTCTGGCTCCTCCACAACTTCCTCTTCCTCTTCTTCTTCTTCCTCTTCATATACTATTTGCTTTCTCTTTGTTGCACCTCCTCCTCCACCTCTCTTCTTTGGTGTTTGTGGTCGGTATTCTACCTCGGCTGCCTCGTAGGCCTCAACCTCTGCCTCCAACACCTTGCTGTCCGAGTCCAAATAGTCTCCATACTTCTGATTGGGCTTCTTTATCCTCTTTGTCTTGCCCAACAAGTTTAGTCCCTGTTGTAATTGAAGTTGTTGCTGTGGTGGCTGAGGTTGTGTTTGTGATTGTGCCAAGGCCTGCGCGGCCTGTTGTTGAAGTAGTTTAGCCTTGATATCAATTGGTATCTTGACCTTGAGTGTTGGTAGCTTGGGTTTGGATGGAGTTGTCTTTGGTGATGGAGAATGATCGCCATGTGAGGTGGCAACAACGGTCTGAGGTGTATACGATGCTGCCGCAGTTGCCACTGTGACTGCCGATGTCTCAACACCACCATCGGTCTGTTTAAAGCCAAACATTGTCTCCAATATCTTATCAATCAACACCTCTTTGCTGGCCATCCTATTGATCTTCAAACACTCAGCCATCGCCTTGATGATTGGCGCCTTGATATTACGCAAGAATGACTCGGTTCCACGCAGAATGATCTCATCCTTTATGCAATCATTGATTAATGTGATTGATTCGCTCAATGTGTCAGTGGCTGATGCGTGTTCCAAGTGCAAGGCATCACAGAACTCATGTTTGAGTGCCAAGTCCGACGCGTCCAACAGCCAATTGATGCCACGCCTCTTGACCCATGATGACAACTGTTGTAGGAATGATAGTATATGCTCGTCCTTCTCGTGAATGACACCTGCGTCTTCGTCCTTGTTGTTGTTGTTGTCGCCTTGTAATAGATGGGGATGGCTACTCAGCGCGGCAGCCTGTGGACCAAGCAGTGGAAGTAACTTTGTGTATGATTGAGGGTTGATGCTGGCGATGAAGTCGTCGATTCCTGCGAAGCATATGCACTCTTGGATGACGTGCAGTAGCTTCTGCTTGGGCACCTTCTCAATTGATTCGTCGACGGTCAGTTTGTACAATTGATTGACTGAGCGTAGACATTGAACAATGATGTCTTTGGAGACGGGTGCCAATGCACGAATGATCTCTGTGTCTTTGAGAATGAACATGACTGGGGCTGCACCACCACCAGCACCATTGCTACTGTTGCCCAACACTGGTGTACTCATAACTGATGAACTGAGCACTGATGATGATGTTGACATTGACATTGACATTGACAATGACATTGTTGATCCAGTTAAGAATGTGAGTGGACTTGTCATCTTCAAACTACCGTTCAATTTGATCGGTTTGATGATGTTTGTATCATTCACTGATCCTGTTGTTGTACTCATTGTTGTTGTTGATGATGTTGATGCTGTTGTCGTAGTTGTTGATGTTAAAGATGTATCAACATTGTTCGTTGGAGTGGCTGTCGTTGTCTGTGTCAGAGTCTGAGTCTGTGTCTCTGGCTGAGTCTGGGTCTCAGTCTCAGTCTGTGTCTGTGTTTGATTGTCAGTCATTGTGACAGATTGATTAATCTTGTCGTCTATATCTGTCATTATGAGTCTCTATGTAATGAACATTGATTGATCAATGTCATATACCTGTATCTGTATCTCTATCTATATCTGTATCAGTTTGTCAAATGACTTTTGAGCTCAAGAAATTGAAAACATGTGGGTTTTGAAAGGAATAAAGTCAAGACAAGTTCATTTTGAAACAAGTCAAGATCAAGGTCAAAGAGATAGATACGAACAAAGATGAATGAGATGGAGGGACAGATAAAGTGTATATTCTATAGTGAGTTCCATAATACATTCGGTACAAAGATATTCTATCAATATCCAGAAGGGTAATATAATCGAATGAACTATCAATCAATCAATCAAAGAATGAATGAATGACTGACGATGAATGGTACATTGATGTAGGTTCATAGCAAACGATGTATTTGAAGGTATAGCAGAGTTCATTATACCAAAGCCAAAGCTGTGTGGCAAGGTGATCACATTGACAGCATTCGATTATAAGATATTGGGATTCCCAGTCTTGTTACAAGATGTCAAGTATCACAGGAATGCTCTACTATTCAACCTAGCAATGGTCTTTGACAAACGAACAGATACAACAATCTATCACAACATCATTCTAAAACTTGGTACCAATCTAATGGCATTGGAGGTATGTTGGGAATCATTCCCAATCACTCATTCACTCGTTCAATCAAACTCACTCAATCAATCAAACATGATAACAGATGGAAACAGAGTACTTGTTCAATCAAACAAAGGTACGAGATCAACCGGACATGACAAAGATATTGGAGACATTGTATATAGAGTTGAATCATTATGGAGAGAGTACGATAACAGTGGATGACGCAAACACGATTAATGTAAAGTTGTTCCAGAAACCTGTTGATCCACCAGAGATATTGGATCACATGGTACCAGTGTTGATCGCCGAGATCGACACTTCCAATGCATCTGAATGGGACTTGACCCTCCTACAGATACTACCATACATTGATGGCGTCAACTACGTCAACCGAATTGCTAAACTATGTGAGATCGATACCAACTTGGTCAAGAGTTGTATACAACATTTGGTGTGAGTATCCTTGGTCGGGCACATGATCACGATCACTCAATCACTCACTCACTGGAACTATCCAATCAATCAATCAATCAGATATTATGGCATTGTAAAGATGGTGGATATATTCCAGTATTCAAATATATATAATCCAACACCTTTAATACGTAAGCTGGCAAGTAATCTGGATATGCAACGTGAATGTACAGAATTTATTAAGTTGCCTGGATCGGACATCTGTGGCTTCGAGACCATCTTCACACTCTACGCATCAATGAGCAATGATACACCATTCAGAGAGTACTGTTCAGAGAATGAATTGACATCATTTGGTATCGATGAAAGGTATGTTATGTTGGTTACCTCATATGGACGCGTTCACGCATATGTTGCTAACATGTCTTTGGTCAATCATTTAGGAGCTTCATTATATTTGGAGTAATCAATGGGTTCTTGAGGAGGAAGCAAAAATATCCAATACTTAACAACTTGAAGGCATTGGAGAAGTTGGCCCCGAATGACAAGAAGAGGTATGTTGTATGGCGACAGAAACACGGAAACACGGAAACACGGAAACACGGAAACACGGAAACACGGAAACACGGAAACACGGCAACACGGAAACACTGACTTGTCCAATTACAACACCCTGCCACTCATGTAGACTACTTGATGGAAACAAGAGTATGGATGAAATATGTTGTATCCTATCAGTTGGTATGGACTCTGTGGAGAGGTTGTTAAGCGAGATTGCAGAGCCAGACTCATTCACAATTATTTGGAAGTAAACCTATGTCTACGTGTAACCTGGTAATACTATAATTGAATTTATTTGATTGTTATTATTATTATTGCATTGGATGGATTGATGGACACACCAGGTGTCACAGCGACAGGTCGGACATCTTCAACTCCTTCTGCACGCTTAGACTTGGGAATATCAACAGCTTGGGCGCGGCAGTGGTAGACGAGACTGAGGGCACCTTCTTTCCAGGCGTGGACATCGTTGTCTTGATGCTGGACTCCAGGACATAGTTCTTCAACTCCTTCTGTGGCTGGGGAAGTTGCTGCTGCTGCTGCGTAGGCATGGTGTGTTGATGATGGTGGCCAAATGTCATGAACTTGGGGGCGACCGGTGCTACGGCCACTGGTGCCAACGCCGGTGTTGGGACACAGAGGTACTTGTTCAGTTGTTGTGCGGTTCTGGATGCGGGCACTACTGGCTGCTTCTTCAATGTTGAGGTCGTCCTGGTGGCTGAGCCCCCGGAGGCCTTCAATGGGGCTCGCTTGCCCGTGGTACCGGTGCTCGATGTCTTGATGGGTGGACGACGACCACTGCTGCTTTGTGTGCTGTTGTTCGAAGTGTTCTCCTTGTTGGACTTGACCAACTTGAGTGCCTTTGCCGGGCGCTCAGAGTAGTCGTCCTCATCAATGCACGAAGACGATCTCTTCACTGACAACGATGACGTTGATGTTGATGGGGAGGGCTTGGGACGACCAGTTGGTGGCTTAGTTGTGGCCGATACCCTGGTGAGTGTTGCTGAGCTTGTCTTGGGAGTCGTGGTGGCAGTTGGAGTTGGAGCATGGGTGGGAGTGGTGGCGGATGGCTTGGAATGTGTGAATGAGTATGATGATGACATTGAAGACATTGATGATAATGATGACATTGATTGAAGTGATGAGGCTGATGATGATGATGATGACGATGATGACAATGAACCAGTGGACCTCTTGGTGAACAATAAGTTTGGCGTAGTTGACTTTGTAGTTGTCGGTGTCGTGGTGGACGACGACGATTTAAACATGGGCGAAGCCAAACTAAGGCTGTCCTGTTGTTGCTGCATAGTCCTTGATTGTGATTGAAGTTGAGTTGATGTTTGAGTTGTTGATGGTGTTGTTGATTGGTGTTGCTGCGTCGACGATTGAGTTGGACCTTGAGTTGGACCACGGGTTGGCGTAGGGGCTTGAGTTGAGGCGGGTGCATCAGTCATGCCCCCACTACTCCCGCCTGACTTGTTGGCGGCAGCCTTGGCTTTGATCAAGTCTCTGATACTGCTACCACCTCTCGCTGTCTTGCTGGTGGTTGTTGCTGTGGCTGTTGTAGTGGATGTGGATGTGGATGTGGTGGTAGACGTGGCGACCGCGACTGGCGACTGGACCATGGGTGGCACCAGCCTGAACTGGACCGGCACCATTCTCAATCGCTTGGCTGAATGTTGTTTGCTCCTTGACGATGAGCTTCTTGACGTTGGCATCGAATGTCTCGTAGAGGTGCGCGGCGCGCTGATTCCAATGCTGCGCAAACAACAAGTAGGACTGGCGCGAGATCTGGCGACACTTGGGATCGGCATCGGTCACGCCCTGCTTGATAGTCTTTTCAAGTACATCGGCAAGCTTCTCGAGTTGCTCGGTGGACACGATGCGCAGCAGAATGTGGAGGTACTCGCAACACTTGGAACGCAGCAGACCACTCTTGGTCGCCTTCAACAGGTCGGCCAGACGCACAATGGCCTTGGTCGACTTGGACGCGGTCAGGATGCTCTTGATGCACTTGTCACTCGACTCTGCAATGACCTGGATCGTCACCACGACGTTCTTGAGCAGCACGTCGACGTAGCGATCGACAAACGGGTCGAACGCATGCTTCATATGCTCGGCAATCACGTTGATTGTGTTGCAGGCCTCCTTGATCAGATGTGAACGAATATCGCTCACCTGCAACAACAGAGGCTCCTTGAGTCTGTTGAACAGTGACATAAAGTTTGGCAATGTCGTCGCGCCAGCATTGACCAAAGATTGCATCTTGATCAGATTGTTCACCTTGATGTTCCACTCAGTGGTAGTATCCGCCAACTTTGATGTAATATCCTCCATTCTTGTTTCCAACTGTTGTTCATCAAGGTCCTGTTCATTGATTGATTGAGTTAGTGAGTGATTGAGTGATTGAGGGAGTGATTGGAATCATTCCATGTACATACCTGGTTCATCAATAACAGACCAAATGGTTGCTCAATGTGTGTGAGGGATGAGGAATGGTGAGAGGTTGACTTGGACAGCTTGCTGGATGTCTCGGACGACTTGGTCGAATGTGTGGCATGTGCTGTCGACGACGATGACGACGACGAAGACGATGACGACGAAGCCTTGTTTCCACCAAAAGATGGATTGAGCCTTGAGATGATAGTCTCCTTGGTCATCTCATCCAATTGATCGCAGTCCGATACGAATGACAACAGATCGTCTCCAATCTCTTTGTAAAGCAAATCGGTCACGGCATTGGCCGAATCAATCACTCGCTCATTGTCTGAATCGCTGGTGGCTGACAGTATCCTGATCACAAGCTTCTTGCCCTGGCCATTGTCAAGCATCTTGGTGGCGTCGAGCAAAGACGATGTGAGTGCCATTGTGAACAGCTGCAGTGTGTGCTTTCTCTTCCTCCACACATTGCCCATTGACATGGCCGTGAAGAATGTCTTCAACACGAGATCAGTGCACGAGCCAATCTTTAGAATGCTTGATACGAGGTCCTCCACCTTGTCGGCCAGTGCCTTGTCCTCACTTCCAATCAGTCCAACGTAGTCTAGAGTATAAAGTAGGTCGCTGACCAAGCTCTGTTGGCCACTCGTCACAAAATCAATCATAAAGTTCGATGCCTCCAACACCTTGCCAATCAGATCTTCACCATATCCATCACTATCACTGTCAGCCAGATGTCTCTGTATCAATCTGAATATCTTCTCTACATGTTGTGTCTATTCATTTGTTTGTTTGTGTTTGATCGCGTTGCGAGTCTCGTGTGTTAGATCAATGTGTGCATCATGATCATTGTGTCTGAGTCTCTGTCTCTGTGATGACATACCTCCAAGATGTTTGCCTTTACATAATTGATCAACTCTTCATATGTTGAGTATATGATCGATGTATCTTTAATTGATTGAGTGATTGATTGATCGAGTGTTAGTGTCACACATCTCAAACTCAAGCATGACTAGTTATGATCATACCTTTCGACTCAAAGTTCTCTATAATGCTATTCAATGTATCATCACCCATGACTACACTTGTGTATATGTATATGTATATATATATATAATATAAACTAACTAACTAATAAATTGATTGATTATGAATGATATAATGTACATCTGAGACTTCAAAGACACCCATGCCATCTCAAACCCAAGACACAAAGTTAAGTTTGAGACCAACAACACCCTCTACCGCCAAATTCAAATTTTTGAATTTAAAAAGTTAACGGCTAATTACTGGATTGATTGACATGTATGTTTGATCAAATAAATGATGGACTGATTCATTAATTAATTATTGAATGGATCGGTACGGCCAATTGTACAACATTAATTTAATATTGAGTGAGTGGTGTAGGAGAGAGGGGAAGGGAACTGTCGATAAAGATTGATAATAGCTCGATAAATGGAATGATTGAGGGTTGAAGAGTAGTTGGAGGGTTGGAGGTTGGGTTGGTGCTTGGTCAAAGATTGATGGACGATGAAGATAAAGTCGGACACTCCATTGTCTCATTAATCTATATGACCAATCACATGTGAATAATATAGTGTGTGATTGATTGATCGGAAGATTGATTGAATAGCGGGAAAGGTAGGGTCATAATCTACATAGTAGGGCAGGGGATATATATATGTTATGTTATCTTATTCATCAGGATGCTTCAGTGTCTTGGGAAACGGCTACTGGAGGTGGTGGCGTGTGTGAGTTCTGTTGGGTGGCAGAGTATTGATCCATGGAGACGCCGGCAGTGGTGTCCAACTCTCGGGTGTTGGCCGATGGTCCAAAGGAGAGCGAGGTGGTCGACTTGGAGAATGGGTTGGCGTTGACACCCTTGGTGTAGAGTCGCCAGAACTTGGGCGTGAACAGGATGAGCACGGCCGAGCCCGTCACAAAGACGGACGACGCGCAGATGATGATGTTCTGGCCGTCATAGGACTGGCGCGACACCATCAGCGGGATGATGATAAACAGACAAAAGGCGATGGCGTAGATCGTGTTGGCGATGGGCTTGGACTCGTTGAACTCGGGCACGTCGACCGTGCGGATCTTCCACGAGACGAAGCAGCCGATCAGCAGCATCAGGCCGTGGTAGGCCAGCAGCACGTACAATATCACGCTGCCGTCTTTGGTCATGTCGCACGTCATGCGGTAGTTGTAGATGCCCACACCGTCAAAGTCGTACGAGCGGATGGCGTTGACATGGCCGACGATCGTGATTGGGATGAGCAGCGCCAGGTTCACGAGGATCATGCCCAGCACCCACGGCAGCAGCTTGATGTTGGTGATCTTTAGACGCTTGAGGCGGGGGTTGTCAAAGATGAGCCATATGCGGAAGTTCTTGATCACCATGTTGCCAACGATCACCGTGTAGCCCAGAGAGAGCAGCCAGAGACGCGCGCGACAGACGTCTCTCGTGGCGTTCATGTTCCAGATGATGATGGCCGCGGCGACAATAAGTGCGCCAACGAGGATCATCATGCAGAAGAGGGGGCTGGCCGAGCGCATGATCTTGGTCTGGCGGAAGAAGGCCACACCCGCGAGGTAGACCATCGTGATGAATGCGAGCAATGCGCCACAGACTACAAACACGATGACTACAGACTCGGACACCTTGAACTCGATGGCTGGCACTTCGTAACGACCCATGTACGTGGTACCATTGAGATACTTCTCACTCTTGAGCAGGTCATATGGTGACAGTCTGGTCTTTCCATAAGTTTCAAAAAAGATTGGGTTGCTGGCATATGGCAGGTCCTCCAATGGGAACTGTTTCCAATATTCCATCGAGTCCCTAAGTCTCTTGATGATGCTTGGTGCGAGCTAATATTGTTTGATTGTTTGATTGATTGGAATAGTTCCAATGATTCATTGATTGATTGATCGATTGATGGATGGAATAGTTCCAGTGATTGATTGAATGATTGGCGGGCGTGAGTAAGTGAATGTTAGTAACGCCATCACCTGGTGGACTGTCCTCCAACCAACCAACTACATACCAAGTAACTGTATTGGGTGTCAAACTCAAGACTGCCATCGGCCAGAGTGCCATAGACTAGCTTGGGTGTCCAGGTACCGTTGAGGAGGTCAAAGGCAGCGTCGTGGTAGGAATTGGTCCAGTTGTAGAGGATACTTGTGAGGATGGACTCGCCAAGGATGTTGTAGCATGGGTAGCCAGATGTGCAGAAGGACGTGGCGCCACGAGCTGCCGCAGTCTTTTGCACGGTGAGGTCGTCAGCGCTCATGGCAAACACGTCGACGCCCAAGTCCAGAAGCTGGTTGGTGGCGCCGGCCTCGAGGTCCGGGTTCAGCCAAGAGCCCGATTCGATAAGGTACACCTTCACGTCGTTACTGACATTGCGTGCGCCAAGATAGAACGAGTTGGATGTAATGTAGCCGAGCGAGGGTGGACCGGGGATGACGATGCCGATCTTGTTGGAGCGGGTGGTCAGCGCGGCCATGACGCCGCACATGTAGTGACCGATGCCAAAGTCAATGAAGATGCTGCGTACGTTGGGAATCGTGGGCATCTCAATGTCACGGATCAGGAAGTAGACGTTTGGGTACTTAATGGCCATGGCCTTGGTGCCGACGCTGTGCTCAAGTGATGCGCCAACGATCAGCGTGTAGTTCTCGGCGACCAGCTCGTGGATGACGGCCTCGGTGCCCTCTGGCGTGAAGATGTTGGTAATGATCTTTGTCTGGTTGAACAGTTGGAATTTGCGTTGGACATTGATCAGCGCCTGGTTACAAATATAGTTGTAGCCCAAGTCTGTGAAGTCTCCACTCAATATCACAGCCATCTTGAACTTATCCTTTGGTATCGCAGGTGGATACGTCTGGGCATTCGTCGCCATGTTTGACAACAAGGCCACAAGCATCAGCAGCATAACAACTGCACATTTGGATGCTTGCATTATTAAGTTGATTGAGTGATTGAGTGATGGAGGTGTGATTGATTGAATGAGCGATGGAGTGATGGTGAGTGATTGAGTGGATATTTGTGTCTGTGTATCTGTGCCTCTTGGTAACTAATAATAAGCAATGAGTGTTGTTGGCGTGAGGTTAGGTTTGGTCAACGGGTTGGGACGCTGAAGGTTGAGCCTTGAGTTTGAATGGGCGCGACTGATCTGATAAGTCCAAGTCCAAGTCTAAGTCTTAGTGAATAATTTAAATATATATATATAATATGTTGTATTGTATTGTTATTGGTAATGGTCGAGACGTGTGATGGACTGGACGGGACGGCAGGACAGGGGAGGCAGGTAGGGTGAATGGATGGATGGAGTAGGGATATGTGACTCGACACACGATGTGATTCGAAATGAAGGGATGAGCCCAACTAACAGTAGATAGAAAGAGAGATGAGATGAGCTGAGCTGGGATTCGCGCGGGTAAGTCAGACGATCAGAATATGTGATTGGTCGTCAGTAACGCCAGGGGTCATGTCAGGTCAACTCAGGTCTTTAGTGACCACTCACTCGCTCTCTCGCTTATTTATATTATTATGATCAATGAAACGGATTGATGACGGATGGATGGATGGGATGGATGGATTGATTGATGGTTTGAATAGATGGAAGGATTGATTGATGATGGTACTGATTGATTGGTTTGACTTAATGACCGACTGACTTATTGCGTTCTCGTTGGTTATTATGGTGGTAGATAGGTAGGCAGTGGCAATGATAGGGGACGAATGAAGTGCAACACATCACATAGCATCATTCTCATCGGAGTCGCCTCCTCCACTCCCATCCTAAAATTGATTAGATTGACTTGGTACAATTGCACAGTGCCCGCACACATGTGGCCTCCACCACGCCCAACTGATATGATATGATATCAGTTCACATGTTCATACAGGTGACCAGCATCAGCAGGCGGCCGCCTGCTCAGCAGGCGAGTAAATCTCGTGGCGGCGAGGACACAATGTGTGTTTAAACCCCCGTTTAGTGATAGATGGTTGGGGGTTGTGGGCCAGGACTTTCTTGCTTGCTTGATTTGCCCGACTGAGTTTGGTTGGGCATCACCTCGACTTAGACGGGCACCATACCTCACTCATAGGGGCCTGACCTTAAAGGTCACATGGTCCACTCCTAGGCATTTGATTGGTTGGTAACAGATTGGGAGAAGAAGTGAGTGAGTGACACTTCGTATCCAGGTGTCTAGTGGAGTACATGAGTGATTGAGATGAACACTAGAATGTTCATCGAATGCCTTTTGCTAGAAGACGAAAAAAAACGTCACTCAATTCCCATCAGCAACCCCAGGTGGGTTTTGATCATGAACTCATACACACATCCCGACGTCGCCTCGATGTTCTGTAACCATCCTCATCCTTTGAAGGTACCTTCTATCATTGCAGTAATCAATCCACAAGTTGTGTGTTGGGTCGCGACTTTCACGAACGAGTGGGTGTGAGTGTGAGAGTGTGAGCGGGTGGGTTGCCCGACCAAAAGGGCTATCATTCATTCGTCTATCTTTTCATTGGTGATCTGGCGGGAGATTGTGATCGTTGGCCAAAGACTTTGCAGTATGATCAATCAATAGATTAGTTAGTTAAGTAAGTATTAGATTAGTTTTGGTTTTTTAATTTATTATTTTGGTGTATGATCGTCGTTTAAAAATAATAACGACACGGTAGGTAGACATAGTTGTTTGTGTTGTAAGTTATCTGTTCAGGAATTATCAGATCCAAACTGATCACTTTCCAAAAGTCTTTCTTTGATTGATCAAGTATGTTTGTTTGTTCGATTTGTTGTAGATTTTGTTGAAGTTCTGATCAGAACCATTCATTCAATCATACATACATTCAATCATTATCATTTGTGTGTACTTTATCTTTGTGAATGAATATCTTTGGACACGCTCCATTGCACGTGTCCACATTTGAATGAAGGGTGATGGTATGAAGGAACACGGAAACAATCATGGACATTTTGGGCAAGAAGGAAGGGTAAGACACAGGGTTTGTGACCTACATACCCAAGTCCGTGTGATGAGATACATACATCAAACCAAGTTGAGGCAATGTACCAATATTGATGATGGGGGGGGGGGTTGTTCAAACTTGTGTAACAATGAATTTGAATTTGATGAATGAGGCCTCATTTTTGTTTGTTGTCTTTCTTTGTTTATAAATATCTCCTTTTTTGAATTCATTGATGGTGAAAGTCAGTCGGTGTGTGAGTTGATCAACATCACCATCAACTTTTGGAGCTCCAAAATACATCATTCATTCGCAACGTCATACATAGAGACACACGAGTTGGGCCAACATAATATTAAGATTTCTCTCTAAATCACCCAACATTCATTCATTCATTCACTTCCATTTACTTCCATTCACATTCATTCATTCACCACTCTAACACCCTCGAACAGACACCACCAACACTTGTGTTTGAGTCTACAACATCAACAACACACACCAACAACATCATTATTCAAACAGTGATAACATAAAGATATATAAAGAAAGAGATAAAGAGAGATAGGAGTATAATGTTAAATACTATACTTCGTCCACTTAGGAAGAAGTCAAATGCTGGACTACAAGAGGTAGCGGTAGCTGGTGCACCTCCACCAACTCCTGCAAATGGCAATGGAGTTGGAAATGGACTTGGAAATGGAAATGGAAATGCCAATGTAGATAATAACAAAACAAACAATAGCAATAATAAGGTTGCCAATGGCAATGGCAATGGCAATGGCGGTGGGAATGGCACAACAACCTCGACAACAACAACAGACACATCACAACAACAACAACAACAACAAAAGACAGTACTTCGAACTTTATCATCCAACTCTTCAAATAATGGATTGAATATTACTATCAATCAGATATCACATCAGAATAATAGTAGTACAGAGAGTTTGGATAATGGACAAATGCCAAAACTGTCGGTGATTGGAGCTGGCGCATCAATCACAATGACATCACCATTCTCATCGGCCGACGACCTACATCAACAGCAGACCAGCGGAATGATCACGCCGCGTGGAAGCAAGGGCGTCTCACCCAGAGGCGGCGATTGCTACAAGACCCTGCTGTCCGAGATCCAGTTCCTGGAGCGTCTGCTGCAGGACCAGATATCCATGCGCAACAGCACCACACGAGCCAACAAGCAGAGCTCCGGCGAGCTGCTGCGTGAGGGCGAGGCTGAGGACGACGAGCTGCGTCGCTATGAGGAACAGCTCAAACGCATCATTGAGGCCAAGAAGGCAGACTTCCGCGTGCTCGCCGAGAACGACCGCGACAAGGACAAACAACAGGATCGCAAGCCTCGTCCTGCCTTCCTCAAGTCTGGCACAGCAATATCCATCTTCCCATCGGTCATTGAGGAGCGACTGTGCTCGTCATTGCCCCTAGTGCGCATCGAAAAGATCAAGATCAAGAGACTACAACAACAGCACGAGCAAGAGTTGTTGCACTCACAACAGCAACAGGGACAGGGACTTGGCCATGAGGACACAGCTGAGCTCTACCTTCATGAGCTAGCTACTACACAGCAGCCAGACTCTAGCAATAGCAGCAGTAGCAACAAGGATAGCAATAGTGATGATAATGATAGCACGGTCAGTGGACATAGTGGCCTGGAGCATAGCCAGGAGCATCCTCCAATCACATCGTCGATTGAGGAGTTGGACATATCAATATCCCAAGCGGATCTGTCTGAGCTCAGATCACTGCTGCCCAAGCCTCTGGCAACCCTTGTTGGCCCAGGCGCAGACCTGCCCGACGACGAGCAGAACTTCCACAACATTGTCTGTTGCAAATCCAACTCATCATATCCAATGAACGAATCTTGTGGCAAGAGGGTTAGTATCTGGCGGCGACCAAGTCTATGTGAATGCGGGCGAGTATAACTAACACAAACATCAACAAACATCAACAGCAAGGTGACCCAATATGTGACAAGTTCAAGGCAGCAGTCTATAGAGACAACATGATTGTGTCACTTGCCGATGGATGCAACTGGGGTCGTTTGCCATTTGAAGCAGCCACTCGTGCAACAGACGCATTCATGTCATTCATGGAGGAGAACTACCACGAGATCAACACAGTGCGCAAGGCAGGATCGTTCCTGTTGGGCGCCATTACAGCCGCACACAAGGGCATCATATCAGGCAGGAGCGAGCTGTGGGAGAGCGGCACGACCACGCTGATCGGTGGCCTGCTATCTAAGATCAAGAAGGAGAAGAGCGAGGGCACCGACTTCAAGAGCATGTCGTCACTCAAGTTCATCGACGTCGAGTCGGACTGGGTGTTCACAGGCGTCACTCTGGGCGACTGCAAGGCCTTCCACTACTCGAGCAAATGCAACGTATTTAGCGACATCACCAAGGGCAACAGACAGAACTTGTCCGACGCCCGTGACCCGGGCGGCCGTCTCGGACCCTACATTGGCGAGGGCCAGCCCGACCTCCGCAACCTGGCCGTCTTCCACAAGTTCTGTGATCAAGACGACGTCATCCTCTTGCTGAGCGATGGTGTACACGACAATCTCGACCCGCAGCAACTGGGTCTATCGCCAAGAGATCTAGGCGTCGACTGTGACTCATGGGACATTGCCGGACAGAAACTGCCCGTTGAGACAGATCGTGTAAAGAATGAATTTAGGAACAAGTGGCTACTGGATCACCTGACCACAACAACAACTGATGGTGGCCAAGACAACAACATTATCAGTCGACAGATATTACCACCTCAACAAATTGCCAGCACACTCCTGAAGCACTGCGTGGAAACGACACAGACAAGCAGGGACTTTATGGAGAATAACTCAACAAAGAAACTACCGAGTGATTATAAGTTGGTAAGTTAAAGTTGGCAGAAATTTCAGCAAAGTCACGTGACAGGATGTTGATCACGTGACTGATCACCTGACCACTTTCCATTCTAATATTATGTTCCTCACTCACTATAGTACCCAGGAAAGATGGATCATAACACATGCGTATGCTTTAGAGTGGGCGCCAACAATGTTTAACAAAAAGTGTTGACTATATTTCCAGCTTCCCGTGAAGCGACTGGACTGGATCGTTTGTTTTGGTCCAGTACTCTCTCCCCTCTCTGTTACTACCTATTTATTTCAATAACATCACTCACAAACGCAAGTGTACTTGTACTAGTTGTAAACCATTCCGTCTCCTTCCTTTACCTCCTTCCATCCATCTTGCGCCCCACCCTTATTCAAGTTTGAAAGACTTGCGGATTCATAGCTGGCCAAGACTCACATTACCTGGATCCCAGTGTTCATGCCGGATGATTGATTAAGTATGATTAATTGAATGATTGAGAAGATTATGATTGAATAGAGTATAGAGATCTAACATTTATTAGAATATTCCAATACGCGAAGGTGAACCCTGTGATCAGGTATGAATTAGGTACAGGCTGTGGAAGTGTGCCAGTGAGTCTCTTAGACCTCACGGACGACACGTGAGTGCCATGGGCACCATCTGTTGCCTGGGAGGAGAGCACCACCGACCTCAGCGAGATGCTCCTCAGTGTAGTTGATGCCAGCGTCACAGACCTCCATGGCGGCGTCGAAGAAGGAGATGGTGTTGGAGTCGAGGTAGAATGACCAGAATGGGTTGTACCAGGCGGGCTGCTTGACGATGATTCCGTTGATGTGGGGGGCGTCGGTGACGGCTCCGCTGATCAGACCACGGGCATGGGCAATCTTGGCTGGGTCGGTGAGCTTGATGGTGAACTCGTCAGTGCCATCGGAGAAGACAAAGTAGGCGTTTCTGGCAGATGCCAAGGCAACTTGGATGACCAACAAGGCGGCAATAATTTGGATGAACTTCATTGTTTTGATGATTGATATAGAGGTAGAGAGAGAGATAATTGGTATTATTTATCTGATTGATTGTTTGATTGATGTTTGGATGATGTTTGGAAATAGGCTGGATCCAGGTTATTTATACTTTTTGATTACCATGTCAATTAGTGATTTGGTCTTTGATCCAAGAGTTCTCCGGTATCCCATGACCCATCCTTCCAAGATTGATGGATCGCTGCCCCACCCAACCACTAACACTCACACTCACACTCAATGATCATGACCAGGTCTGATGGTCAACCATGTAATAAGTATCAAGTAGTAATAGAACGTTTCATTATTGTTTGAATGAGTGTCTTATATGTAAGCCAATAAAAGGTAATATTTGATCAGTTTGAAATAAAGATGTCACTGCTCAATATTGTAATCAATCAATTTCATCAGTGATTAGGTGAACTTACTGTTTTGGAACCTTTTACTAGAGAGACATCGCCTTCTGACGGTTACAAATGGGACGAAAACCAAGGTTCCAATGCCCCCGACAATCATTTACCATATGCATCACTGAATCACCCCCAAATAAGTGAGTCGACTAGTCGGACATGTCCATTGATGGGTGTTTGGTTGGTGTTCATGAGAACAATCATGTGATATTTTATTTGTATTAATATTATTTTATATTAATCTAATTCATTAAAGTATTAGGAGTATCATTAATTAGTCTTTGTTTCCCTGTCCCTGGGATTGTTGTTAGTGATAGTATACCAACAAAGTATTCCCATAAGTGCTCTAGTTTCGAAGTGTAAGATACTCTATGTTTGAGTTGTTGTCATAAGAAAAGATTGTTATACAGTACAGATACATTATAAAGTATATTATAACAATGAATCGGGCTAGTTAAAATCACTTTGATCATGAGGGCAAGGGCAAGGGCAAGGGTTAGGGTAAGGGTTTGAAATTGAAGGAGTTGATGCAAAAACTATTTAAAATAAAATTAGTTGTGAAACGAACGAAGAGAGAAAAAATGAAAGTGATGAAGGGATGATATTAATATTCTTAATCATACCAACATAAACACATATACATATATACATATACATAACCTATAATGTCAAGCTTAAAGGGATCTTTTATAAAGTATGAATGAATCAGTGAATCAACATGTTGTTTGTTGGAGTTCGTGATGTCTAACTTAACATCAATCAATCAATCAATCAATCAATCAATTGTAGGAGAAAGCCGGCAAAGAGCCAGGCTGCGAAGAAGCATCTGCGAAAGAAGGAGTCAAGAGAGGTCGAGCTTATAAAGCAGGGAATGTTCATTAGAGGACAAAACACATCACATGCTATATTACAACTACTCAAAGACTTGGTAAGATTGATTGATCGATCGATGAAATGATTGAATGTTTGAATGAATACTAATATGATTTGAATGAATTGATACTATTATAGTATGTACTTAAGAAGCCAGATGCAGTTCAATATAATAGAAAGAATGATATCCATCCAATGGAGTCGGCAGAGTCGATTGAGTTCTATGGAGACAAGTCCAACAGCAGTTTGTTTGCATTCGCCTCACACTCAAAGAAGCGTCCCAACAACTTGGTGATGGGCCGTCTGTTTGACAACACCATCTTTGATATGTACGAGCTCGGTGTCGAGTACTACCAGCCGATCGAGGCATTCGACGGCGAGAAATCCAACATGGGCAACAAGCCCTGCTTCATCTTCAACGGACAGGAGTTTGAGACAAAGGACGAGTTCAAGCGCATTGGCAACATGTTCCTCGACTTCTTCAGGGGTCGCGTCGTCGAGTACATCAACCTCGCCGGTCTGGACCACGTCATCGTGCTGACGGCCGTCGACGACCGCATCATGTTCCGCCACTACAGCATCGTCTTTAAGCGATCGGGCACCAAGATCCCCAAGGTCGAGCTGCAGGAGATGGGTCCATCGTTCGACTTCACCATCCGTCGCTCCAAGACACCGTCGCCCGACGTCGAGAAGGAGGCACTCAAGGTGCATCGCTCCGTCAAGCCCAAGGTGGACAACAACAACATCGAGAAGAACGAGCTTGGCGAGACCCTGGCCACAATTCACAAGGGAAGACAGAATTTCAACGAGATTGCCATCAGACACGTCAAGGCGCTGCGCAAGAGGAAGTCGGACGACAACGACAACCAAGACGATCAGGAATAAATCATTCGTTTGTTCGATCAATAATATGTTCGTTGTTGTGTGTCTGTCAGTTTATTCTCTGTCTTGACTTGATTGAGAGATTGATTGCATGTCCTGGACCATGTTACTTGTGTGCGCACATCACCTTGTGCTGGACTATTCGCTCGATTGCGATTGAGATTCATTCATTCATCATTGTCATGGCTGTCTTGTCGTTCAATGTGTCGTCTGTTGATTGAATGAATGAATGATTGAATGAATGATGTTGAGATTGATTGATTGAGTGATCTGTTGATGTCTACTGTGGTCCTGATCCTCTTGGTCTCTTCTTTAAATGAAGGTCACTGTCATCCTTTGTTGGAATGCCAAAGTCGTTGATATCCTTAAAGTCATTCTGACCCATCTTGTACATTGAGTAGAAGTATACTGCACTTGAGAACAACACCAGACCTGTCATGATCTTAATGTTGCCACTAAGTCTCTCTCTATGGAATTGAGTTGTCATTATAAGTAAGTAGTAAACTTAAGTTATAAGTATGAACGAATGTTAATGAATCAGAAATGAAGAGGGGGTATCACAAAATCAAGAATGATGGTGACTTGGACTTGGTTGGACTTGGCGACTTCGTCATTGTTTGTCACAACCTTACATGTACATACTTATACATATACACATACATAGATAGAGATAAGAGGGATGTGTACGATAGCTCCATCACATTCATTAGGTCCAGGTGGAAAGATATTGTTTCGCAATGGGTTGTTCACTAGTTTGGATACAGAGATGATTGATTCATCATTGGATAACTTTATAACAACACATTGGTTGAATCAACGTGTTGATATAGTTGTAGCTGTAACATCAACGAAGGATCAATCATCATTGACTACATCAACATCATCATCAACTACAACTACAACTACATCAAAGAAACCTACACTTGCACAGACTGCATCGGCATCACTCATACTTGACACTGAGTTGGCACCATTCTTTGCCGAACGATTGAGCAAGGAGAGCAACATGTCTGACGCATTCTATCACATTGAAACACCACTCGACCTACTCCTCTCTCAACAGTTTATCAATGATTACATCAAGCCAGGTATGTATCTCTGTGTGATTGACAGATGTGCGTCTACCTCGACTGACCCAACTTCCATCAACAACAAAGGTGGCTTCACTGCATTGACTCAATACAATCGATTGGATGATGGAAATGTCGTGGCATTCATACCAAATGGAAAGGTGCTGCTCAATGTGGACAAGGACACGTATCAACAGCTGGGACTGACGGGCCAGCATTCACACTTTTCAAAGACAAAGCCACAGCGATATGTGATCACACTGGATTGTCGTTCGAAAGAAATGATGCCCGACTCATCACTGTATAAACGCGTGATCTGGTGTCTCAAGGACAGAGTGTCAAGTATCAGTATGATCGTCTCGAGTATCGATCCAAGCACAGGACACCCGCGCCCCATCAAGTTCCCCGCGGGCGTCAATGTGAAGCGAGTGGTCAACATCAAGAAGCGATCATACGAGACATATAGAGTGCCGGTGGTCCCCGCATTGAATGGCGTGGACAAGGCCGAGCGAATAGAGTTCATGGAGTGCTGGAATGAAGCACTTGGACTCGTGCTGTGTGGCTTGAACGAAGACAAGGTCGTGTTGAATCTCAATGCGGCCCTGACGCCAGAGTCGAGCAGACTGACCGATTGCTTTGTGGCCAGCACCGAAGGTATGGTGACACCGCAGTCGGTACTGTCACTGATACGTACGGTGCGTCGTATAATGACCAACAAGAAGGTGGCAATAGATTGGGTCAGCATTCAGGTGACAGGATTCCAAGACACACCAGTCACATGGGCTAATAATGAGCATGGCTATCACATCAATGGCGACAACAACTACTCCATCATTCTGCATCCAAACAACGAGTATTGGACACTGGCGACACTTGGACATCAAGACACATTCAGTTGACATCTAATTATATAAATTGGATGGATATTATTACAACATCAATATGCTTTTTTTTATTGAGGCTGGAATAATTCCACTTATGTGTAATTGAGTGTGATTGAGTTATTGAGTTAATGGAATTGTTCCAAATATGACCTACAAACCAAAGTAATCGCCAAAGTATATCATGGAGAGTACCAAAGTGATTGACTTGGTCAGGTCAACATCCATTGAAGTTCAAGAAAATTGAAACATCCATCACAAGTTCATCAATTTCCCACTCACTCAATCACATGTTCAAAAAGTTTAATTTGAAGAAAGATGAAGAACAAGATCATAATAGTAGTATCTGTATTCATTGTGATAATATCATTGTTATTACAACTACAACAACATCAATATTCAACTACACCATCATCATCATCATCAATAACAACTACAACCACAACAACAATGGCTACTAAAGTATCAACAAACTACTTGGTCGAGGGAAAGGGAGGCGATAAGTTGGTGCTGCCATCAAAGGTCGTGCCAGAGAAGTACTATCTGCATTTGCACCCGGATGTAAAGGCATTCACATTCAAGGGCCACGTTGATATTACACTCAACGTTCGCGAAGCCACCAATGTGATCGTGATCCACTCGATCGAGATTGATATCAAGTCGGCCACGATCGCCGGCACCGACAACCCCATGACATCGATCGTCTACGACACCACCGACGAGGTGGCCGTCATCACCTTCCAGCACGAGCTGGCCGTTCACAGCAAGCCAGTGCTGGCCATCGACTTCACCGGCATACTCAACGACAAGATGCACGGCTTCTACCGCTCAAAGTACACGATCGACGGCGAGGACAGATACCTCGGCACCACTCAGTTCGAGGCCACCGACGCCCGTCGCGCCTTCCCCTGTTTCGACGAGCCCGCCCTCAAGGCCACATTCGACGTCGAGATCACCGTGCCCAAGCACCTGACCGCTCTGTCAAACATGCGCGACATCAAGACCGTCGAGCACGACGACGGCACCAAGACCGTCACCTTTGGCACCACACCAAAGATGAGCACCTACCTCGCGGCCTTTGTCGTCGGTGAGTTCAACTACGTTGAGGGCTACACCAAGGGAGGCGTGCGCACCAGAATCTACAGCGTCATTGGCAAGAAGGACACTGGCGACTTTGCCCTGGACGTGGCCATCCGCGCCCTCGACTTCTTCTGCGACTACTTCCAGATCCCCTACCCATTGGACAAGTGCGACCACATTGGTGTCCCCGACTTTAGCTTTGGCGCCATGGAGAACTGGGGTCTGATCACCTACCGTGAGATCATTCTGCTCACATCCGAGACAACAACCGTGCGCATCAAGCAGCGTGTGGCCAGTGTAATTGGCCACGAGCTGGCACATCAGTGGTTCGGAAACCTCGTCACCATGGAGTGGTGGTCGCAGTTGTGGCTCAACGAGGGCTTTGCCACGTACATGGGCGACCTGGTCACCGACCACCTGTTCCCAGAGTGGGGCGTGTGGCTCGAGTTCTCCAACGTGTACAACGGCGCTCTCGGCCTGGACGTGCTCGAGAACTCGCACGCCATCGAGGTGCCAGTGTACAGCTCATCGCAGATCAACGAGATCTTTGACGCCATCTCCTACAACAAGGGATCGTGTGTCATCAGAATGCTTGCCGAGCGCTTTGGCGATGACTTTAGAAAGGGACTCACTCACTACCTGACCAAGTTTGCCTACCAGAACACCAACACCGAGGATCTCTGGAACTCCATCAGCCACATCTCTGGCTCCAACGTCAAGGAGTTCATCGACGAGTTCACCAAGTACCCAGGTTACCCAGTCATCAACTTTGAGGCCAGTAAGTAGTAGTGGGCGTCAATCACACGCGCACTCAATCACTAACTCTCTCCATTCACTCCCTCTCATAGCCGCCGAGCCAGGCAAGTTCAACTTGACCCAGAAGCAGTTCAGATACACCAATGAGGAGAGACCAACAGACCCATGCTGGAAGTGCCACATCAAGCTCCAGACACAGAAGGAGTCGCACGAGTACATGTTGGACACCAAGACCACCACCATCACCGTGCCATCATTCGACGCCAACGGTTGGATCAAGCCAAACTTTGGCCAGACTGGTTACTACCGCATCAAGTACGACCCATCCATTATCAAGGGCTTGCTGCCACAGATCCAGTCGCTCAAGCTGCCCGCCGTCGACCGTCTCGGTCTCTTCAGTGATGCCGTTGCACTCTCCAAGGCTCACTCGCTCCCAATCACCGTCTTCCTCGACCTTGCCGCTTCATCACAAAACGAAGTCGAGAACACCAACTGGACCTTCATCATGGACACTCTTGGAAAGTTGTTGAACTTGGTCGATGACACCCCATCCTATGACAAGCTCAAGGTATGCCATCTCGCATGTCCATGGAATCATTCCAATCAATATTAACTCAATCAATCAATCAATCAATCCCTAGCGTTTCACCGTCAACCTCCTCACACCAGTTTACAAGAAGCTTGGATTCGACGCCATTCCAAATGAGTCTGCCGCTGATGTTCTCTTGAGAGAGAAGGTGTTGGCTAGACTAGCCCAGAGCGACCTTCAGGAGGTCATCGTCGAGTGCCGCAAGCGCTACGACGCTCTGAAGGCCGGCACCCCACTGCCAAGCGATATTCAATCGGTTGTCTACCGCACCGTCCTGAAGAACGGCGGCGAGCAAGAGTTGAACGAGATGATTGAGATCTACAAGAAGTCCACCAACACTGTTGAGCGCGCCACCCTCCTCTCGGTGATCTCCTCAGTGCAGGGCGAGGCACTCATCAACAAGGTGTTGGCATTCTCCTTCTCGGCCGACGTCAAGATGCAGGACGCCTACTACGTCTGGTTCGGCTTGCCCAACAAGAGCACGGGCATTGCCTGGAAGTACTTGGTGGCCAACTTTGAGTCGATCAACGAGACATTCAAGGAGAGCGGTCTGTTCCCACGCATCATCTCATCTACATTCGCCGCCAGGATGTCCGAGGAGCAAATCGTCACAGTGGAGAAGTTCTTTGAGGCTCACCCAGTCAACATTGCCGCCAGATCCATCAAGCAAGACCTTGAGATTGCTCGCGACAACTCTCGCTGGTACGACTACATCCATGCAGATATCGCCAAGTGGTTGGTGTCCCATCCATAAGTCCTCATGGCCTTGCCTTGCCTTGTCTTGCTTGTCTGCTATCAATCAAACGATCATTCTGTCGTTCAATCAATTAACCAATCAATCAATCAATCAATAACAATCATTTTGTTTACAAATATGTCGTGGACCTTGAGGTCCACAAAGAGGACCACACATTACCTGAAAAGGAAAGGTCAATTTACATCTGTGTGTACTTACCCCTTTACTTATCTGTTGTTGATTGTTTGTTTGGCCCATGTTGAGTGGATGGGGTTGTTGTTGAAGTATCCCCACTCTCTCATTATCATGTGGACCATCCCATTGAGCTTGTTTCGAAGTGCAATGCCTGCCTTCATTCATCCATTCACTCTCTCATTCCCCATTCACACACACTCACCAACACATTCATTCATTGATTCACTTACTTGATCCTTCAAGTACAGCTGACAAGATACATTCAACAACATACTTACTTATAAATAATAATCATCATTCATTATTATTCCTTATTCATTCAATAAGGAGATATATAACAGGTATCAAGAATGACACTTGGCAAGGCATTTCAGACTGTCACTGTCTTTATCATCATACCTTTGATGTTGGCTGTGCATTCCAATGTATGAATATATCATATCTTTGAATAAATGTTTGAATGAATGAATGATTGAAGATACTAACTTGGTCTTGGACTTGGAATTGAATGGAATGTTTAGAAAATACCATTGACAGCTGCATTGGATATCATTGTTTGGTATATAGCTATTAGCTTTGGTATATTTATATTCAAGACACCTATCAAGTTGTACTTTACTGTTAAGGATAAATGCAAGTACTTGAAAGAAATGCAGTTGGAACTGCAACAACATAGACATCTACTCTCGACCACGAACACTTCATCAACATCCAAAGACAAAGACAAAGACAAAGATAACAAACAACAACAACAACAACCAAGTCCAGCCGAACTAAACATCAACAAATCAATCAAAGAACTATATTCATTGGAATGGAAGTATGTCAATCAGTTATGTTTGAATGATACACATAACCAATCACTCACTCACTCAATCAATCAATCAAACATGATGTAGATTATTGTTGTTATCTATGTTGTGCCCATTTATTGCACTGTCCAGTTGGTATAGTTTGGAGGTGTTCTGCTTGAAGTACTCACTTAGTACACTCAGCCAACTGCTCCACCCTTACTTTATTATCGTGGCATCATTCGTATCATCCTACCAACCAATATTCTACTTTGTCGAGCATTTCAAGGACCGAATAGACGAGGTACATCCACCGCCTGCACCTCACAATGCACTACCCAAGCCTGGTAGTCCTGGCATGGAGCATCTACATCGTTCTCCACAACAACAATATCAACATCAACAACAACAACAACATCAACAACAAATAGACACCGAGTCGATTGAAAGAATGATCCGCAAGAGTATTGAACATCAGCTGCGCGTGCAAGATGAGCGCCATGCACAGGAGATGAAGAGACAGGAGAAGGAGTATATGGCCAACATGGCGCAGCTACAGAACGAACTGACAGTGCTGAAGCGTGACATTCGCGATTGGACACAGAAGAAGACCAGTCAGATCATTGCAGTTGAATCTCGCATGCTGTCCGTCGAGAACCAGGTCGAGCTGGCTCAACTAGTGGAGCGTGAGCGTTCCGAACGACAAGCACTATCATCATCCACATCGGCGCTGACCAATCCACTCAAGGCCCTCTACAACAATCCATCATCTGCATTCAATGGATTGATTCCATTCTCAAAGTCATAAGTTTTCAACATCGTCATCATCAAGCCGATCGAATTTCCACATCCACTACACGAACGATCTTAACAAGACTTACCAAGACCCTTAAGGTCTGGACCAAGTAGGACCATGCAATCATTCAATCAACAACCAATCCAATCGATCAATCAATCAATCATTCTTCTGGAAACTAAGATGGCCATTTGAATAATAATACTATTCACTTACCATTGTTTGTATATTCATCATCTATCCTCTTATCGTCATGTCTTTCAATCGATCAATCAATTGTACTATCAATCAGGCAATACTTATACCATCTGATGGACGATGTAGTTCATCGATGTCACAAAAGGGTGGACGCAGCACCACTTTGATGGGTTTTGTCAAGGAATTGGGTGTGTGGTGTTGTCATCAGCCATTCAAATAATTTTGGATCATTCATTGTTTGTGTTGACATTCATTCATCCACAAGGTTAGTTCAATCAATCAAATCAATCAATCATTTTTATTTAAATAGTTATACATATTATATATATATTCTTACTTAACATATAATGACAAACAAACTAGTTGGAAACTATCTTGATGTACGTTGACATAAAGAATCAATAGGTTCAGGTAATGAATGTGAACATCAATACTAATCAATCATTCAATCAATATCACTATTAAACAGATCAAGAAGTTGGCAGTTGATGATGATGATGGATGGGATACCGACCCTGACTTTGTCGTATGTTGAAAGAATCATTCGATTTATACAGAGCACAGAGAGGCAAACTCATTGAGGATGATCATCTTACTAACTCAAACATACAACATTGAATGAATGAATGAATGAATGAATGAATGAATGAATAATATATAGAACGACAACAACATTGATAACTCAAAGACAACAACAAAGGGAGTTGCAGGTTCGAGTGCTGCTGATGCAGGAAGAGATCTGGTGCAAAAGTCTGCACCAGTAGATAAGGTACCGCAGGCGCCGTCTAGGGTGATAGCAGAACCGCCGCGAAAGAATCCGGCGGTATACATTGGCGGAGGTATTGCCACGACACCCTCGCCAAAGCCTGCTGCCAAGCCTTCGGCATCAGTCGCCTACAAGAAGCCTGCTGCCACGCCCTACAAGCCAGCACCAGTCGCCTTCCAATCGGAGCCTGAGCCCGAGTACCAGGCACCCGCTCCCGCTGCCCCACGCACAGCACCCGTGCCAGCCGGCAGGGTTGCGCCATCGCCCGTCAAATTCACACCAGAGCCCGCTGCTCCCGCTCCCAAGGCTGCCCCAGCCCCTCCAGTCAAGGCCACTCCACCTGCACCCGTCAAGTTCACTCCCGCTCCCACCCCAGTCAAGACCGCGCCACCCGCTCCAGCCAAGTTCACTCCAGAGGTTGTCAAGGCCACTCCAGCTGCCGCCCCAGCCCCAGCCAAGAAGCCACCTCCCCCTCCAAAGAGAGTGGTCGTGCCCGAGCCAGAGCCAGAGCCCGAGCCCGAGCCACAACAGGAATACTACGATGAGCAACAGTCTTACGATCAGCAAGGCTATGACCAGCAGGGATATGACCAACAGGGATACGACCAGCAGCAGGGATACGATGATCAATCATACGACCAGCAAGGATATGATCAGCAGGGATACGACCAACAGGGATACGATCAATCATACGACGATCAACAGCACGCTGGCGGCGATGCCAGTGGCTATCCTCAGGCCAAGGCCTTGTACGACTATGAGGCCGCGCAAGAGGGCGATCTGTCCTTCTACGCTGGAGACATCATCAGCATCCACGATCAGTCCGATGCCAATGGCTGGTGGGTTGGCGAGTGCCAGGGCTTCACAGGCACCTTCCCATCAACCTTTGTCCAACTGGTCTAGAACAACCTTATCAACCTTATCAATTCATTGTGAACCTGTACAACTCTCTCCCTTTATCAACAACCTATTTATCACACGCAACCTATCTATCTAGCGCGTCTGTTGTAGCACCATCACTCCCTCCCTACTACTCCTCCTCCCATTATGAACACCAACAACACTCAAGACGATGATGATTAAATTACAATCCTTCTTCTTTCGCATCTGTCATAGCTGTGTTCCTTCCATCGATTGAATGATTGATTCCAACTTCGTCGTCTCATTGACGTTTATTTCTTTCTCTTGATCTTCCATGTCTCCTCCTTTCCACCAACTTTGACCTTGATTGGCTGTGCATCCTTGTTCCTCTGATTGATTGAATGAATGAATGAGTTAGTCCATGCATGCCAATCATGATCCAAACAAACTTACAATCTGATTCTTCTGACTATCCAACTCGCGCTCTGCTTTGTACAGCTCCTCTCTCCTCTGCTTTCTGGCCTCAAGTTCTTTGTAGGATGTGGCAGTCATGGCCTCGATCTCTGCAAGTGATGGTGCACTATGTGGATTGACGACCAGTGATCCCTGTTTCAAACGTGACATCAGGGGTATGGTTGAAGAGTATTGAGAGAATGCTTCTGGTATCGTATCAAAATGTTTGACAGCGTTGAACTTCTTAACTTCCTTATCGCCATCCAAGAATATCATATGATCTGTTGGTTTCAATCCTGCATCTATATACTGTAGCTCTGCTTGTAATCTATCGATTTTCTGTTAATGTAGTTGTCGTGGCGAATTTTGTTAGTCTGGTGTGGTCATGTTTCCGCGAGTGTTGCCGCGAGTTGCCGCACTCTGGCGGGTGGTGTTTCTGCGGAAACACTTGTGGCGACTCGCCACTCAAACATCCAAAATTACCTTCTCTTCTGACACTCTCTTGCCTTGCAGATATTGTTGATCCTGTGACTTTATATCTAACAGTTGTTCATCTTCTAACTTTGTCTTGCTAATATTATGATGTACACCATTCTAAAATTGATTGATTTGATTGATTGATTGAGTGAGTGAGTGAATGATTGGTCATTGATCATTCTAGCGATGACATACTATAATCTTTGAACTGATCATTTGGAATCTGAACTCATCAGGGTTCTTTAGTGCAGCTTGCACCTTTAGTTTCTTTATCCTATTCTTCTTGTAGTTATGATCACGAGCACGCTTTACATAGTCCTTCTTCCTCTCCATGAATCCCTTTACAGCAGCTGGTTGAGATCTCTCCCTCTTCTCCCTATTAGGGAGTAATCTTCTAACATTCATTGATGACATATCTATCTATCTATCTATTTATCTATCTCAATGTACAATACAAATTATTGATTGATTGATAAATGAAAAAAGACGAACGAGTCGAGTCAACTATCACAAAGTTCGTGAAACACTTCAAATTGTTCAAAATGTTCAAGTTTATGGAAAATCACTTCATTTCAGCTTTGTCAAAGACAAAAGATATAATATATCGTATAAGATGTCATCTATTCAATCTTCTCAAGGAGCATTGAGTGCTGCTTCATCATCTGCGGCAGTTGGTGTGATTGCTACATTGCAAGCAATGATTAGTAGGTCTACAAACACACCATTTGGCAACCAGATAGTACTTGGCATACAACAGGGCATTGGTTACTTGTTGATCGGTACCGGTGTCGCACTCATGACATCATTCGCACGTAACCTCTTTGGTCAAGTCAAACACAGCCTCTTTGTCACCATCACAGTCGATAGCAAGGATAAGACATTCGAGGCACTGCTACAATGGATGTCAAACAACGTCATAATCAAACGTGCGACACAACTAAATGCCGAGACCGTCTACTTTGGCACGGACAAGAACCCTCGTGTAATCTTTGTACCGTCTGTGGGCAAGCATCGCATCAGCTACAAGGGCAAGACAGTGTGGATCAACAGAATACGCGATGCCACCTTTGACATGGCATCGGGCGCACCGTTCGAGTCGATCGAGTTGTCCTCATTTGGCACCAACACCGCCGTCCTCCAATCTCTCATTGACGAAGCGATGCGTCTGTCGTTGCAGCGCGACGAGGGCAAGACCGTGGTGTACATCAATGGAGAGGGCAGCTGGACACGCTTTTGGCAACCCACGTGTGATCCGATCGCTCAGCTCTGTGATCTTGCCCGAAGCGCTCAAGGAGGGACTTGTCCGCGACATCAAAGAGTTCATCAACAATGAGAATTGGTTCAGGAATCGCGGCATACCCTACCGTCGCGGCTACCTGCTCTACGGCCCACCAGGCAACGGCAAGTCATCCCTGGTCAATGCCATTGCCGGCGAGCTCAGTCTCGACATATGCATCGTGTCACTGTCCTCACGCGACATTGACGATCGTCAGATCAACCAACTTCTAAACAACGCGCCACCCAAGTCCATTCTGCTTATTGAGGACATTGACGCAGCCTTCTCTATGAGAGACAAGGAGGCCGATCTACAGCACACCAACCTTACATTCTCTGGCGTACTCAATGCGCTGGACGGCGTGGCATCGCAAGAGGGTCGCATCCTATTCATGACGACCAACAAGCTGGAGCAATTGGATCATGCACTGATCCGCGACGGCCGCATCGACATGAAGATACACATCCAGAACGCCACCAAACAGCAGTCCAAGCAACTGTTTATGCACTTTTACAACAACAACAACAACAACAACACTACTGGAGACAACAATGATACTACAATCAAGGAGCTTGCCGAACAGTTTGCGTCCAATGTAGTGGACTACCAATTGTCCATGTCCCAAATCCAAGGATTCCTGTTGCAATACAAACATCAACCAGAGGATGCTGTTAGCCAAGCTCACATCCTAAGACCTGTCCAAATAAACTAGATTGATTGATGGAATAGTTCCAGCGCGAGTGATTGATTGATACCATCTAAGCAATGATGCCTTACATAAGACATCATGTGTATATTGAAGTTCATTGTTGACAATCTAGATCATTTTAAAATATAAAATTGAATTTATAAGAAATTAGCTAATTAATTTAAATTCCCTAAGTTCTTCAACTCACTTTCATTTACCTTTCACTATCTGTATTTTGTATCTTCATTACAACTATGTCAAAAGACATTGACAATACCAATGAGGCGAAGATATTGGCACTTACTTTGGTTCTCTCCAAAGCTGTTGTCAAATCCGTCACAGCATCTTCTCTATTGGATAATGGCTATGACGTTGAAACCTTATTTAGTGCCCTCAACGATCCAAATGTGCATTCCATTCTTACGAGTCCAATAGTTGGGTTCAAACCAGGAGACATCACCAAGCTCAAGTCAACGAGTAAGTACAAACAATATCGACCAATGTCTTCATTCAATACTAACATACACTCAGTACCTGCTCGTGTACCCATCAAAGATAGTAAGTACAAATAACACAATCGATGCGTCGAATGGAGGGATTCGATATCTGACCACTGACGCAAATTGACACTTATAGGTGATCTTGACGCCATGAACAATGAGGAACTAGACAATTTGCTAGTCCTTGTTCAAAATCAAAAGAAGAAGAGGAAGAATGAAGAAGTCCACCAACCAATACCAGGCCGTTCCATCAAAAGGCAGACCCTATCGCACCAACCCTCCAGCAAACAGGCCGGAGAGGACAACGAACTCTCCGGCCGGTGCGTTCTACGAAACATCACCAACCAACTCTCAACAATCAACATCAGAGGCAGCACTCTTAACAAACCCCCAATGGGAAATCACGCCACTTCGACCCCCATCATTCTGGGGAACGCATCAACAAATGACCCTCAAGAACAGGTCCGAGGAGTTAATTAGAGGTCGCATCGTGGATCATCAAGATCTTGTTCAATACATCAAAAATCGTGGTCTCAAATCTGTTATCTTGGAAGACAACATGAAAGAATTGGCAGACATCTACAAGCTCTCGGTACAGTACACTGGCACCCAAATGTCACTTAAGGGTCTCAAACCCAGCGAAATGTACTTGACTATCAGAATCATTAATTAATGCTGACCATGCCCACTGCGCAGTCGTTTTTGGAGTACAAAATACACTGTTCATCATGGATCCACAAGGCAATCGGAAGAACTTCCGTCTCCGAACGCCTAGTGGGATGAAGCTGGTTCATATCTCATCAACGATCAATCCTCAGCCATCTAATACCAAATGGTGTGCATTGTTTGCATTTTACTATTCAGTTTAAATCAAAAGAAGCCAATACATCAACAACGATTTCTGCCAGAGATGTAGAGTACATTTGGTGACATCAAAACCTTCTGCTACATCTTTCTCTGTCGCAAAGACTCCAGTGTCAAGTGGTTTGTTACCAAACAGTGATGCTGAAATTCATTGGAGCTTGTACAGGTCCTGTCAATCGGTAATGCAGTTCCAAACCGAATACTTTGTCAAATACTCTGCCATTACTTTGGAAAGAAACTTTGTCTATTACTTCTTTGAGTCCATCAGGGATATAAAGGCTAGCCTTGGCAGATGGACCAATGGCATCATTGGTCATTTATTATTTATTATTACTACAAATAAATATACTGGTTGTATTGTCGAAGGTATGGATACAAGTATGGACTCCGTCCCTCCTTATTCTTGTAATTTACCAATACTCTTCATAAGTTTGATGAGCTTGGAAACTACTTGAGAGGAGGATGGTCGCTTGGAAGGACTCAGATCAATGCATTGGTGGAGTAGGTCAAGCAGGCCTGATAGACTGGGCGACACTGGCGTGACAAGTGGTGGAGGCGTGCCCTTGAGGATCATCTCGACCGTCTGCAGGTGAGGGAACTGGTGGTAGGGTGGCTGCAACGTCAGGATCTCAAACACCAGCATGGAGAACGACCAGATGTCAGCCTTGAGCGAGTAGCCGTCGCTGCCAGAGTCCACCGACACGTCCAGCACCTCGGGCGCCATGTAGCATGGCGTGCCGATGCATGTCTTGAGGATGACTCCCGAGTTCATCACCTTGGACGTGTCAAAGTCGCAGACGCGAACGTTGGACACGCGGTTGGCCTCGTCCAGCGAGCACATGATGTTGCCGGGCTTGAGGTCACGATGAATGATTGGCTGTTTCTGGTTGTGCAGGAACTCCAGGCCCTTGGCGATCTCGAGCGCCATCCAGATGGTCTCGGCTGCGGGGAAGGGCGTCGAGCGCTTGCCAATGATGTCCTTGAGCGAGTAGGGGTAGAACTCCATGAACAGCCACAATCGCTCGGGGTTGGCTGTTAGGCGATGGCCAAGGTACTTGGCGATGTTGGAGTGGCTCAGCTGCTCCATGATGTTGATCTCTGAGACGAACTGGTCGATGAGGTAGGGCTGCGTGTTCTTGAGCTTTAGGATCTTGACGGCACAAGTGAAGCCGTCGACTGTGCAGCGGTGCACAGTGCAACCACTGCCGCCACTGCCAATCTGCTCGCACAGCTGGATCTCGCTGTTCTTGAAGTCGATGTCACCGCCCTTGTTCTCCATGAGCGTGGTGGGCTCCTCCGTTCGACGATTGGCGTTCTTCTTCTTCTCGGCCAGGATGTGCAGCTGCAGCGCCTGCACCCACTCGTCGCGATCGCGTGCACTGTCCGCACAGAATGTCAGCGTCTCGATGCGCTGCTCGCCGTCCACCTTGGATTCGGACGACGACGTCATGAGAGTCGCACCCGAGATGATGCCATTCAACACCGAGTTGGCGGTGAGTGCGGCACCTGACGACGACGAGTGGTCAGCTGATGTAGACAACACCGCCGAGGTGAAGCTCAGCTGGAACAGGGGCTTGTCGTCTCCGGCCTCCATGGAAGACACGACCGAGACCTCAGCATCCATCAGACGGATGTCACGTTTGAATGTGTACTGTGTCTGTTGCTTCTTGGCCGTGGGTACCGAGACGATGAACAGGTCATTGAAAAGGAAGCAGTACAATTGATTGCCTGTGCCGCCACTCTTTGTGTGCTCAGTGAGCTCACCCTCCCTGACATAGCGTCTGTGTGGCTCATTCAAGTTCTGGAACTTTCCAATCAACAATCCCTGTATGATCCTAACCTTATTCTGGCTCTCATACTCCCTCGACTTCTCCTTTACATAGTCTACGATTGTTCTCATCTTGATCACAGCCTGGTTGTTTGATTGATTGTAGGAGTGAGTGAACGATCAATGGACGGTGATTTGATCAACTTACATTCTTCAATGGCTCATAGTCATCATGTGTCTTTGGTGTGCTCTTGAACAACTCGATCAACAATGGGGTGTACTGGCCAATGCGAGACAATGGCAACACGAGTAGACTACCAAGCTCGGTGAAGTTGGTCTGTGCCAGCTTCTGTTCCTTCTCCTACATTACATGATCGGTCGTGTGTCATGTTAGTAACCTAGCTCGCGAGGAGCTCGTCCAATCAGCCAGCCTGGCCACTTACATGAATGAATGATTGGAACTTGTGACTCTCCTCCTTCAACTTGTTCAACACAGAGATTGATGTGTAGTAGTTCTTTACATAAGGTGAGTACAACTTGAAGTAGTCACACTGTTCATATGATTGATTGAGTGAGTGGAATGGTTCCAGGTTAGTGATCATTCAAAGTTGAGGTGTTGCGTCATCCATCACTTACAATCTTGAGGAATACACTGCCCATGGAGGACTTTGATGAGTCAGAGTTTAGGACATTCTCAATGTCCTCGATGAGTAGCCCACTGCTGCCAAGGATGACCTCGACATCGCCAAAGATCTGCTTGATGTGCAGAGTGGTGACGAATGGGTTGGACGACTGGTAGCTCTCAGACTTCATCGGTGTGAGGAACTCTTCGACGATCAGCTGCAGGTACGCAGCGTACTCCTTCTCGGTGCGCAGTATCTGGTTGACAATGAGGATGCGGTTCTCAATCATTCGGGCGTACTCGTCGTCCGTGAGCGCATGGTGGTGATAGTCGTCCAGGTCCTGGATGTAGTTGAGGCTGTGCTGTTGGGTGAGGTTGTTGGAGTTGGTGGGCGAGCCGGCTGTCGCGGTGTGTGTAGGCATGGTCGTGTAGGTGCCGCTCGTGCTGGTGTTGAGGTCGCTGCCGCCACTGCCACTGCCGACAAGGCTCATGCCTCGTGCGGCCTTGTTGCTGCGAGAGAGTGTGTCGCTGATTGAATAGGACTTGGATCTCATGTGTGGGCTGCTGCCGCTGCCACTGAATGATGGCGATGGCTGGAGCACCGGTGACTGCATGGAGGGCGTGAAGGCCGAACTGCCACTAGTGGACGCAGACACCATGGCTATGGGACGCGGCGAGCCGCCATTGCTGAACGCCACCGCTGGCGATGTGCTGCTGTGTCCGGCCGCGCCGCTGCCAACGTCAAACTCACCGCCGTCCTGCATGGCGTCGCTGATTGTCTTGTGGAAGCTCTGATACAAGCTGGACATCTTTTGGAGTTTGTGATGAAGGCGGTCGTACTTGGCGCGCAGGGCCTGCAAGTTCTGCTTCTGCAGTCTGTTGTCCTCCTCCACGTTGCGCAGCAGGTGACGCGTCTGAAGATGTGAGTTGCGCTCGTGTTGCAGTTCTCGCTTCAGCTCATCGATGATCCTTGTGGCGTTGGGGTCCGTGATTAGGCCCTGAGCCGAGTTGAGCGACTCGAATGATGCCATAGATAGTGCGTAGGGGTCGCCGCCACTTGACGTGCTCCTACTTAGGCCTGGGTGATTGTTGTTGTGGTCCAGAAGACCAGATGTTTCGTCGAATGTCGAGGAGTTGTTGTAATTGTGCGACCTGGGTGGGACAGGTGGGCGTTTATCACGCAGGGAGCCGAGGCCGTCTGATGATGTGGACGTGCTCTCAAAGAATGACAATAAGTTATGGAGGTTTGGATGTGTTTGTTTCCTCTTTGTCGTTGAGTCTAATGTATGGTACTTTTGTTCCATCTAAATATCTCGAGAGCGATGCGTTGCTGCTTGTGTACCAAGTTGGTTTGATTGATTGATCGAGCGTGCTAGCAAACTGATGTGATTGTGTGCGTGTGTCTTAGGCCTTGGTTTGCAATGTGTTAACACATGTGATCATCGCTCAATTAGGTCATCAATCAACCAATCAATCAATCAATATATTTACCTTAGTCAATATAATAATGTTATATATATATTTGATTGATTATTAAGAATTATAATTCTTTGATTCGATGCACTCAAAAGTAAACAAAAGTAATTGATTGTTGATAGGTACACCATCACCTGGAACAGGATTGGACAGCTCAGCCAGAATGTATGATCATAGTAGAAGAGCTTTCAACGCTGTGTTTAGTGGATGGATATTAATTTAAATCACTTGTGTCACTGATCCGTTTATCAGGCGATCACCAAAGCCAAAAAAATCAACCGTGTGTGTTGGGGCAAGGAAGGGCCTGGTTTGATCTGGACGCCCCCACTCACCACACCCCACAAAGGACTCGACCTACGACCGCCCCTTGGCAACTCGCGATTGATGCGTGTTTAATATGTGTCCAAGTTAGGTATTAATTATGAATGAATAGACGATTGATTGATTGATTGTTTGATTGGATGATAAAGTAAGACACAAGAAGGGATCACAATCAATGGGTGGCGGGTTGGTTATTATTGTCAAATGGAGGCAAAGCCTCGGGTAATTGAATGATTGAATGAATGAATGAATGATGAATGTAGTAATGAATGAATGAAGTCACTTGGCTTACAATCCCTTAAAGTTGTTGACCATCTCGACGGCTCTGATTGGAGTGACCTCCTTGTAGACGTTGGTCCAGAGCTCCTTCATCTCTGGGAATGGTGAGTTGATGGCAAACTCTGAAGCGGCATCCATCTCAGCGCGGGCCTTCTCCTCGATGGTGGCCAGCTCGTCCTCGGTCGCAAACTTGTGCTCGAGCAGCAATCCACGCACGTACTCGATTGGGTCACGGATGTTACGCACCTCGTTCACCTCCTCACGTGTGCGGTATGAGGTTCCTGGGTCGGACATGGAGTGGCCGACGTAACGGTAGGTATCCATCTCCATGACGAAGGGACCCTTGCCAGCGCGACACCAGTCGGCGACCCACTTGCCGGCGGTCTTGACGGCCAGCACGTTCATGCCGTCGACACGCATGCCTGGGATGTAGTGAGCGCGGGTGAAGAAGTCGGTGCCGGCGGCGGCACGAGCCTGCGAGGTACCCATGCCAAACTTGTTGTTCTCGCAAATGAAGACGCATGGCAGGTCCCACAACTTGGCCATGTTGAAGGCCTCGAACAGCTGGCCCTGGTTGGCGGCACCGTCTCCGTAGTAAGTGAGACAGATGTTGCCAGTGTTGTTGTATTTCTGGGCAAAGGCAATGCCGGCGCCGACGGGGCACTGGGCACCGACGATACCGTTGCCTCCGTAGAAGTTGCGAGTGAACATATGCATGCTGCCACCCTTGCCCTTGGAGCATCCAGTGGCCTTCATCAACAGCTCGGCCAGCACTGACTCTGCAGATGCGCCACGAGCCAACATGAATGTATGATCTCTGTATGCTGTAATGACATGGTCCTCCTTTGTAATAGCTGCCTCCATTCCAGTGCAGACGGCTTCCTACATTGTTTGTTTGTTTGATTGATTGTGTATATGTGTGAGTCGCGCTGTATCGCTTCGTGAATGATCATGCTAAGTATGTACCTGTCCATTGTAGAGATGACAGAAACCTCTGATCAACTTCTTCTTGTAGAGAGAGTCTGCGGCGAATTCGATTCTACGCATTCTAGTCATATCAGTGAAGTAGGTCATCAACTCCTCCTTGTTGGTGACGCACTCGTTTGCTGGGCCATCACACAAGTAAGTCTCATGCTTCTTATCAAACTTGACTCTAATCTCTCCACTGTTGAGCTTTGTGGCGTAAGATCTAACAAGCTATATATATGTTATATCATATCATTGATTGATTGATTAAGTTAGTCAAGTTCATTGATTGATTGATTGATTGACTGTGATCTTCAAATATTCAATATCGACATCTTCATTATATTCGTTATTAATGATCAATATGTTGTTGATGCATTTGATCGTAACTATGTGAACCTGTGACATTGATGTCGCGAACTTTGATGTCATCGTGAACTGTTGATGAACATGATGATGTCGACATTGAACATCACAATCAAACAAACTTATTAACTAAATAAACATACATTGAAGTGATTAACTGTCTTTGTAATGTTTTTGGAGAACATTGTTATATTATATTATATAGATATAGATAAAGAGAGATAGAACTAACACTAACTAAACTTGAATGTGAATGAAAACGATTCATCAATCCCATCATTCCCACAAGATGAATGAAGAGTGATGTGTGTCTTCATCACATTTTTGATGCCAAGATTGTTTCATCTCAAAAAAAACAAATAAAAATCAAACCCCAGCTTGTCCCAAGGTCCTCAAACAACAACAACATCAATGTTGTTCAATCCAGTCTGGTCTTGACGACCAGTAACCTGTCCAAGTGTTGTGATGTTACCATGGTAACGTAACATAAGTATCAAACTAACAAGTCATGACGATGAATGAGGGATACAAAAAGTAGATATATTAGGCCTTACTTGTGTCATGATGAACCCTTGGAAGCCATCATGTCCAGTTTGATGTTGGCCAACTTCTTGAATATATATGAATTGTGAGTGTTGCTTTCGGTTGACTTTTGGAAGGTGGATGGACTCCATTCGGCACCCTCGCCGCGCTCCTTGGCAGCCTGGCGTTGGATCTCCTCCACCTTGTACTTTTGTGTTTGCGCCTCCTCCTCATTGTCGGCGTTGATGTGATATGTTACACCGCTCCAAACCTTCCTCGAGAAGTTGTCCGACTGCTCACTGGCCGCCGGCACAACAATCTCTGAGGTGGTGAATGCGTTGATGTCAAAGAACAACGATGTCTCGTTGGTCTTTGTCGTGATGATGTTGATCTTGCCATCCCATCCCGCCTCCAGACTGTACAGCGACCTCTTGTTTGATGGATGTCTGATCTTGGCCGTCATAAAGTGCTTGCTCTTAAACAGGTTGCCCTTGCCCTTGAACTCAATCTCGGCAAAGTAGCCAGTCTTCTTGCAGGCCAGCGTCGTCGAGCCAATGACCTCGGTGGCCATCGTTCCCAGGACAACGCCCCTCACGGCAATCTTTGGCACGTCGACGACGTACTCCTCGCCGCGTCTGGGTAGCTCCATCACGAGCTTGCCCTCCATCGAGCTCTCGAATGAGTTGCCCCAGAACTTGGATGTTGGCGAGAGGTATGAGTGGAAGACCAGTCCGTTCTGGACATTTGTGTAACAGAAGGCTGAAGATGGCGGGTGATGTGAGATCTGCTCGGAATTATACTCTGTGGTGGAACCATCCCCATGTGTCCAATTACCATTGAATATCTCTCCAATGATTGGATTGAATGGTGTCCTTACATCCTGCTGGACCAACCAACTTGACAAGTAGAACTTGATCACCTCCAAGAATCTCTTTTCCTCATTGTCCTGCTTTGATGCCCTGTTCAATCATTCATATTAGTATGGCTGGCTTGCTGGCTAGCTATCATCTGGACCAGGATATACATACTGAATGAACAACTCCATGTATCTTCCCATGTCTGTGAACTTCTCCAGGAGTGAGCGGGGCTCGGAGAAACAGATGGGCAAACTCATACGGTAGAATGGCTGTTTGCTTGATACCATCTGTTTCATCAATGATTGTAGTGCACCACTCATTTTCTTGTCCTTTGGGGTCATGTTGGCCTTGTCTGCATCTGAAGGTCCACAATTCTGATCGACCTCCTGTTCAGATGGAGGTGTGCTCTGCTCTCCGCTCCATTTCAATTGTTGCTCCTCATTCTCAACATTCTCCACAGACACCTCTAAGCTGGTCATTTATAATTATATATTAATGGATTGGGTTGGATTATATTATATGTTTGTTGTTGGTAATGGTACAGTGAGTAGTATTATTAATATTATTTCGAATGTGTTTGTTTGCTTGTCCCTGGGATAATATTATTGATTGGGGAAGGGATTGGATTGGACTTTACTGGATTGGGATAGGATGGATTGGATTGGTTTGGATTGGACTGTTGGAATGGAGTTGGTTGGACAAGCACCACGGTCGCGAAATAACGAGAACAGAACAAACAACAACAAACAATGAATTATTATATATGTATGATAGATGATGATGGAGTGATTGTGCAATTGAATGCGTATGTTTGCGTCAACAACAGCATCATCCTGTTTCGTTGCACTTAGCAAGTCAAGCAGACTCTGTTTCAATGACTTTGACAGCAACGCATACACTTTAAAAAATATTAATAATAATAATAATAGAGTATTAGGATAAGCATTGAGCACTAGATGGAAGGTACCAAAACACCAACTTACCAATGTAGGCATGGGGGGTATCCTGATATGGGTGAGGCCTTCGAAAGCCTCGTGGTCGTCAGATTTGAATGTGGGGGGTATCGTCGAACTTGGGCGTGAATGACGGTGGTTCCCAAAACACAACACACGAATACTTTGGGAGGTCGCAGATACATCCGGCTTGTTTTGTATGTGCCATTGATTTGATGGGCTTGCTGGAATGTTCATCCGCGCATTCTGAACATACACCAATCCTGGATATTGTTTGGGTTTGTTTGTTTGATTGATTCCGGGTCCGATATTGAAGAGGACGAAGTGATCAAAGTGTCATTGGATTGACCAAAGAGAGAGTGAATGAGATAAGAGAAGAGCAGAGCAGGAGATAGAGGGGATGAGTGCTATGTCATTTCAGATCACCAAGATTCAATGCCAAGTAGCTTGCGGCCAAGTGGATTGTCAATGTCTGGTCGGCGATATTCATTCATCTCGAGTGTGGCGAATTGTTTGGATACATAGGATGGATGGACACCTGTGTTGAACCAGTCGATTTGCTTGCGTGCGTATAGATTGTTGACACTGACTGCTGGCAGATGTGCTGCGTATACTACCTCGCGTACCACCTCACCATGGTGAACGGCATCGTTGCAATGCGGTAGACGCCAGTCCCAAAAGACTATATCGCCACGTCTAACAGGAATGTGTACCAGCTGGCGAATGACTTGATTGTGCGCAGCAATTTCATTGTGGAGATCGAATGCGTTGCCTCGTTTTAGTGTCACGTATTGGCTGGCGTTGCTGACAGGCTGCTCCACCTGTTTGAAGTAGTTGACGCATTGCTTGTGGAATGATGGTACGCACCAGAAGCCACCTTCGCCCTCATTGAGAGTATCACTCAATGCTACAAACGCTTGGATTGGTTGCCAGAAGCGCAGAGGTACGTTCTCAATCTTCTGGTGATCACTGGACAGTCTCTGTCCACGGAACAGTTGGTAAGGGTTCTGGATCAGACGATGTTGATTAGTGATGATAGTCATCATACAGACAGCACCGCAGTCACACTTACACAGTCCAAATGTACACCAGTTCCCTTTTGAACTGTTGCTTGGCTGTTGGAATAGGGCGTCATTGGAGTTGGTATTCTGAAGCCACATCGATTGATAAACATAAACATGTGCGCAGGATTGAAGTAGCCATATTCATTGGGCCACTCGCTCTCTGGATAGGCCAAGCCTGTAGAGTATGTGCTTCGGTATAGTTGTACGAATGAATGATACAATGCAGGATGCTGGCGTATCTTATACATTGCATTTCCATGATAATAGTTGATCATGCCACCAAAGCCGTTAGACACTGCGGCCATCTTGTTCTCTTGTGTGGCCAACAGTGCAGCCTCGTCTGGGGAGCCGACTGAAGTGCTTCCAAAGTCTACATTGGCATTCTTTGTCAAGTATGTCCTCAATTCTTTCTGATGAGCATTCATCAGTTCCTTATTATTATCGCCATCAAGTAGTGCAGGCTTTACCAAGTAGCCATACTTATCAAAGTGATCAATATCAGATTGGCTAAGTGGTGAATGTACATGTAGACCTGACTTTGATGTTGTTGAAGACAATGATCTTCTTCTGCTTGCTCCATCATTGTTGACAAACAGTCTACTCAACAATGAAGAGTACTGTTGTCTAAGTAATCTATTGATATTGTTGTTGATAATCATTCTTATATATGAATGAATGGATGTGAATGAATGAATGAGAGTGATGATGTTAAGTATGTATTTGTATGTACAGATAACAAAGTTGTTATGTATATATGTAATTGATGTCTAAATATGTCAATGAATCCGAGAATACTTGGAAGTCGGAAGGTTACATGTTCCGCAAAAGGTAATCGTCGTCAAATGAGGAATCAGTCCCATTCCCGTCAACTCACATACTTATACATAAACAGAAGTATACATATATATATAAATATACATATAAGGAGACCGACGTCGAGTATATGATGGGATCAAAGAGAACGAATGAAGACTTCAAACTTGTTTATAATGTAGATGATGATACAGAGGAGGAAGAGAATGATGACACCGAGGATGAGGAGGCAGTAGCAAAGAAACAGAGATACCAAGCATCCCCTTTAATAATTGCTTCATCATCAAGACTGAAACCAAAGGCTCAATATAATAGTAATAATAATAATAATAATAATGGTCATCATCTAAACACCTACGTTAAACAAACAAACACTGTTACAACAATCATTGATGTCCAAGACCTAGACGATGACGACACAGAGAATGAGTCGGGTCCTCCTCCGCCAAAGACAGGCAAGCCATTAAACCATCAACAACATCGACCGCAACAACAACAACAACAACCTCAACAACAACCTCAACAACAAGAGTTCGACTTTGACTTTGACGACTATGAAGGTCCGGACCAAGAGGAGGACGAGTCTTTAAAACTGGCACTGGCACTATCAATGGATCCTGCAAATGATCACCTTCCAAAGAAGTCATCTACATCGACAACATCAACGACATCAACAACGAAAACATCGTCATCATCTTCATTATCCACATACAATGGAGACGAATACATTCCAAGACCAAACTCCAATTACAAACTGAAACCTCCATCGCAGCAGCCATTACAACAGACGATATCGCCAATCATTGTTCCATCATCTCTTACGCCAAGCAAGGTTAGCAACACTGGTCATACATTCTATTTGAACCAATTACCGACCAATCAGAACGATTCATTCATCAACATATTCAACATATTCGGTCCACCAGTATGTACTCCATTGTACTCAACTCGACTATATCATAATCCTTGACACTCATCATTGCCATCTAGAACATGAAGTCAGCTCTTATATGTGGATTCTCAATGGAGGACAAATGGATATTGTCACAACTTTACTTGTGTCAGGGTAAAGTTGTACCGACAACATTGATCAAACATTGGGTCAAGCCGTCCAAAGAGGGCAAGTTCATGGTAAACGAGAACCTTATGATAATCCATCCACCATTGTCCAATACTGGATTTGGATGTATGCATTCAAAGTTGATGTTAGTATGTTGAATAGTCCTCTCTCCAGCCCAACCCTGTACTCACGCCACAAACACCTTCCACTACCAACCAGCTCGTATATCCTGACTACATCAGAGTCGTCATTCCATCGGCAAACCCAACAAACTATGACTATGATGACATTGGACAAACCGTTTGGTTGCAGGACTTTAAACAACCTGCTGAAGGAACTTCCCCAACATGTGAGTTCAAAGCGACACTGAAGCGATTTGTACAAAGCATGGGCATGTCTTGCCAGTTCCTGGACAAGTATGATTTCTCAACGGCCAGAGCGACACTCATCGTCTCTGCTCCAGGCTACCACAGTGGCACATCATTATCATCATATGGCCACATGCAGCTTCGTTCAGTGCTTCAAAGGTACTACCAGGAGAAGGAGAAGGACCTGGAACAAGGTGCCAAGCGACCTTCTCACGAGGTACACTATCAATGCTCTTCACTTGGACTTGTCAATGATAAGTGGAGCGGGCAATTCTTGGAGAGCTGTCATGTTGGCAGTGTGGCCAATCAGCCGCAATCGGCCAGTCTAAACATATTGTTTCCATCATACACTTGGGTTCGACAGAAGAAGGAGCGTCTGGAGAACAGTGGCATCATCTTCTTAACAAAGAACAACTATGAGAATGAGTCCTTCCCTAGATCATCATTCCGAACAATCAGTCATCGATACAAACATCGCGAGAACCTTGTACTCCACAGCAAGATATTGATTGGCACATCAAACCACCAAGGTCAATCAAAGAAACGATTCGATTGGATATATGTTGGAAGTCATAACTTCTCCCCTGTATGTATCCGAGGTTAGTGAGAGAGTGAGTGATTGAATGATCGACTGACAAACAACTGATTGATTGATAGGCCGCATGGGGAAGATTGCAAAAGAATGACTCGCAACTTTATATTGCCAACTTTGAGATTGGCGTAGTGTTGTTCAATGATGGCAAGTATACGGATGTAGATAGTCTGCCAGCATGGCGTGCACACATCCCATTCGATGTACCAGCGGCGCCATTTCAGAAGGATGAAAAGCCATTCATACAAGAGATGTTCATTGCATCACATAGTGGAGTCACAACTAAACGTAGCAAAAGTTGAGATGTAGATACATAGAGTCCAAGTTTTGTCCACTTTACTTCTTCACATGTTGCTGTTTCTGTACATTGGTCGTGGTCGTGCTGCCTGTGAATGCGTTGTTGGCACCTGTAAGGACGAGATATGGGAGGTTGCTGCTTTGTTGGATGGTCTGCAGCGACTTGACCATGCTGAGCGGGGTGTCGGTAGCGCTCATCTTGTTCTTCTTCAACTCCTCCTCGTATCTCTTGCGCCTCTTTTCCATCTTGTTTTTGCCAGACTTCTTGCCGTGGAACTTTTGCGACAGGGCAATGAAGGCTTCCTTCCTATTCATCGTGCGTCCAAACTCGTCCTTGTGTTGGATGATCGGTTCCACATCGTCAAAGCTATGCAGCTTCCTCTTCATCTTCTCCAGTGGCTTCAACTCGCCCTTTTGTATCAGCAGTCTCAGCGCTGCGGACATGCTCGATGACACCATTGGCTCGTCCTCTAGGATCTTGGCGCCCTCATCCTGGGCTGAATTATCTTGTTTGTCTTCATCTTGATTGTTATCATAATCGTCGTCGTCATCATCATCGTCGTAGTCATTGTCGTTGTCGTTGTCGTCCATATCTTGATCGCCTGTCATGTCCTGGTCATCCTCCTTCTTGACTTTGGCCACATTCTCCTTCTTTACATTGTTTGATTGTTCACCATTATCCTTGCCAATGCCATTGCCATTGCCGTTGACAGTGTGATCATTGTCGTCGTCGTTTGATCGGTAGCTTGAGAGCACACCCTCGGTCTTGAGTCCTCGGACAAACTCTGTGGTGGGATTGAGATAGAGGTCATCCTCATTGGACTCATCCATCTTGTTCTCTTGCTCCAGTTTCCTCTTGGCCACAATCTCCGACACCTTCTCAGCGATGTTCTTTTGGATCAGTGGTGCTTTCTTGGCCGCCGACAAACTCTTGTAAAAGTCCTCGTCCTCAGCCTCCTCATAGACATCGGCCGAGTATGTCAGCCTTGATTCATTCGTTGCCTTCTCCAATGCCTTTTGGTAGTTTGTCTCGCGTCTCTCCTTCTCTGTCTGCTCCTCTATCTCTTGCTGTGACTGTTTCGTTCGTCTTGATCCCAAGTCGCTCGAGGTCGTTGCATCCAACTGATCCAACAATGCCAAGTCATCCTTCTTACGCAACTTTCTCTTCTTCTTTGATGCAGGCTTCCTGAACTTTGCTGCTTCCTCATTAGTGTAGAATGATGATTGCTCTTGTGCTGTTGTGTGTGTGAATTATCAGTGTTAGTGATTGATCGAACGAATGATTGAATGAATGAATAAGATGGATATACATACTTGTTGTTTCAAGGTCGTATGAAGCCAGATATTGTAGTTTCTTCTTGATCTCTTCTTGGATGGTGGCGGGCTGTTCAACTTGTTCATAACCCTTGGATGACTTGTTTGAAATGATGAAGCCAGTGTCTTGATCAGCATTGTTGTCATCATAATGTGTGAGTATGTCACTTGATCGTCCATATTCATCAAACTTGTCATATTGTGACTTCTTCTTGGCGCCAGCCAATGTCTGTTCTCGCTTCTCCTTCTCGGCCAATGCCACATCGACCAACATATCATCGTCATCGTCCAACACTGATGAATCCTTTAAGATGAGTACATGCTCTGATCCATCACCAAAGTGCTTTAGTTGATTGGCCACCTTGATGCCTGCCAAATCACCAGTGCCATATCCTTCGCCAGCCGCCTGTTTCCTCCTGCCAGTGGCAGAAGTATTAACCTTTGTCTTCTTCTCGCTCTGACTCTGTCTTGATCTATTCACCCAACTTGATACATCCTCTTCAACGCCATTATCATCATCAAGCAACTGTTCAGCGATTGACTTTCCAACAGGTGTTGTCTCTCTCTTTTGTTTTAATCTTTAATATGATTGAGTGGATGTTAGTTTGATTGATCGATTGAATGTGATTGAGTGTGTGACATTATAAGTACATACTTTCTAATTGTATCAGATATATCATCTGTTTGTTTCTGTTTGTTATCATTATCTTGTCTTGAAGATGCCGATGATGAGGTGGAGGATGAGGCAGAGGGTGGCTTGTCAATCGTCAATGGTTTAAGACCCATTGATATCCTAATCTTGTTTGTCTCCTCAATAGACATCTCTGTTATAACTTTATTTGGTCTTGTATCACTCATCTTATTATTAGTTAGTTATTAATAGTTATCTGTTTGTTTGAAAGTGATGTGACATAAGTCGCGAAAAGGTGTTTGTTTCGTGTTCATGAATGAATGATTCAAACAATGCATTCAAGAATATTCAAGATAATTGAGTGATCAGGGAATGTCAAGTTGAGGGACAGAAATAATGAAGGTTTATCCAAACCAAACACATAACTATTTGGAGAGTATATGGTAGATACTCGTCAATCTAAATTATATTAATATTAGTACAAGTATTAATTATTGTACTTTGTTTGAAGTTGTAGTTTGTAGTTTGATTGATTGACAGAAACTTGAAAAAAGGTGGTCTTGGTCAATGAAACATCTCATTTTTAGATTCCCACTCATCGAAAGTGAAGATAGAGAGATAGTGATAGAGATAGAGTGATAATTAGTAATTAGTAATATGAATTAGACATGAGTAACAAACCAAATAAACAACAGACTCCAGTTACATCGACAAAGACAACGACACCAACACCTCCAACTACACAAACACAAATACCAGCAACACAACCATCACAATATGTTGAGTTCCTAAGGAATCAACTCAATAAGAAGAAGGAACAACGTACCTCATCGACATCATCATCATCATCAACAGCAGCTACATCATCAACAGCGGCTACATCAGCGAGCAAAGACAACAACAACAATGAGAGCAATGGCAGTCGCACACATATAGTGCCACCAACAACAACAGCACAGACAACACAGACAACGTCAACATCATCACCATCGCCAGCGACTATAAACATATCATTGCCAACTAAACAAAAGTCCTCATCATCTTTACACTCCCCATCAACAACACAGCGATCATCGTCTTCAATATCAGGGTCATCAAGTCAGAAAGAGAACAGCAGTAGTACTAGCAATAGCAATGGCACTGGCACTGGCACTGGATCATCATCACAGTCATCACAATCATCACAGTCGTCTCAACAACATAGGTCATCTAGTGTGTTATCGAATAGTGCAGCGGATGTGATTGTGATCATTGATGACATGGAGTCACCTCCTGTATCGCCACGACCTTCATCAAAGAGTAAATCAACAACATCTACATCTACATCGAATACATCCACTTCAAAGACGACTCCAGCTCCAACAACAACAACAACAACAACAACAACGACGGCAAAATCAAAGGATACAGCAGCTGCTCCAACAACCAACACAGCACCAAAGTCGACCGATACCAACAACAACAACAACATTGCTAAAGATAAGAGCCCACTTACATCATCTCAAGAGAGGCCCAAGCTTCTTATTCCAATAGCAGATCTCAAGTCCTCCTCTGAGGACATGCCAACACCCGCCTCTTTGTCCAAGACAATGAGCAGCCTTGCATCAATCCCAAGACCATCCTTCTCATTTGGTCAGTCATCTCTGCTCATACCCAAGGAGAAGCCCAAAGAGAAGCCAAGGGAGAAGGAGAAAGAGAAAGAGAAGGAGAAGGAAGATGTGCCAATGTTGGAGGAAGATGATGATGATGATGAGCCACCAAAGAAGACAGCAAGCAAGCCAGCACCAGCACTAGCACCAGCTCCAAAGGGACAACAAGATATACAACAGCAGCAGGTGCCCAAGACACCAACGACAAACAATGCAACTCCTATTACGACGCCAATATCAACACCTGTTGCTGTTAGTTCAGTCAACAATGTACATGATCTACTTCAGAAGTTGGGCTTGTTGCAGTATGAGTCTGTGCTGGCCGACGAGTGCATTGAGTACGAAGACCTGGCCGACCTCACCGACGAACAGATGAAGTCCATGGGCTTCAAGATAGGTCACATCAACAAGATCAGAAAGCAACTCGGTATCACCTACACATCATTATTATCATGTAAGTACATGATGTGGCAGGGCCTGGAGGTTGACCATTCACTAACATCACTATCCAACATAGCCAACATCAAAGAACTACTTCAATCGAATCTGAAGGAGTCTATTTACTCTGCAATTGTTGATATGCCTGGGCTTCAATCATTGTTCAACACACCAAACAAGTCTGTCTCTGAGGACAATCTGGCATCTCCAACGACAACGACAACATCGACATCAACAACAACGACACCATCATCAAAGCCAACATTGTCAATGGGCGATCTGAGGGATTCTCTCCCATCATCATCATCAACGACATCAACATCAACTACATCAACAACACCATCATCGTCAGCAACAACTACTATAGCGGATCAGACAGGTCCTCAGCGACCTTCTACGGTGGAGGTTATGGATATAGAGTCACCAAAGAAACATACAGTCGACAAGTCAGCTAAAGGTGGTGTGGATGTGGCTCACAGCGAAGATCTTCGTCATCAAGATGTGGCCGACGACAGAGATGATTACAACCCAATGGATGCAGGCGGATATCCAGAGTCAGATGTACAGAGTGTAGATGGCGGCGATGTTGACTCAAGCGACATGGAGGTGGATAAGGCAAAGAACGACAGTGCACAACCTCAAGAGAAGGAGAAGGAGAGGGTTAAGGAGAAAGAGAAAGAGAAGGAGAAGGACAAACCGACAGAGGAGACAAGTGCAAAGGTCACCGAGAAGGACAATGTTGATCATAGCGAGACAAAGACAAAGACAAAGAAGAAGACGACAGAGAAGAAGACAAAGTCCAAGGATGGTGAAGAGCCTGAGGAAGATGAAGAGGAGGATGAAGACAAGCAGAGGGAAGATGAGGTGGACGAAGCCGAGGATGAAGAGGAGGCGGATGAGGAAGACGACTCTGGCATTGATATGATGTCCGATGGAGAGAAGAAGCCCAAGACAAAGAAGAAGACAGCCGCGACAAAGCCATCGGGCACATCAAATGAACAAGAGGAACAAGAGGAGAAGGAACCAACGACAAAGAAGACAAAGAAGACAAGGAGGACAATGAAGAAGACAAAGACCAATGATGACGGCGAGGCATCTGACGAGGAGGAGGAGGAGGATTCAGATAGTGACTTTGGCGTGTGGGATGAGGAGTACAGGAAAAGAATAGAGGGCATGCGAGGTGGTCCGAGCATATCTGGACAGCTCTCCGGTGATGCCGCTGCATCGGTGATTGGCCCTGGATTCATATCTGGCTCAACATCATCAACAACGCCACTTCCCTCTGCCACATCAGGAGGTGGCAACAAGATGGGCCTCGAGGCAACAGAGGAGTTTTTGTTGGAGAAGTACAATGAGTGGAAGGAAGGAAACAACAGACTCAAGATCATCGCGCCTCACTACTGGGACAAGTATCGATCACGCATTCACATGATAGAGAGGGAGCTCAATGAGGCACGACACATCAAGCTCAATTGTTTCAATCGACTGTGGAATGATGGCTTCAGGAAAGAGGACTTCAAGCTGATCGAGCACCAGTTCCACGACTATTGGGAGAAGGAGTGGTTGAGGGATCTGCTCAAGCGCGACACTCGTCCACACTTTGACGATGTCATCATGCCTGATGAGTCCTCTGATGCGCAGGATGCCAGTGGCGATGCCGAGGCCAAGGCGGCCAGGCGTGCACAGAGGAAGAGCAAAAAGACAGACGGCGACAACAACGACAACGACATCAATCACGAAGATGACAGCATGAGTGAGAACGAGGAGTGGGACGATGACAATGACATCCTATCAAAGGCCACTGCAAAGAGGTCACCGACACGTGCCACTCCAGCTGTTGCACACTCCCCTGCCGCGACCACTGACGCAGCCACTACCACCACTGCTACATCACCTGCCTCCACGACGACTACGACAGCGGCAACAGCAACGGCAACGACCAAATCTCCAACTCTGCGATCACCCCCTCCTCCCAAGGCAAGCTCACTCAAGCCAGACTCTCTGGTGGACTACGACATGTGGGACATGCCCAACAAGAAGAGGAAGGCTGGAAGTGAGAATGCACCCAAGGCTGATGGTACTACAGACTCTCTTGAGAGTCCAAACTCACTCAGAAGATTGAAGAAGAGAGCAACCGACAATACTACAACAAAAGGTGATGAGAGTGACGACATCTTTGGAGACGACGAGATTGAACTTGGCAAGGAGGCAAAGAGCTCCACCACCAGCACCACCAGCACCACCAGCACCTCAACAAACAACAAGATGAGGAAGAAGAAGAAGAAGAAGCAAGTAGACTCAAACAGCAGCGATAGTGAGGGCGAGGATACGTTCTCCAAACCAAAGAAGAAGGCTGCTGCCAGCCAGTACTTTGAGGAGACATTGAGCGACATTGAGTTGGACAGCGACAGCAGTGATGATGGCGCAATGAACAACGGCTCACAGCTCACACCGTCAGACTACAGCACATCGGCAGAGTCTGGAAGCAGCGACAGCGAGAGTGGCAGTGGCAACAGTGACAGCGAGAGCGACGACTATTCGGGCACAGACGACTCGTCGTCGGCGTCATCATCGTCCTCGACCGATGAGGAGGACAACGCGGAGGACGCCGCTGCCAAGCTCAAGCTGAAGCCCAGGCCCATGTACGCCAAGCAGCCCGCCATCAAGAAGTATCCCGTCAAGAGGCAGACCAAGATGATCGATCTCAAGGAGGTCAAGGGCATCAACGACGTCAACGAGACTACGCTCAGGATGAGAAGGCGCGAGGAGAAGGTGTCGCACGAGATCCAAGAGATGCGTGAGAAGAACCGCGGCAAGATGGACAAGGAGTACATGGTCATCTTCCCCGGCCAGGACGAGTCGTCCAACATCCTGCTGCATCAGGACATTGCACTGTTGATGAAGCCGCATCAGATCAGCGGTGTGCGCTTCCTCTGGGACAACGTGGTGATCAAGAACATGGGCTGCATCCTGGCGCACTCGATGGGACTGGGCAAGTCGCTGCAGACCATCGCCTTCATCCATACGCACTCGCACTACCACAAGCACACCAAGTATCTTCTGATCGTGCCAGCCAACACCCTGTACAACTGGGTGAACGAGTTCCGCAAGTGGGTGCCGCCCGAGTCGCGCATCAACCTGTACTACCCGCGAGAACATCACATGGTCACGCGCGACATTGCCAAGTGGAAGGAGACTGGCGGCGTCTTCCTGTCCACCTACCAGTACTTCCTCAGTTTCTACCAGCAGGACGAGGAGAAGGGCTTCATCGCCAAGCGAAGCCAGGAGACCATCGAGCTGTTCAGCACGGACGTCGTGATCATTGACGAGGGCCACAAGATCAAGCAATCCAAGTCCAAGACCAACAACTTCCTCAGCAAGGTCACCACGCGCAAGCGTATCATCCTCACTGGCTATCCATTGCAGAACAACCTGAAGGAGTACTACACTATGATCAACTATGTGCGTCCACTGCATCTTGGTAGCGAGAAGGAGTTTGAAGAGCGATTCATTCGACCGATTGAGGCTGGTGCCAAGGCTGAGTCCTCTGAACAAGCTTTCCAGTATGTGGTAGTGTGCGCCAGACATGCGGATAACAATGCAGTCGCGACTAACATAACATCTCTCCTTCACACAATATCAACAGCCTCATGAGACAAAGGTTATTCGCACTTCAAAGTTTGATCAAGGACTTTGTCCAGCGTCTTGGTCCAGACATCTTGGAGAAGGAGTTGCCCAAGAAGATTGAGTAAGTGGCCGCGCCAGAGCGTGGCACGACTGATCAATCCACTAACACTTCATGTCAACATCAACAGGACAATCATCAATGTCAAGGGCACCACAGTTCAGTACAACTTGTTGAAGATACTTAGGGGCATGCACAAGAACATCATTGAAGAGTTTGAGATTGCTACACAGATTTGTAATCATCCCGATACACTTCTCGAGAAGAAGCCATTGGAGATCAAGAAGATCACGGAGAAGTCAAAGATCTCAGACTTGAAGAAGATCCTCTCGGAGAACATGCTGCCATGGCAGGACTGCTGCGAGAAGGAGGAGCTGGTTAAGCGCATCATCGACCTGCACGAGAAGCTGGTGCTGTCAGATAACAATCATTTCCCGCACGAGCTCGATCGCTACAACTACCGCAAGGGTATCGTTGAGAACTCCACCAAGATGGCCGTCTTCTTTGACTTGGTCGAGGAGTTTGTCAAGGCCAACGAGCGCATCGTCGCCTTCTCCTCGTCGATCCCCACGCTCAACCTCATGGAGTACTTCTTGCAGAAGCGCGAGTGGACCAAGAACTATGACTACTATCGTCTGGACGGCTCGACGCCGCCTCAGGACCGCCAGAAGCTGAGCGAGCGCTTCAACGACCCGACGTCTGAGTGCAAGTTGTTCCTCATCTCCACCAAGGCCGGCAGTCTGGGCATGAACCTGACTGGTGGCACGCGAGTCATCATGTTTGACATGCTCTGGAACCCCGTACACGAGCGCCAGGCCGTCTTCCGTTGCTTCCGTATCGGTCAGAACAAACCGGTCTACATCTACACCCTGGTGACGGCGGGCTCGATGGAGGAGATGGTCTACAGCAGGACAGTGTTCAAACAGAAGCTGGCCAAGCGTGCCATCGATCAGCAGACGCCCAAGCGACACATGCAGCAGGAGACCGCCCTGCCCGACGGATCGATCCCACCGCCAAACAAGGAAAACATCGACCACGCCCTCGCCACCACCAACGACGAGGTGCTCAAGAGAGTGTTGACGCGCAACTATGACAACCTCATCAACGTCAGCGACTATGTCAAACTGTTTGAACACGACTCTATAGGAAACCTCACCGAAGAGGAAGGAAAGGACGCCATCAGCAGTCTGCATCGCGAGATGGAGCAATCCAAGATGGCGCCACAGCGCGAGACTGCAGCCGAGCGTGGTCGTCGCTTCATCAACTTTGGCGCATCACTTACCAAGCCAACGCCAATGTAATTAGTCCATCCTAGTAGTAGTTCCAATGTCCATGCCAGCTGCGTGGATATTAGTGTACAGGTACACAACCAATGTCAATAAAGCGACTCATCCTTTCCAAGTTGTCTACTGATCAAACCCATAAATTGAATCTTCCAACTTACCACACTCACTCACTCAATCTCTTTGATTGGTTGATTGAACTGGCTCATCATCATTTAACTTCAACACTCTACATGTAATATATCTTTAAATATAACTGTATCACTCTCTAGTTATACATCTTTGAATGAATCGATCATTTGATAGTCATTAAGCAAACAGACAGTCTCATCAGGTACACAAGGCATCACCTACCCGTCACCACCCAACCAAGATAAAGCAAAGCATGAACAAATACAAGATAACCAAACAGCTTGGTGATGGCACCTTTGGTGATGTTCGCAAGGCAATCAACAAGCATACAATGGAAGTTGTATGTTCAATCAATCAATCAATCAGAATGAATGAATTAATGAACGAATGAACTAATGATCGGACGATCGGACGACAACGATGACAATAGGTAGCCATCAAGAGAATGAAGAAGCAGTATAAGTCTTGGGAAGAGTGTATGCAGTTGAGTGAGATTAATATACTTCAGAAGCTCAATCATCCAAACATTGTGAAGTTACTAGAGGTGATACGTGAGGAGGATGAACTATTCTTTGTCTTTGAATACCTCGACAGCAACCTCTACGAGAAGATAAAGGATCGCGAGAAGTATCTACCCGAGGGCAAGATAAGGAATATAATGTAAATGATCATTGGCGATGGCTACACTTGCTCGCTCATTCACTCACTCAATCATTACTCCATCAATCATAGATACCAAATATTACAGGCATTGGCTTATATGCATGACAGTGGCTACTTCCATAGAGATATGAAGCCAGAGAATATACTTATACTTAATGATACGATCAAGATTGCAGACTTTGGATTGGCCCGAGAGGTACAGGCCAAGCCACCTTACACTACATATGTGTCGACGCGATGGTACAGAGCACCAGAGGTGCTGTTGCGAGCTCAGACCTACAGCTCACAGATTGATATATGGGCGGTTGGGGCCATCATGGCCGAACTCTACAGTCTGAAACCTCTCTTCCCCGGCTCGAGCGAGATTGATCAACTCTTCAAGATTGGCGATGTCCTCGGCCCGCCCACCCTGGCCACATGGAGCGATGGCATCAAACTATCAAACAGCATGAACTTCAAGTTCCCCAATGTAAGTCCATCACGCCTGGATGACCCTGGAACTGGACCATCAAGCTAACCGATCAATCAATCAATCACCAGCTGGTCCCAACACACTTGTCCACACTGCTACAGAATGCGAATGAGGATGCTATCGACTTGATGTATGGCCTGCTTCAATATGATCCAATGAAGAGACCGACTGCCGCACAGGCATTGGCACACAGATACTTCCAGGTTACGATACCAGCATCAATCTTGTTAAGACCCAATCATGTAGAATACTCAAAGGCCAAACTTGGCCACAACAAAGAACTGGAGAGTGAGCATCTCTCACCAAAGACACATCACACTCCATCTCCAACGACCATACATCATCATCAACATCATCAATCACCGCAACATCTTGGACATGGACAAGGACATGGACAAAGACGCAAGTCTAATCCATATTTAAGGAATGCACGATACACAGCCAATGCCACTTTGGCATTGTCACCATCAAATGCTCCACTATTGTTAGTGGACCCTCAACAACAACAACAACAACAACAACAACTGATGGCACACTCTACACCAAAGTTGGTTAACAAACAGCAACAGCAACAGCAACAGCAACAACAACCTATTATTTCAAACATTGACAACAACAACAAAGCGATTGGAACCAGTGGCAACAACAATAATATAGCACTGGCAGCATCACCATCAAACAGACCACCACCAAAGTATAGTTCAGCACCTTACAACAACTATCCTATATATTTACCGCCAGGTGGAAAATCACTTCCAGGACCATTTCCACCGCCTCCATTTATGGGTGGTGTAGGTTCACAAACACTTTCAAACAACAGTAATAATAGTAGCAGTAATAGTAACAATAGTAATAATAGTAATAATAGTAGTAGTAGTAATAGTGTAGTTAGTACAACATCAAAACTATAAAGTTATTATAAATAATAAATAAATCAAAATTGTAAACAACAACAAAATGAACTTTCAAAGGGTTTTTCATATCCTTCCGATCCCTTTTGGAAAAGGGAACATAACAGTTGGATGGCACATGTCCAAGATACAAATATTTATATATTATTTATACATACATATACATATACAATCAAACAAGTTAACGAATGGACGCATCTGAACAACATAGTGAAGATAGTGTTGTCAACAATAACAATGATGACGAAGATATTACAAATCAAACATCGGCAACAACAAGATGTGATGTGATTGAACCAACAACAGTAGTCGAAGATGAAGTTGAACAACAAAAACAAGCTCCATCATTGGACAGTGACAACAATAATAATGATATGAATGGTCACTCTGTTGAGACTTCATCATCAATCAGTCCACAAACAAACACAGACGAGCAAGAAGAACAGCAACCAGAACAACCAATACCAGACAACAATAACATTAACAACAAGGAGGAGGAAGAGGTCAACAGAGATGATGATGTTGTTGTAGTTGATACACCAACAACAAACAGCGCACAAAATAACTCAATCAATCATGAAGATGATCAAGTGAAGGAGACAGCCTCACCTGAGATCATTCAACAACAATCTGTTACAGAGTCTGAGGGCCAACCTCAAACTACTGACGTCATCACCATCATTGCTGGGCCAGAGGCCGAACCTCAACAACAACAACAGCAAGAAGAGGATAAGGAGGTAGCCCAACCGCTGCTGCCACAACTAGAACACAACATTACGTTCGAGCCACAGCCCACTCTGCAAGAACCTATGGAGCAACAACAGTCTCAAATAATCATGCCCGTTGTCTCTCAGACAGTTGAAGAGAGGGTAGTCGAGGCACAACAGATACCAAACCAACAACAAGACTCTAGAAACGACGCGACCGCTGGTAGTGATCATACAACAGTAGTACAAGACGACAACATAGAAAACACACCACAAGACAACGATAACGACAACACAATCTCTGACATCATTGCACCACTGATCTCCAAGTTGCCCGAGGTCGATCACATCTTTGAACACTTCATCGTTGTTGGACTCTCGCCAAAGTCTCCGCCGCGAATCGGCACGCCACACAAGGTGGAGGTGCTATTCTCCTATCCACCGAACAAGCAGGCGCCACCCAAGGCACACGAGTTCTGCTTCCCCAATGGCATCTCACCATATTTGATCAAGAGGACACCATCGTGCTCCAGTCTCAATGAGCTGCTCTATGGACAACCGTACCTGCTCTCCTCCGAGTTCTTCTACACCTTCATGCTCACAGGCGAGTGTCCACTCTATGGCATCTGTCTGACCAAGCCTGAACTCCTAGGCACAACGCCCAACTTCTTCCACGATCAACCATCGCCACTAGAGCGCAGTCTAACATATATTGCTACACCAAGGAGTAAGTGATTGATTGAGTCCATGTGAGTGAGTGATGATGAAGTACCTCGTGCGACTAACCCAACCATTCATTCAATCAATCGATCAACCATTCAAGGCTACTGCTTCCTCTCCAAACATCCAATATTCAATGTACACTTTGATGCGCTGATGTACTTGTTGGCGCAAGATAGATTGATAACGATCACTCGCGAGCTAAGCTCCGCAGAGGAGTTTGAAACTAATGACCTTCAGCAACAACAACAACAACAACAAGCTCAACAACAGTCCACTCAAGCATCAGCGTCAACACCATCAACAACAACACCAGCGAACGAATCAACGACAGACACATCATCAACATCAACAGATTGTAACAATACTAATAATAATGATAACAATAACAATGATCAATCATCAAGACAAGTGAAGCTGCGAGAACAAGACTATAAGCATTTGGTGGATAAGAAGAACTTGTTGGATATCTTGGAGTTCTATCGATCATTGACATCGCCATCTCCTGGCCAAACACTCTCATTCTCCTTCCCTGGCGAAGCATACAAGAGGAACTACTTAATGCCAGTATGTCCGTCTATTCACTCGTTATCAATCAATCAATCAATCAATCACTGACACACCTGCACCAACAGATGGGCAAGACTAAGAACGAGGTATACTCAAAGACCATTGCTGATTGGGCGACGATTGGCCTGTTTATGCACTTGAGCCTGGAGAACATACTTAAGGTGCTGGGAGCAGTTCTACTCGAACAACGTGTTGTGTTCGTCTCTGATAACCTCTCATTGTTGTCATCAGCATGGTATGTTCAAGCCTCCAACCATCAATCCATCATGTTGTTGTCCAACATCCACTCACTGACACTCCCTCCTATCTAGCTTTGCCATGCAGTCATTCATCCATCCATTTGTTTGGCAAGGATTGTTCGTACCGATCATACCACAGGCGCTGATAGACTACTTGGAGGCACCGGTGCCTTTCATCGCAGGTGCACAGACACTCAAGAAGAAGAGCTTCGATGGACTGATCGTTGACTTTGCCCATGACAAGATATACTACAACCAATGCCGTCCGCCACCCTTCTTGCCCGAGTTTAAGAAGTTGTAAGTGTCCCCATCCTACTCCCCAATGTCCATCGATCACAAGCTCACCACTCCCCACCATTTGGATCTATTCCAATCACTCAATCAATCATAGACAAAAGAACCTTAGCAGTGATCAACAGATACTGTTGAATGAGAAGAATCATAATCCAATCAAGAATACACCGACTCAGATCGAGGCGATGAATAGGATCTACACGACGATACAACAATATATATGGTGGCTGGTCAAGAAGATTGAGAACAGCTTCCTGGTCACCGAGGAGATTGCCGCCGACAGTCTAAAGATCGAACAGCTAAAGAACAAGTTCCTGGCGACCGTATCCTCACACAACAAGGACTTTGTCAGCATGCTACTGGACACTCAGCACTTCTCACACTTCCTACATTCATCACTTGTTCAACAACCAACTGCCACCACTACTACAACTACTACAACTACTACTACAAGTTGAATGTAATACAAGGTCATTTCCATGATAATTAACAAACGGCGGTCATGTGATTGATTGATTGGGTGCAAAGTGGGGTGACGCGGATTGATCAATCTTCGTCTTTCATTTGACCTTTGAATACAGATATTTATTTAAAAGATAAGATAAGATGTTAGATACACTTGCACATACTATATTGAGACAAATAATTAAGTATATTAATGAAGAGAGTGCACTTGATGTAATATGTCTGTTGTTGACATCAAAGTCATTGTTCAACATCAAACACTTATTCAATCTAAACTTGAACACTCACAAGTTCAAGATCATCCAGCAGCAGGACAACCTGATCATACCTCAATTCAACAATATCTGGAATCGTAAGTTAACTCGGACTGGATCATCATGAATGGCACAACTGATTAACCACACCCATCATACATACAGAGGACTCTGTCGAGTGGAATAACTTGAAGTATCTGACATTGGACAATTCCTTCTTTGATTTTGAGGCACCTCCATTGAGCGTATCATTGCCACCTGCCCTGTTCATATTACTGCTTGAGGGCTTTAACGTCCCTATCGTACCTGGATCACTCCCCATCACACTCAAGGAGTTGTACTTGGGCGATGATTATAATCAACCACTTCAAGTTGGATCCCTACCTCCAAACCTAGATGTTCTAGAGTTTGGAAACAACTATCTCCAACCTATTGAAGTTGATATCCTACCCAACTCCATTGTCGACTTGTTCTTTGGGGATGCATTCGACATTGCCTTTCTTCCAGGATCTCTCCCGACATCACTTACTACCCTTCATCTGGGTTACTATTACAATCAACCAATGGAAAATGGTGTCCTGCCTCTGGGTCTGACACAGCTGGAGTTTGGAGTTGAATTCAACCAACCACTTGGTCGACATAACCTTCCATCAACCTTACAATCACTAGTACTTGGCCAAGGATATAAACTAACGTTTACTCCTGGATCCATGCCTGTCTCACTTACCTACATACATGGTGGTTTGCTATTCGATCAACCTCTAGTGCCCGGTGTCTTTGACAACCTAAAGACCCTGCACTTCGGCACCAATTTCAACATGCCATTGACCACTGGCAGTCTGCCACAGTCTATCAACACAATATTCCTTGGAGACTCTTTCAATCATGTCATACCAAGTGATACGTTTCCAAAATCACTTCAATCAATCAAGTTTGGATATCGCTACAACAAGGTGATTGCGCCAGGTGTCCTCCCACCAAACCTCATTGTGTTGATAATGGGCGTATGTTTCAATCAACCATTTGTACCAGGTTGTCTTCCTGCAACACTCAAGATACTGAATTTGGGCAGATCTGGTTTCAATCATACACTCACAGACAAGACATTGCCAGACTCACTTGATCATCTCAGATTGGGATCATGTTTCAATCAACATATTGTCACACTTCCACCAGCACTGACATATCTAAACATGTATCCAGCAAGAGATCAACATTTTACAACTGGTATCCTACCTTATAAATTGTTGACATTGAAGCTGAAACACTTGGACAAAGATCCATTACCAATGGTGTTGCCAGACTCTATCACTCACCTATACCTCGGTTCTCTATTCAATCAAACTATATCCACTGGACTTCCAGCTTCACTCAAATACCTCAGACTTGGACATAATTTCAATCAGGAAGTGTTCCCTGATCACCTTCCATCAGGCATCCAATCTTTAAAGATGGACAATATCCAGGCACAACTTCCAAAGTTCAAAGGTATCTTCAATAGTGTTGAACGTCTGGATATTGGCCTTGACCAGGATCAACAGATCTATTTGTGGATGATACCGCAACTCTTCCCAAATCTTGTTACAATGGCCGTCAATTTCAAGTTCAATCCTGCAAAGTTCCAACAGATACTTGGACTACTACCACAACTCAAACATCTAAAGAACATTGAACTGGAGCATAGTGGAAAGAAGGTACAAATACGTCTTGTGGACGATGTTCAACAAGTGGCAATATTCCTTGTTGATGACTTTGATGGATGGTTCGTCAACATCCAGGACCAAAGTTTGATCAAACTCTTGACAGAGACTTTCCCCAACCAACCTGATTACATCTAATAAATGGAATTGACAATACTTTTTAAGTTCATACATATACATCGTTCAATGTATTTATTACTGTTTGCTTGCTGATGATGTCAGGCTTATGAAGTCGTACTAGGAGTCCACAAGACTTTGATTGGTGGTGATGGTGTGTGTTGGTGATTGCTTGATTGATTGATTATTTGATTGATTGATTGATATTGATTAATTGATTGATTGAATAAATGATGAAGTTGACCTGGACGCGTCAATGTCGTTGAAGGCGCCACAGCGCCAAAGACAAAGGGTGGAAAAAGTATTGAGATGGGAGAGGGGAGAAGTAGAAGAAGGCTATTCAAAATGTGGTATACAACAGAGTGGATGAGCTCGGTGTTGTTGATGATGATGATGGTTGAGTGAGAGTGATTTGGTCCAGGCAGACGGGAGATATGTTTGGCGTTTCCAGCTAGTTATGCGGGAAACATGTCCAAAGGAGGAATGCCTTGAATGTGATCTTGGTACTTGCGCTTGATGCATTGCAACTCCTCGTGGTTGTATCGGTGCTGGATCCAAAGCTGTCGGACACACTGGATGAAAAAGGGATTGTCTACGTAGACTCGCGTGTAGTAGACCAGTGTGGAGGTCCAAGGGTTGCCAGTGGTCAACAGTGCCAGATAGACACAGGCGGCAGCAACAATCGATGGGAGGAAGGTGACCAGGTTGTAGTCGAGCAGAGAGAGCTCGCCATAGAAGTGTGCCAGCAGCGAGACGCGCGCATCAGCATTGGGACCGAGCGCGCGCAGATAGCGGCTGAGGAAGAACTTGACGGTGGGCGTCGTGAGGCAGAACTTGAGTGCGTGCAACACCTTGGCCTCGGCGTCCACCAAGCTGTCCATGGTGAAGTACTCGCCAGCCGACACAATGATGTCGTGCGACGAGGGTGGCTGCACCTCCTCGTACTTGAATGCCAGATACAAGCAGGCGGCGCCATAAAGCTGGAACTGATCCTTCTTGACGATGAACAATGACAAAAAGCGATCCAAATAGTTTGTTGCCATGAATATAGTCTCATTCTTCAAGCGATGCTCAAAGACGACATCCACCATCCAATCGATCACTTGAGCTCTCATGTGAGGTGTAATGTCTGTCTGACTTGCCATGTAATCCCTTGGTTGATACTTTAACTGTTTTGATTGATTGAGTGAGTGAGTGTGATGGGTGGGGATGGGATGATTCCAGGTGGATGATGGTACACATACTTGATTGATTCGACTATGATGATGGATTTCAGTTATATATTCTACGCAGTATATGGGATCGTCTACAACTTCCAGATCAATGTTGTCGTGGACAACAGAGTTCCACTCCTCGCCCCAGAGATGGTGTGAGACCATCCTGTGGAAGTCGTGCATCTCCAATGGTCTATAAAGTTGTAGTTGTTGTTGTTGCAGTTGTTGTTGTTGTTGCTGCTGCTGTTGTTGTTGTTGCTGCTGCAGTCTTAATTGGTGTGCTTGTTGTTGTTGTTGCTGCACCATGTGGAGTTGTTGTTGTTGCTGTTGCTGCTGCTGGAGTTGTTGTTGTTGTTGAAGTTGTTGGATACGTTGGTGTTGTGGTTGTTGGTTCTGTGGACGAGCCAACACTGATGAATGTGTCGATACTATTATATTAGGTGTAAGTGTTGGTACTTGTTGTTGTTGATGTTGTTGTTGTTGCATCCTATTGTTGATGTTGATGTTACCCCTGATCATAGTACTCTGAGTGATCAGTGTACTATGTGTGATCTGTTGAGGCTTCTGTTGTGGCACTTGTTGTCTATTATTATTATTGATCATATTCTCTGGCATGTTCTCTGCCAATCCATTGGAAAGGTGCTTAACCTGATCCACATGGATGGTCTTTGAGGCCAAAGGACGCTGGTTCTCCTGGTTATTATTCTCATTGTCCATTGTCTATTTGATTGATGTAAATGAGTAAGTGAGTGGAATGATTCCAGATTGAATGATTGAATGAATGAATGGAAGACATACCTGATTGGAGTTCTTTGGAGATTGTTGCAGATGCTGCTTTTGAGACGTGTGTTGTTGTTGTTGCTGTTGCTGCTTGATGGTTTGGAAGGTGGTTGGCTTGTTTGTGACGTCACCGAGAGCGACTCTCTTGATGGTATATTTGTTCTCCTCTTCGGTCGATGGAGAGCCTCTCTTTATAAGCTTCTGATCCGATATCTTGTCCAATACTTTCTTTGACATGTTTGCTTTGGTAATGTTAATTGGCATTGACATGGACATGGACATGGACATTGGCATGGACATTGTAATTGACAAAGTAGGTGATGATGCCATTATTATTATTATTGTTTGATTGATTGATTAAGGTAGTATGGTAATTAGTATATTTATATTATATATATTATATGTACAAGGTTGATTGAATGGATGATGGTTGGAAATAAATAAATAATAGAGTTGATTGATTGGATGGATGAATGAAAGGAATGAAAGGGAATGAAAGGGAATGAAAGGAGGGAAAGTAGTTGGTATAGCAATATAGTAATTGGGTGTGGACCAAGGATAGCCAACGATAGCTGTTCAGCCAGTCAGTCAGACAGAGAAGAGAAGGTCAATGTGAACTTGATCGATTGATTGTTGGGCAATGGGCAAGTAGCAACTTATAAGTTGTTGTTGTTGTTGATTAAATATGTTATTGTTGTTGTTGTTCACGTGATGTGAGAGTGAGAGAGCGATGTTGTTGTTGTAGTTTGTGTTGGAGATATTCACCGCAGTGGCACAAGTGTAGTGATGTTGATGATGATGATGATGTTGTTATAAAGAATAGAATTGAGGCTGGGCCAGACAACAACAACAACAACAAGTATAGTATAGTATAGTATATATATGTATGATGAATGAATGGATTGTAATGTTGAGAATGAGTGTGTATGCAGATGTTGACGGCCAGGGTTATCCGTCGTTGTTGTTGTTTGCTTGGTTGTTTGGGCTTGAATGAAGTGAAGTGTTGATGAAGTTATCGTTGGTAACAACAGGGCTCGCCTCCACTTTGTAAGAGGGAGTGTTCACCTGACTGAGACTGGCACTACCTTCAATCTACAACAACAATCAATCAATCAATCAAACTAAACAAAACAAACAACAAACAAACAACTTTGTTGGGTGAGTGAGTGAGTGTGAGAGTGATGATGTTGAGGCCAATCATCAATAGTAATAGTCGATATTTACAATGCAAGCATGGGTCCTTCCTGGCACACCGTATTACAACTTCATAAACAAATGGTATTGGTAATTAATGACAGTAGTAGTGGAGTGGAGTGCGACAGGACTGCCTGACTGCCTCTATTCAATGAGTGATTGATTGTGTTGATGGAGAATGAATGGATGAATGAATGAAGGGGTGTTGGGGTTCGCGCGGGGTGATGATCAAATACACTTTGAATTATCAAAGTTGTGTGTGTGTGTGTGTGTGAGGGGTGGGCCAAAGCCCGAGTGCCCAGACCCCATGTTGCTGATGAACAACAACGAGTTGTGCCTCCATACAATCAATGATACACTGGGTGATGTGTATATTGATAGTTGGAGAATCATTTCCCCACTATACGCATTGTGTTTGATCAAGGCTGGGGAATCATTCGACGAGGCAAGGCACACCACTCAATAATAATATATGTTATATTGTGTATGATGATGTGATATACGTGTGTGTGTGATGCAAACAAGTTGATCAAATGTACATCTTATCCAATTGTAAATTGAATTGATGGTTGGTGGATGGATGGATGTTTGGATGGACCTTTGTAAAAAAGGTTTGATTTGATGATGGTATTGACAAGTGCTGCTTAATTTGCAACCTAATCAAAAGTGATGTAATGTTGTCTTTTGATCTGATCTTGTTATTGTATATATGTATGTGTATGTGATCATTTGATATTGGTATAAGGGTGGTATGAAAGGGGGTCTTGAGAATGGGGGCAGACAGACAGATAGATAGAGATTATAGATTGATGGAGATTGAACAAATGGTACATCTTCACATGGTGGTGATGATAATTTACCTCCAACAACTATTGGTTCGCCAATGACAAGCATATTATTATTATAATAATATAAGTTTATAAATAATATATATAGTAATAATACAAATGTAGTTATACAGGTATGTAGTTATTGTTCGGGATAAACAATGATGGTTGGTTGGTTGGTGAAGTTGATGTTGAGTTTGTTGTTGTTGTTGTCCAAGCGAAGCGGGGCTACACGGCAGTTGACAACCGAGTTATGTGAGCGACATGAGTTTGCAAAAAAAAAAAAAGGTGGCTGTCACATGTCATTGAGAAATCAGCTGATGAAGATCACGTGATTGCGTGTTGTCAGCTGATTTTGGTGATTTGGGTTTGGATAAATCTAAAAAAACAAGGATATCCTTGTTGTTGTGGATGAGGGGGTGGATTCCGAGCGAGTGATGATGAGAGAGGCTCTGGATCTTGAAAGTGATTACATGTGCGGTGCGGGCACCTCTTGATAAATCCGGTTGGTTTGGCTGATTGGTTGATTGATTGGTTGGCTGGGGATGGGGATGGACAAAGCAACTTGCAAACAGAAGAACGATGTGATGGCGGAGGTGTACCTGGGACAAACAACAACGACAAAGGCCCAACAACAACAAAGTTGGGAGATTATATACAATCTGAATTTGTTGCCAAGTGGCGACGGCCGAATGTTATGTCACGTGAGGTGATGTTGTCTGGCGTGACGATCCTCTGCAGTTGAATGATGTGATGAGGCGTGGGATGGAATGTGTATTGTGAAGTAAAGTGGATGAATGAATGGATGGATAGATGGATGGATGTAATTACCTATGTATGAGCATCAACTGCAGCCCTGGTGGATGCAGGTTGGAAATGAATAATGATCTGTATGTATGTTTGGTCACCAGTTATTATACTTGTACCATTCAGTAACTGATCTGAAAATGTCTATTTGTATATATTATGATCTATGTATCTATGTATTATGTATTATATATTAAAAAGTAGGTATATATAGATAGGTGGATAATTGGATATTGGATATTGGATGTTGGATGTTGGATGTTGGATATTGGGAGTAACACTAAATTTTTGGTATCTGATTGAGTGTGGAGTGTGAGTGATTTGATTGATTGTGTGTGATGCGATTGATTGATTGACCGATCGAAGGATGAGGTTGGTATGAAAGGAAGGAAGGAAGGAAGGAAAAGAGGACAACCAAATCGTTTGGATGCCAGCAAAAGGAAAAGGAAGAGTAGAGTGATTGAGTGATTGATTGAGTGATTGATTGAAAAATAGTATATATGTAATAATACAACAGGCTATATATATTTATATATTTATGTTATGTATATAGATATATTGAGATATAGACTAGAATGCAATGATGTCCTGTTTGGTATGTATGAATGAATGAAAAGTGTGATGATTGATAATGGATGGATATATTGACAATATTGGTAGTGGAGTGGTGAACCGGGGGATGGCGCGCCAGGGGGTATGTATGTGTGTATGTGTATGTATGTAATAGGGCAAGGGCCTAGGCTTGCCTTGTTTCGCTGGATGATGTGTGAGTGGTAGGTATGCACTGGCGGGAGGATATGTGTTTATTACAACAACAACAGCAAAAGGACGACGAGGACAGATAGATAGATAGTATCGTAGTCATTGTTAAAATAAAAGGGAACAACAGCACCACAAGTGGAGGAGGCGGGACTCGCCTAGGGTGTACTGATGGGCACGCATTTGAGTGATTGTCGTGTGTGGTATGTGTGTGAGTGAGCGTGATTGATTTTTTGTGTGTATGTGATGATCACACACACGACAGTACTGCGCTGAAGAGCACTCTGACAAATGAAGGCTGGATGACCGCAAGGGGTGTGATCATCTCGAAATGCTGCCACATTAAGTGTATGTTGGGCTTGCTGGACCTAATCTAGGCGAAGGCACCAATCATCGATTTCATGCTTCTGGCACTGATCAAGCTGCAGTTCATTCATTCTTTACACTCAACCATGAATCTGGTCAACAAACACAAAACTGATGATGAAGGCGCGCCTTGCAAAAGTAAAGTACAGCAAGCAAAGTGAGTGTGTTGAGTGTCAGCTGATGCGGAATTGGATGGTGTTGGAGCATTCTACGAACGCTTTTGAAGATCTGATCACACACATTAATCAAATCCATTATCTGCATTAGCCTGTGTTGGTCCAAACACATCCATTCATTGACCATTTGTGTGGGTGGTCACCTGACTGACTGACATCATTCTGCAACAACAACAACTACACACATACACACAACAACACACACGATATTATTATTAGGTCCTAGACAGGGCCTGTCGGTCAGATGTTTATGAAAGTTATGAATGTTGACCTTTCAGCTAATCGAGGGGTGTGATTGTTTGATTGATTGGATGAATGAATGAATTGATTATCTCGCCACCATCTAAACCTTCCACATCATCCTCCACTAACAAACAACACTAAACTACAAATATCTATCTTTGTTCCAATCAATGGGCATATGTCTATCTCTATCAATCTAGGCCTTTCATTCATTTATTCATTCATTCATTCTATCAATCAATCATTTCAAACACACATTCATTCACTCAATCAATCATTCATTCATTCAATTCGAATGTTCGATGTTGGGCCGGGCTGGGCTGGGCTGGGCCTGGTCCAAGGCCACTTGATGATGTCATACACACACATTCACATAGGGTCACAATACACAAATATCACAGACGAACGACAATCGCAAATAGGTCATTATTGAACATTCATTCTTGGTTGGAGTTGGATACTTACAATATGGATAATTGTCAACTAGTTAGTGATATTACTGCTGATACTAATACTACTACTGGAAGGAAGGATGGATGGGGTGAAGGCTCGTCTAAATGATAGCAACACATACACAAACACACAGACAAACAGGCGATAATCACTCACTGCTGTACTGTGGGGTTGGGTTGGAAACGACCTGTCGTGTTTGTTTCGTCTTTCTTTGAGATCACTCACTCACTAATGCACTATATATATATATATATATGTAATTATACTACTTCAACAACAACAAATACCGCGGTATGTATGGCAGGCAGGTAGGTTGTGAATATAAATGTATAAGTATGTCTAGCCAGTTAAGACAATATATATTATATAGTAGTGATTGGGAGGACGAAAGGTGTGAGGAAGTGATATCACAAAGAGACAGAGACACTGAACTTATTGACAGTCGTCGTAACTTGACGTGATGATGAGGGTGAAAGTAGAGAAGATAGGGATAGATAGGAATAATTGGAATGATGAGAAAGAGATAGGATGTGGATGCTGGCTGAGCTAACACGACTGACACGAGAAATGGAACTTGGCCAAGTTCCCTTATTTATAGACGACACGCATTATAAAACTTACTTAATTTCCATGCATACATTGCAGGTGCATCTACAACGTTGTTGTGCAGCATGTTGTTCATGTTGTTTTTGGTCATTCATGAATGAATCAATCATGGGTTTCCACCCTTGACCATCTCGACGCGTTGTGGCGTGGCGTGGATTGTCTGCGAGGAGGTGTGCGTGCTTCATCAATATCACACATTGGAGAGCCAAGTTTACAAACGAGGCCAGGCCATCGCAAAACACTCAACTCACACAATCAATAACAAACAACAAACAACAACAAACACACAAAAGGGTAATCCATTGACAAATCAGGCCTGATGCAGAGGCCTTGGTGTGGGGATAGGTGATGCCCCGTTGTTGGTCTGTCTCTGTCTCCAACATGTAGAAGTAGAAGTTGAAGTTGAAGTTGAAGTGAGGGCTCAGATAACCACCGACTTACAGTGGATGATAGTTGGTATTGGGAGAGGTGAGGTACGTGTTGTTGACGTATGGGCAATCTATCTGAGACATCGCATGGTACATAGGCTTAAGACTATTGTTGTTGTTCAATGGTCCAACAACAACACCATCTGTTCAAGTTTATCCTTTGATTGAATGAATGAATGAAACACAATCATCTGATGATAACAACATTGATTGATTGATTGATTGCTCTTGTAATGATAGAGATCAGGTGACGTGTGTGAGTGCCTCCCTCCTCTCTCTCTCTATCCATGGCTTGTGAGCCAAGAGTATCCTCCCATTGTTTAGGTTGTTTTGTAGGTTTGACCTCCTTGTCAGTGTTGTTGGTGGTGTTTATTCGTCATTCATTGTTCTTTTGTCTGATCCCTTCCCTTTGTCTATTATCTTATCTGGCTGTGTGTGTGTGTGTGTTCTATCAGATGTTGTGATTGGGTCTCTCATCAAGCCATCACCAACCAATCGTTGAATTCAAAGTATCCATATCCAATCAATCATGCCCCCTTAACCAGATCCACCTCTGTCTAAATAACATTAAGGCGCCAACATCTTGCAATCTTCTCAACCTTTCATTCATTCATTCCATCCATCTATTCATTCATTTTAATACATCTGTCTCCATCATCTATGCCTATGTTTCACTTCTATCTCTGTCCTAAATATCTATCTGTACACATCATAACATTGTGGATTGTTGACCTATCAAGAAATTGTCATTGTTATCTCTATTACATGTAATAAGTTATAAACGTGAAAGGTCCAATAGACATACGAGATTGGATGTCGCTGCTCTTATGTGAGTGACACTTGGCAACAACCTAACTGCAGTGTATCTTAGTGGAAGTTGGCAACTGACTGATCCACCTGGTCTTTGGCAAACGACACCCCTCTCCTCCCGGACTACTCCATCTTCATCTTGCAAGAATCACACACACACACAGTTTCGGTTCGGGTCAAGTTGCACTCGTGGCAATTGTTGTGTTTTTTTTAGTTTTTAGTTTTGTTTTTCAGTCTTTTTCAAAATAGGTTGTTCAATGGTCAACCACTATGCATACTTCCCCAATGAAATGAAGTCAAGCACCCTGTCATACACCCTCATACACCAACCAACACAACTACCACGACCACCACACTTCACTAATGACTCATGAATGATATCCTGTGCCAGATGTGCAAGAATCTCAGGTCGACCAGTCTATCTATCTCTTTCTAATCATTCAACTAATACTAATAATAATACATAATACTAATACATTGTTATATATATATATTCATTCACTCAAATATATAAAGATTGAGTTGTTGTTGTAAAACTAGTAAACTCAGTATCAGATAAACAAACAAAAAGATAGATACATAGATAAGATCAGATATATAATATAAAAATGAAGGCCTTAATTCTTGTTGGTGGTTTCGGAACCAGACTCCGTCCTCTCACTCTATCAGTGCCAAAGCCTATCGTCGAGTTTGCCAACAAGGCAATGATCTTGCATCAGATCGAAGCCTTGTGCAAGATTGGTGTCAACGAAGTCGTTCTGGCCGTCAACTACAGACCACAACTTATGTCTGCTTACCTCGAACCCTATGCTGAGAAGGTAATGTTCATTCATTCATTCAATCACGTGTCAATCACGTGTTAGCGAACATCAAGACTGACTCTCTTCATTCAATCAATCAAACTTAACTAGTTGGGAATCAAGATATCATATTCACATGAGACTACTCCTTTGGGAACAGCAGGACCACTGGCATTGGCACGTGATCTGCTTAATGATGGTCAACCATTCTTTGTGTTGAACAGTGATATCATCTGTGACTTCCCATTCGCTGATCTGCTGGCCTATCACAAGGCACACGGCAAGGAGGGTACCATCATGGTGACCAAGGTCGAGGAGCCATCCAAGTACGGTGTCGTCGTCTATAAGGAGGATTCAGGACTGATTCAGCGATTCGTCGAGAAGCCACAACAATACGTTGGCAACAAGATCAACGCTGGCATTTATATATTCAACCCATCCATATTAGATAGAATTCAAGTATGTTATAGCTTACAATCACTCGTCAATCATTCAATCAATTGATCAATCTCTAACCCTCACATCTCATCATCATTAGCCAAAGCCAACTTCAATCGAGAAGGAGATCTTCCCTGCCATGGCAGAGGAGGGTAACTTGTATTGTATGCAACTGGAAGGATTCTGGATGGACGTTGGTCAACCAAAGGACTTCTTGTTGGGCATGGGATTGTACTTGAACTCGTTGAAGCAAAAGACTCCAGAGAAGCTGGCCTCTGGCCCAGGCATCGTCGGCCCAGTGCTGCTCGACGCCACTGCCGTCATCAAGCCCGGCTGTCTGATTGGACCAAACGTCACGATCGGTCCCAACTGTGTGATTGAGGAGGGCGTTCGTCTGGTCAACACCACCGTGCTCGAGGGCGTCACCGTCGGCAGAAACAGCTGGGTCAAGTCGTCCATCATTGGCTGGGAGTCGACCATTGGCAAGTGGGTCAGAATGGAGAACACATCGGTGCTGGGCAAGGACGTGCACATCTCTGACGAACTGTACATCAACGGTGGCAAGATCCTGCCACACAAGTCTATAACATCTTCGATCGAGTCGCCAGAGATCATTATGTAAGATTACAACCATTTCATTAGTCCCCTACTACTCTCCCCGCGTTTACACGCATCCGAAGCACGACAAGACAACACAAACAACTCCCCAAATAACAATATAACACGTAGTATTGAAGCGCAATCAATCATCTATTCGATCAATCAGTCATCGTCAAGATTTATTGTCTCTGATGGTGGTGGCTGACTTGCTGCGATGGGACTTCCATTCGATTGGCTAAGACCCTGTATGCTAGGCTGTGGCTGGCTCAATGTCTGTTGTTGCTGTGATTGCGACTGAGACAGTGATTGCGAGTTTGATTGGGACTGCGATGGGGTAAGCAATCGTTGAACCTCACGGTTCTTGCTCGTGATGGCTATCGAGAAAAGCTGTCCGAATGTGGTTGGTAGCTTGCAGAGTTGATCAATGTCCTGGGAAAGGTCATTGAGTGCCTGCAAACTGGTTGGCGTTGGTAGGCTGTCACTGCTTGTGGCGATGAACCTCACGCCAAGTATCAGGTTCATGTGAAGAATGTAGTAGTCAATCAACATTGGATCGATGTGATCAATCTGTAGCAGGTTGTCATGTGTAAAGTAGGGCGTCTCCATGGGCGTCTGGGTCTTTTGAGAGCTCAGGTAGTTCTGTAGCATGGTGTCCAGACGACTGGCCAGCTCCTGCCTAAAGTCGCCCACAGCGTTGTTTGCAATGAGTATCGAGATGACCTGGTTGCACTTGGTCTGGTCGATCATCGTGCCCACTCGCTCTCTAAAGTCCGTCGAGAATATGTACTCCTTGAAGAACTCGATTGGCGGCTTGATGACGAAGCGGCTGCGCGGAGAGTTGACGTTCAACTGCGTCAGTGGTGGATTCCTGATCGCGGATGCATTGACTGTCTCAAACTTTAGCTTTGGACGACTGCCCCACTGTGTATCCAGGATCGATGCCATCATCGCCAGGTACTTGCTGGTGCCCATCACCGAGTCGGTGTGGAGCAGTCGGAATGATTCCGAGTTAGCCATGCGCTCGCACAGTCTGTTGTACTCCTCGCGTGTCGGTGCGCCCGTGCCCTTGTACGACTCGACTTCGCCCTCGACAATGTAGATCCAGCCGCCACTCTGGAGAATCGAAGGATAGGTGAACTTGCTTCGTTTGGCCATCAGCACGCCATAGTTCTGATCGGTAAGGCATCGATAGAACTCGGTGAAGGTCTTTCGCTCGATGGTGAATGGGTACAACTCGGACTCGCTCAGAGTCTCTGAATAGGCCTGCGTGGCCGGGATGAAGGCAAAGTCACCTGCCGTTAGCTTGCGGTTCACAGTGCGTATTCCCATGTCGCACAGGAATGTCTCAATCAGCTTGGCAGCCTTGGTTTGCTCGCGTTGATCAATGACCACGACCACGTTGGTCTGCGCCACTGACGGTGTGAGCTGGTTCTTCTTGAGGAAGTTATCGCGGTCGAACCATATGTCGTGGAAGTGTCTGCCGAGATCCTTGCCGGCGCCCGATTGGTAGTAGAGATCGGAGCCATCGTTGCCCACGAGGTCGTTGGCCACCAGCATCATGAGCTTGGACGGGAGATGCGATTGCACCTCTGGGTCGTACATGTCGTGCAGGCAGAATGACTGCGAGTTCTGGACGAGTTGGCCCATCGTGAACTTGCGCGAGTGGATCGATAGTGTCACCAGTATGGCAAACTCGACGTTGCCAAACTCTGGTCGGTATATCTGGTTGATTGGTGAGAGACCGAGCTCTTCGTTCTCCGCATCCGCCAGAGCCAATGAAGTGTTGTTGGTTGCGCCAATGCTGTTGGTTGACGATCCAAGACTCGCTGAGAGTGACACACTCGTGTTGGAGTTGGTTGACTCTCTCAATGTTGATTGACTATTTACAATTGATGATGATGATGAGGTATCCAATGTTTGAGTTTGAGTTTGAGGTTGTGATGGTGGTGGCTGTGATGATGGTGCCTGTGGTGCTGACTCGAATGATAGACGTCCAGGATTAGCACTGCCATTGAGACTACCATTGACACTGCCATTGACACTGCCATTCCTACTTCCACCAGCACTGTTGTTGTTGTTGTTGTTGTTGTTGTTGATAAGATCATCACTTGTGAGTGGAGGTTTGGAGGGAGGGGTGAGGGCGCGACGAGGTGGAGGGGAGACAGTGGAGCGACGACGAGGTGGAGGTGAGAACTCGATCTGTGGCAGGATTGGTACATCGCCTGTTGGGAACCATTGAAGAAATGTAACATTCTGTTCCTCGACCCATTTCAACTTCTTCAAAAGTACATTGTCTGAGCTTTGTAATATCCTTCCACTCTTTGATACAATATTGAATGCCAATGAATGCTTATGTCCAACAATGGACTGTGAAGATGGTGATGTCGATGATGCTGGTGGTGATGATGACAATGGTGTCGTTGAGTTGGTAACCATGTTCGTTGAGTTTGATCCATTCATGAATGTTGAGTTGGTGATTGCATCCACCTCATCTTGCTCAGATTTTGATAGCATTCCATTGACTCTCTTGACATAATGTTCGATTGGATCAGTCTTGTGTTTATCAAATACTTGATATTCGCGTAGTAATCTTCTCAATCCTTCTATATCAGCTGATTGATTGCAAGTTGGATGTATGTATGTATAAGTGTCATCGATCATCACGGTCATCACAGGTTATCAAAGTGATCATACCACCTCGAAGATAGACTCTTAGCCTATCGATATCTTCGCCCAAGTATGGAACATCTGTGCTCTTTGATAGTTGACCAATACACTTATATACCTCGTGTAACATACGTTTGTTATACTTTAACAACAACTCTTGATGAAAAAGCATCACCATTATCAATGGGTTCGAGCATGACTCGATGATATCACCTTGATTGATTGAACGTATGTTAGACAGTTGATTGAATGATTGAATGATTGATACCAACCATTGAGTACGTTGTATTCTGCAAATGACTTTGTTTGATTGAGTGGAATATTGTTGTGATAGAAAGTGTATTCTGTCAACTTCTTTGGTGCCGTTATGTAATCGTAGAGTATAGCTGTAGGACTATTTGTATCTATTGATGATGCTATTATAAGTTGATAATTATCACCATTCTTTAAATGCTTTGTATATAAAGTCTTGTCCCTAATTCGTACAGTGATCAATGATGATGTTGATGTTGTAGATGTAGTAGACATTGTCCCTATATTCTTTATCTATCTGTTTGAGTGTGTCTGTCTGTCTTTCTGACCATGTGTGTTTGTGTATGTTGCCGACTCTTCATTATAATATCTTTGAGTCCTTCGGACTAGTTCATTTCAAAAAGTTTATTTATGGGAGATTTCAAACTCATCTTAATCATCATCATATCAATCAATCAAATCCATCGACCATTGTGTTTAAGTTAACATGATGGGACGACCCAATATGGTAATACTACACATCTCCAAACAATCTCCATCTTTAATCAAAACAAATAAATAAAAGGACCCAACAAAGATACAAACAAACCACACACATTTCATACCAGAGAGTAATAAATAATAATAATTGGAGAGAGAGAGGATGGTATCAATGGGGGTTTGAAGAAGTAATCCTCACTGTTGGGTGAGGGTGTTAGTGTGAATGTGAGTGAGTGTCTCAGTGTCAAGAGGGTTGTGTTTGTTGTTCAACCTTCAATCATTCATTCATTCATTCATTAATATCATCTTAATTCTTTCATTCTTCATTCTTTCACTCATTCATACTTATATTAATTAATACATATATAAATAATAAAGACATATAACTAAATCCTTTAATAAAATAGTAAATACAAAATGGATAACCATGCTTCATCTGATCCAGTTCCACTGCCTGCTGGTATGTACAATGTTTCCTTCCTAATGGCTAGGATTGTTGATCTTTAGATAATCTATTCAATTCTAATCAATTCCATATGATACAATAGTTAGAGCTGGTTCAAGAAGAATAAGCCAACCTGGTAAACATCGTCATCATAATGAGACTGAACAACCGGTTGTTACGAGTTTAGTATCTGGACTAGACCCACAAGTTAAAATTGTGTCCGACTCTCCAAATAGCCCTGTAGACCATAAGTTGTCCTGCTCTCCAAAGCTGAACAACACATCCGATCACAATACCAAACTGTACCCATCTACCTTTATCGTCGAGCCACACAACACCTACAACAGAGGATCATCTGGTAACCATCAGATTAATCAACCAAGATAGAGAGAATTAACCGAGAGTGATGAGTGAGAAGGGAGGTGTCTAACAAGACCCTCTCTATGTTTAAAAAGTAGAAATAACCTTGTATGTTTGATAATCATATGATCAATCAAGAAAAGACTAAAAGCTAGTTGTATGCTCATCAATGGCAAGTTCCATTGCGAGTCTCTAGCGCTAAACGATAATGTATAAAGAACAATGTCCGGAAAAGGCAATGCCCGACCGGTTTGACTAAAATTGACTCTTTGTTCACCAAACAAAGTTGATGACGAACCCACTTTATCTCTTTCATTCTTCATTCTTATACACTTACATACATATAATATACAGATAACTGATTGATACATTCATTAACAATGACATCTACTGAACCAAAGCAACACTACAGAGCAAAGATTGAGAAGCTCAGCGCAGAGGTGGTCGACTCCAATCCATACAGCAGACTGATGGCCCTCAAGAAGATGGGTATCGTCAACAACTATGAGGTATAACATCCTTACTGTTAATAGATAGATCATACTTGACGTTCTCACCCTCAACTAATCTCAATCAATCAATGAATATAGGACATTAGGAGTATGAGTGTAGTGATTGTTGGACTTGGAGGAATTGGAAGTGTGGCAGCAGAGATGCTTACAAGATGTGGCATTGGCAAGCTGCTGTTGTTTGACTATGATACTGTCGAGATTGCCAATATGAACAGACTGTTCTTTAGACCAGAGCAAGCTGGTATGACCAAGACAAAGGCCGCACAAGAGACACTGCAGTCGATCAATCCAGACGTCGAGTTTGAGACATACAACTACAACATCACCACACTGGACAACTTCAATCACTTCCAACAGAGGATCAAGGAGGGTGGCATCGTCCCCAACACACCCGTCAGTTTGGTGCTTGGCTGCGTGGACAACTTTGAGGCGAGAGTGGCGATCAACCAGGCAACCCTCGAGCTGGGCAAACCATGGATGGAGTCGGGAGTCTCAGAGAATGCAATCTCTGGTCACATCCAGTTCATCATTCCAGGTGAGACTGCATGTTTCCAATGTGTCCCACCTCTGATCGTTGCCAGTGGCATCGATGAGAGAACATTGAAGCGCGAGGGAGTGTGCGCTGCCTCCCTGCCAACAACCATGGGCATCGTTGCAGGCATGCTCGTCCAGAACTCCCTCAAGTACCTGCTCAAGTTTGGTGAGGCCTCCAACCTTCTGGGCTACAACGCCTTGCAGGACTACTTCCCAAAGGACACCATGCGTCCAAACCCAGAATGTGTCAACAACTACTGTATCAAGCATCAAGAGGCTTATAAGGAGTACCTCAAGAACAAGCCAGCTGAGGAGGTCAAGCCAGTCGAGGAGGTCAAGAAGCCATCAACTGAGAATGAGTGGGGAATAGAGCTGATCGAGGAAGATGCACCACCAGCAACAACCTCTTCCACATCCACTGCTACACAACAACAACAGCCAAACAAAGGACTAGAGTTTGCCTATGATGTTACACCAACTGTTAAAGTATGTACAACTACAACTCGAGAGATTGGAAATGTTTATTGTTGTCGCGTCGCCTGACCATAACTAACCTTGTGCGCTAATCAGTTGACAGAAGATTCTAAAGTACAAGGAACTGAGGGCGCCAACCTTGCTGATCTCATGGCCAAGCTAAAGTCAATGTAATTAATACATAATAATCAATTATACAATCCTACTTCCTGGACTTTGTCTTGCCGAATCCAATATGATCTGCTGGTGTCGCTTCAATGCCATTGAGGTATCTGTGAAGATGGATGGAGTGTGAGTGAATGGTTATCCATCAGTTCAGTGATATACATACTTGAGTGTTGTCATGTGCCTGGTGTTGGTCAACTTCTTGAAGAATCGTATCCTGTCCTTCTCGCTGTCCTTGTCATAGCATGGGTTCTCCTCAATGAAGACCGACTCTAATGACAGCACATCGATCACTCTGCATATGTTTGTCAACTCCTTCAGCTTGTTGTTACGCAGGTCCAATGCTCGCAGGTTCTGCAAGGCTATGATGCCACTCTCTGTTGTTGTCAACACACATCCAGGTTAGTATGAATGAGATTGACTGAGCCATTGGCGTCTTACTTACCCTTATAGTTCGTGTCGGATATAAGGTTGTCGGCCAGGTTGAGTACGACAAGGTTGGGGAGACGGCCAAGGAACAGGACGGAGAGGTTGCATCCGTGCAGATCGAGCTCGACCAGTGTGCTGTAGTCATGGTTGGATGATCGTCGCAGCAGACAGATATTGAACAATCCCTCACGCCTGCTTGCCGAGTCTGTGTTGGCGAGGTGGTAGGTGGACGCCTCCAACAGCTCCTCGCAGGTGATCTCGCTCGAGTCGAGGATTGTCAATGGGTAGCGGTGTTGTGTGTATAATGGCAGCAGGTGGAACAGGAATTTGACCCTGTAGCTGCTGGTGTTCTTGAAGGGATTGCCCATCATGCCCAGCACCTGAAGGTAGGGCATCTGGAGTACTCCAGCCTTAACATCATCAACTGATGCGAACTCGTTATATCTTAGGTCCAAGGCCTGTATGTGATTGATCGAGTGAATGAGTTAGGTTTGTTCTGTTGGGGCTTGTTTGTTCGGATGCACTTACGAATATCTCCAACTTGGTAATGCCTGGGAGGTTGTTAAATGACTTGAACTTGTTGTTTGGAAGTATCAGTGTCTTGAGCGAGGAGTATGGAGTGACGTCAAGGTACTCCAATGAACAGCCGCATAGCTCAAGGTTGACGAGTGAGTCGTCAAACAGATTGATGGATTTGATGCCAGTGATGTAGAGGAGCTTGAACTCCTCGGGCTCCTTCAGCTCGTTGGTGACCAACTTCCAGCCTTCGATCTTATCGTTGATCGTGACCTCTGTGTCAATGACCTTGAGCGTGGAGTCGATCTGTCGCATCGATGGCACGTGTCCAATAAGCATCAGACGGTCCTGTTGCGTCTGCATGATGGGATTGCCTCGGATGGCGAATATCTCCAGGTTGGTCAGATGCTCCAACAGCTGGCCAACGACTGGCAGTGGCGAGGTGATGCAGTTGTTCACCAGCGACAGTCGCTTTAGATGTGGCAGGTTGTTTAGACCGATGGGGGCGATGTCAACGATCCTGTTCTGCTCCAGGTCCAGCTCGGTGAGGAGCGGGAAGAACGAGAAATTGATGGCCTCGGTCACCATGTTCCAGCCTCGTAGTCGGCGCATCACTGTGATCAGGGTCGGGTCGTACTGCTTGCCAATCTCGACCTGATCGGGATGAATGCCTCGGTTTTGTGCACGCGTGCAGTTGACTGTGAGGGCCAGGAAGAAGCGGTACTTCTCGACGACCTCGCGAGGGAATCCAGCGCGTCCATACGCATCCACTCGCTCATAGAATGTGATTGGTGCGTTGTCCACAAGCAAGAGATTCCTGTTCTTGGGCACAAGCAGCTGGAGAATGAGTGCGCGGTACTCCATTGATGTCTGTGATCGCTGCACGGTCGGGGTGTTGTTGACATAGAATGTGAACGACTCTAGCGTGTCGGTGTGTGTGAGCTGCTGCAAGACGATGCTGGTGTCCAGCTCGGGGTTGTCGTGCAGGTGGAGTATGCGCACGAACTTGAGGTTCTGTAGTCCGTTCAACGAGCTCAGATGGTTGCCCGACAGGTCCATCACCTGGACGCTGATGAACATCGAGATGTCGCATGCCGAAAGGTTGAGGCGGGCAAATTGGATGCCCTTGACCTTGGTCAAATAGTCTGGGATGGTCTGCAACTGCTTGTGTCCGAATCGCTCGATCAATGTCATGCGCCAGCGGTACGATGCAGCGGCGGCAGGGTTGGCCGGCTCGAACGCTTCAATCGCCTTGATGCGCTCCTCCTTGGTGACGGCCACGTCATCAATCTGCACCAGTCCACACATCCTGTTCGTGCCTTTGAGGTCGCGCGTGATGTAGATCAGACGCAGACGATAGCCCTCCAGGCGATTGCCGTCGAGAATGACGAAGCGCATCGAGGGCGTCAGCTCGTACACGTTGATAGTGTCGGGCTTGGCGAGCAGGTTGCCGCGGAAGTTGGTGTAGAAGAGATGGTTGCACTTCTCCAGGCCCGCCTTGCTAATGTCGGTGAGCATGTTGGACGACAGGTCCAGATGGTTGAGGTTGGGCATGTTTCCAACGTAGAAGTAGCGCAGCATCGAGTTCTGCAGTACCAGATGACGGATGTTCTGGGGCAGCCAGCCTGTGTGAACGGGGCGCATCGCGCGCACCTCGGCCAGGTCGTCCAGATGCAGGCGCCACCTGGTCGTCTCGATCACAGACTTCTCGCTTGATGTGCCGTACAGCGTGATGCCACGGATCCTCTCGTCAATCGTCATCTGCTTCTGATTAATCGTCTCCAACACCAATAACTTGGCGACCAAATGCAACTGGTAGTCATCGCGACATACCGGATTGCCCAGCAGATTGAACACCTCAAGGTTTGGTGAGTACTTGATCACCTTTCTGATCGATCTGAATGATGATATCCTGTTCTGTGATACATCACTGTTTGTTTGATTGATTGAATGATTGCTTGAGTGAGTCCAGTGCTCGCCAATCAATTGATCGATCACAAACACACTTACCAGAACCTAAGGTTGGGGAACCTGGTACCCTTCTTTCCAATACATCCAATGCCAATGTTCTTGAGAATGAGGGTCTCGAGCAGAGGACACATGGACAGTCGCTTCCACAACACCTTCTTGGTCTTGGTGGTCATTGGGAAGTCGGCAATGCACACGTATGATAGCAGTGTGACGTTGACCGATGTGTTCAACTCCTGCAGCGATATGACACGCTCTTGTGGCGGCGTCTGATTGTACGTGCGCATCGGATGTGACTTGCCCGACATGAAGCGGGGCGTCACGTCGACAACCTGATGTTGCTCGCGTCGCGAGCCGAATGTCATGCCGTCAAAGCCCAGAGGGTGCAAGCCCTCCTGCGGCTCGGGGATGACGGGCAGCTCGGTCTCCAGCACGTTGAGGTCGGGCACCGGCACGGGCTCGTCGTCCTCATCGTCCTTGTTGTGATAGAAGCTGAATGGGTTGATAGCGTACTCTGTTCGCGGCTGATAGAACAGCTCCTCGTTGGCACTGATCGCAGGCAGAGGAGGTGGCAATATAACAGGATCAGAGAAGCTCAATTGAAAGCTCCTCTTTCTCGGCTGCTTTGGTGAATGTATCAAGCTATCCTTTATCTTGACCTTTATACTATTGACCTTCTTCTCCAAGTCCTTATCACTTATATTCTTCTCTGTTTGTTGTATTATGTTATGTTTGTAAAGTGATATCATTGATGTTAGTTGGACACATGTCCATGTTACATGAACATTGATGTTGATGTCCTCCTCCTCAACATACCAATGAAGCTCTTGAAATTGCTCAACATCCTTGTATCTGTTTGTTTGTTGTGTGATCACTCACCAAGTCGTGCCTGTCTGTATCTACCTAACTATCTCTTGATCAATCGATCAATCAATCAACTCAACAAATACAAATACAAATACAAAATGACTTTGTACTAACTAACTAACTGAATGCTGTTGATCTTAAGATTGATTGAGTATGTTTATAAATATATTTATAAGATAAGATTACTACTACATCTACACTCTCACGTATTACTACTATTACTAATGATGGAGTGTGAGTTTAGTCGCATTTATTCAGGACATCACACCTACTTCCCACTACCACTACCACTACCACTACCTCACAACCAGTTGTTGTCGCATCAACACTCCTCCTTTCATTCAGCGCTACAACTACAACTTAAACACTGTTTTGGGTTTCCAAGACGGCGATCAATCAATGGGAGTGGGCACACATACTAGTATTACCAGGTGATCCAAAAACAAACACACACCACAAACAAACGATAATGGTGCAGAGTTGGGGAGGGCGGAAGCCTTGGTCCACTACCGGTCCAAACCTTCAACCACACACTACTACTGACCACCTTATTTGCATCGATCGAGGACCACAGTAAACATACACCTTCTCTGTAAGGTGGCGTTGTGGTTCTTTGATTGGATCACTCCTCACTAATAGTTGGAGATTGATTTATAATAATAATAATAATAATTAATTACAGGGGTGGTAGGGACCTACTATGTACAGTGACACCTTTGGTCATAGTCATTGACCTTTCGACAATGAACTGGCAGATGACCAAAGAAAGTCTGATGTCATGATGCGCGAGTATGTTTGTTCAAGTTGCCAACACTGTGGCTGCTCTGGCCTGGGGAGTGGATGATGCGTTCAACGAAAAGTGATGCTTGGCTTGGTCATTGGTTACAGATATATTTGCTTGACATCCCGGACATTCTGTTCGATCGGACAGTATGGACACTTGAATTTCCTGTTGGTAATGGTTGGAGTTAGTTGCATGAATGAATGAATATGATTGAGTGAGCCAGGCTGGAAAAGGATAAACATACCCTGATGCACCTTTGACAAGTTTGAGCATGGAGTTCTTGGCAAGGAGATGTCCACATTGTAGGATGACTGGTGGATTGTTCTTGGTGCTTTGTTCTCTTGAGACTGGACATGAGAAGATTGAATGGAACTTGTACTTTTGATCGACGTGAATGTCAACGGTGAGCGAGTCATCGTTGGCATCCTTGAGCACAGAGAATGAGGCCAGCTTGATGAATGTGGGCAACGACTTGACGCCAACCGTCACTGTGATTGCCAGTGGACTCTCCTGCGGCAGGCCCATCAGGGCAAAGCTGTCGCGTGAGAACGATGTCTTGATGTCGCTCCATTGATGGCTGATGGACTTGGGATCAAACATGTGTTGGTAGGGCGAGGTGGACAGGCGGTCCGTGTAAAGGAACGTGCCCATCAGTGACTGTATCTCCTTTAGCCTGCTGTTGCTGTGGTCGGGGAAGTGAGCCTTAGCATACATCAACGCTTCATTGTTCTTCTTTGATCCAAGCAAATGAATGAATTGTAACTTGTGTAGCTTGAACTCCAAGTGTGTATCCAGCTTCGCCAGCTCTGTTCTCTTGTGTTTACACCAGCTAAGAGGTGTAGAGTGAGTGTGTAAGTATGAGTGAATGAATGAGTGAAAGGCAACAACATACTTGATGGCAGGCTGTAGGTCCTTCTTCTCAATCGAGCCTACTATATCATGATGATCGATAAAGTCACTCTTGAGTGATTCTAGACTCTCCCCCATCATTCCCATCTCTTGTGCAAAGAGATCACCAACATCGAATTGTCCCTCACGATACAGATGATTGAGTATCAGGTTGTTGAGTGTATCCCTATCGAACTCTATATCCTTTGATGCTTGTTCAATATCTGATCTGAAGCACTTGTCCACTGTCTTGCCAATCTTTGACACTGGTGCATGCAACTCCTTGTGCTCAGACTGAACCTTTAAACAGAACTTTGACTCTGACAGTGTCTTGTGAAGGTTACTTATTACCTTTGGTACGAACCCTGCTACATCCACTTCCATCTTCTCTGTATCTTGAATGATTGAATGAATGAATGAGTGAACGATTGAATGAGTGAAGTGAATGAATGTAGCATAGACATACCCTTGTTGTTAGCATCATCATTCATTGTATCGAGTAACATCAATTGACTCTTTGATTGATTGAGTGTGGCTATTATAGAATCAATGTCCTTTATAGTCTTTGACAGTGTAGTCTTTTGTTTCTTTGCTATACGACCTATACTCTCATCGAGAGTATCAAAGTCGATCTTGCCTGCATTGGCAAATGGCACTGTTGTTGCTGCTGTTGGGGCGCCTCCTGATGTATCCATCATTCATATATGCAACTCCTTATATATATCTATTTGTACAAGTAATAAGATTGATTGTGAACAAAGTGAAAGTGGAAACAAAGTGGCGACATGACTGGGGTCAAGACCAAAGTCCAACTTCCAGCTTGATCAATCAAATGAACAACAAGACAAATAAGTTAATTAACTTTAAATCATATATTACATTTATGTTTATGTCATTGATTGGAAGGAAAGAAGGAATGAAAGAAGGAAGGAAGGTAGGTAGGGAGGATGGAAAAGTTGTTTGCCAACATTGGCAGAAGGTAGTGATGTGATGATGTTGATGTGATGATTGTGTTGGGGCAATACCAATCCCTTACTATTGTAGTATTATAATGTTAAGAGTAAGTTTAAAGGAGTTGGTTGATAGGATTTAGGAAAACGAGATGAGATGGAAAAGATGGAAAGAAAGAGAGTAGAGTAGAGAGAGGAGGTTGCTGCCGCCATTACCAAGGCCTGATGAAGATGAATGGAATGATTGGAGGGGGAAGATGATGTGGATGGATGGATGGATGACTGTATCGATACAATCAATGCATTCAAGTAAGGTGGAAAAATGGTTGAAGTTGGTTGGGCAGGGGTAGGCATGAGGCTGGATGGGATAGATGCGACTGGCAACGACTGGAAAATGGTTGGAGAATGAATGTTGAAACATGGTCTCCTTAGAAGTGCTCGACAGCTTGAGACAGAATGCTCTGTCTGACAGCTTTGAACACAAACTTGATGTTCTCAGTGTCCACGGCGCAGGTCGCGTGGGTGTATACGGTGCGGTTGGGTGGCGTGCACGCCAGGTACTGCGACTGGATAAAGATGGCGGCGTCCTTATACTTGTTGGTGCCAGTGTACTCGCGGAAGCACGACTGCAGTGGAACACGCTTCAACTTTTCCTTGAACAGGTCCTTCTTGTTGAGGAACAGCACGACGGGTGTGTCCTTGAAGTAGTCGCAGTTGACGATCTCCTTGAACAGGGCAAGGGACTCGTGTGTGCGGTTGATTGACTCGTCCTCACGCAGCACCTGGTCATAGTCGCTCATGGCGGCCACAAAGATCACGGCTGTGACACAGTCAAAGCAGTGGATCCACTTGCGACGCTGAGAACGTTGGCCACCAACATCAACGATCTTCAGTCTGATCTTCTCAAACATAAAGTCCGACTCCTGGATACCGGTCGTCTTGACACGGCATCGCAGTACGTCTTGCTCAGTTGGTATGAAGTCCTCCTTGATGTATCTGTCAATGTTGTCAAAGAAACTATTTGATTGAATGAATGCGGCTTGATTGTTAGGCTACTGTTGAGGAACAACAATGATGATGATGGATGCTTACTATGCTGCAGAGTCATTCAATTGAAAGCGTTTATCCTTTTGAGCATATGTCTCTTTGATACCCTTGTCCTCCCATAGACACTTAATATCTTCGCCCAAATGATTGGACGACCATTCTTCAATGCCATTCTTTCCTTTAATATTGTCTGCCCTTGGCTGTTGTATTTGTAAACTTTGTTAGACAATGTTGGAGAACGGCAGATCGCGCGTATAACATAACATACCTTGTTCTCTGGCTTCTCCAACTCTATCTCTAGTTGTACGGCGGCCCTCACTAGGGCTTCCATCTGGCTGGCGCAGTTGGCATATATAAAGGAGCGGAAGCCGAGTAGCTCGTCGCGGGAATATCCACCATCCTCTTGGATAATCTTCATCTGTTTGAAGATTGTGGACTTGCCCGACTCGCCGGCACCGAGTAGCAGGAGCTTGACGAAATTCCTCGTCTTTCTCCTATCACCCTCTATTTGTCTGTCTATCCTGGCCGAGGCATCTGTCTCGACCGTTCCACAACAACTCAATCTAACCATTCTTGATTTCTTTGGATATAGTTTTTTTGTCTTGGTGGCGGGGCGGAAGTTTGGAAGTTTGGAAGTTGGTAGTTGGTAGTTTGGTAGTTTGGGTAGTTGGAAGCTGGAAGCTAGAAGTTGTTTGTGTATATACAATGAAAAGGTTTGTTTGAATAAATAGTGATTGGCTGTGGATGTTGGATGCTATACACGCATGCGCGTAAGGTATATGTGTCTGTATGTATGTATGATATATATATATATCTATCAATCAGTTGTCTAATCGAAGTTATGTTTTGTTTGGACCAAAGTTGATTGATTGATTGGCTGGCTGGCTGGATAGTTGTGGTGTGGTGTGTGGAAATGTGTGGTTCCAGATCAGTGATCAGTGATAAGTGATTGTTATTCCAGATCAGTGATAAGTGATTGATTGTTTGATAGATTGATTGGATTTGATTGGATTGATTGAGATGATTGTCTGTTCGAAGAGATAAGACCTAGATCTAGAATGTTTCGCGATCAAATTGACTTGGGACAAGTACTCATGTGTTGAGTGAAATATAAATAATGATTGTTTGTTATATATGTATTGTATTGGTATGTATGTATAATGTTACTTATGTATGTACGTGTAATGTAAATATAAATATAAATCTGATATGATGGTGGCGGTGATGTGATGTACGTGATCAGAAGGGAAGGAAAGGAAAGAGCAACCCTGATTGGTTGGCCGTGAGGACAAAAAAGTTCCGCTTTGAGGCCCACCAAACGTCTCGTCAAATTATTTTTTTTTAAATGGTGGTTGGTGATGATTGCGAGAGAGAGGTGATCGAATGTGTGTTTTGATCAGTTCATGGGCGAAAGAGAGGGTCGGTGCTCAGAGTGAATTCAACACGCTCTGGTGATGATGGGTCGCCCATCACCTCACAGTGGTAGCCAATGGGGTCGTCGAATCATCATCAAGACATGTCTGAGTGAGACGGATGAAGACCCGTCACCCGGAAAGTAGTTGGCGCACATCCATCCAATCACTTATCTTCCCACCAACAACGAGCTGCTGTCTGCATGTTTTGCTACCTGCGAAACCATTCATTCATCCATACCTTCATTCCTCCATCAGCACTCATTCCCTTTATTCACACAACAGGACAACGATAAAAGTTCAATCAAGAGAGAACTCATTGGCACAAAGATGGATTTGCCTTTGGATCACCATCATCACTCGCCTTTCTTTACAAACGCGTCACAAGTGTGAAAGACGAAACCTTCTTTCTTGGGATGGAAAGGACCGTGTTCCGCACGACTTTAACCAATCATTCGTCCAATTCATTCAATTTCTCGCGCCTGCCTCCTGGGTTCACTCCACTCCCTGCCCCTGGGTTTACTCCACTTCCGGATCGTCGGTGTCTCCAATGCCATTTCCCAAAACCCGATGTTTAAGTGAAATTGGTCGTGATCAATGCTTTGATTAGGCAATGGTTTTAAATCCATTCCCCAATGGGAAAGATAATAGTTGTTGAAACTACGTAGATAGTTAGTTCGTTGGCAGTCGTTAGTATGAATGATGAAACAGGATTGTTTGATTGGTCAGTGGATTGATAGATTGACTGATTGGATTGTTAGGTGATCATCCCTTCCATCTCCTTTGGATTTGGTCGATCATTCCATCCTTCTCCTCAACCTTATCATTCGATCAAACCTTTGATCAACGTTGAACCTACCTCCATTGACGGATACAAGTAATAGCGAGGTGAAATGGAGGCCTGCATCTTCAAAGCAAAGCATTAATGTTGTTGTCTTGTCTGTGCACGTGTCCTGCATGTGGAGTTTGATGTGATAGGTTGGCAGAGTGTACCCGATTGGCGGAACCCACCCAATCTCTACAGATTTAGGCCTTGGCCCAAGGGTCCACCAAGAGGTCGTGTGCCATGGCCCATGGACAGACACCCCAACACATCAAAATATCGGCCAACATTCAAAAAAGTCGCTAAATAAACAAACAGGTTAACTTGCTCACTGAGCAAATATCTGTGCATTTGCTAGCGGGAGAGTGGAGGTGTGTTGTGTTGTACACAACAACAGCAACAACAACAACGAGAATGGGATGGATGGACTAGTCATTTCTAACAAACAAACTGGCTGACCAAACATGACCCTTACCATTTGTGTGAGGAAGGAAAGAATACCCACAGACGCAACTTCGACATTCGCATTCTTCACAAACCTTCATACATACATACATTCAAACAATCATACATACATAGTATTATATATATTATCATTAATCAGCCAGTCAGTCAGGTCTTTCAATAACAATAAACCAATCAGGTTGAGAGTGTATTTCGTATCGGCACCAACATCAACGTGGCGCAACTCGTCATTATCGTGATTAGGTAAGGTACCCGCGCCCTTCCCTTGCTTGGGTTCCGACCATCATCGTCATCATCCATACGATCTCATTTGATCCCTTGCGTGACTTGTGCAAGAGAGATTAGCCAAGTCAGTCATCACCGACCAAAGACCACCTGTACACTACACATAACATAACAAGATCTAATCTAGGTTGCCTGCCTATTATTGGATCACAAACTACACACACACTCATTAGCAAAAGCGTTCGTTTTTTGATCATTTTTTTTAAATTGTTTGTGTGTGTATGTGAGGTAGGGTGTACATGGTTTGGACGCCATCCATCAACCAACTCAACAAAGCAAAGAGAGAGTGTGTATGCTTGAACAAAAGTGTGATTGAGTATGTGTGTGAACAACCAAAATAATACCATTCATTCATTCATTCATTCCACTCCTTCATTCATTTCATTCATACACAGAACACGACACAGACGCAAAGATCCAAGTGTGTTATGTGCTGTGAGTGATTGTGTTTGTGATTAGAATAGAACAACATCAACAACAACAACCTTTACCTACACATAAACATAGATAGAGAGATAGAAAGAAAGAGAAGAAGAGATTACAGCTCATCAAAGAAGCACACTCTGTCATTCATTCATCACAACAACTCTTTTTTTTTTTAATTTTCGGACAACATCCACAAAGAACAAAAAAGCACAAACACAAGTAGGTTGGGTGGGACCAAAGCCAAAAGCACAAAGTGCGTTCGCAAGGTCATATCACGCACATCATCAATCATCCATTCCATTCCATCTACATCTTGTAGAGATATAACTCTCCCCATCATAACAATAACAATAACAACAATAACAATAACACATAATAATAATAATAATAATTTATCAGCCTGATGATAAACAACGGATAGATAGTCAGGGAACAAAGAACAGAAGTACTTACTTTACTTTATAATCATTTATAATCAAACAGTTATATCGCCACGTCATTTGATAAGACACAAACGCGAGTTGCAACGACAGGTTTCATACATTCATTCATTCATTGATTGATAATACGCAGCATAACATTCATTCACACAACAACATTCATTCAATCAATCAATTCAATCAATTCAATCATTCAATCAATCACATAACATCGCGCGATAATCAACATCATTGTATATTAGTTAGATTTTAAACTGCTGTAGTAATAATAGTAGTAACAGTAATAGTAGTAGTATTAGTAAGAGTAGATAGACAGGGGCGTAATCAATCATATTTATAATATACATATCATACAACATTCATTCATTCAAACATACATACATACACTTACAAAGAGATAGATAAGACAGAGAGATAAAGAGATAAAGAGATAGAGAGAGAACAAAGAGAGAGATAGATAGAAAGAGGAGATTTATATATATATAATGTCAACAAAGAGTCAACAACCAATCGTTGTGTTGCAGTACGACCAGCTGCCACAGTGCAGAGTTGTAAATATAAAGAGTGGACAGTCGGTGCTGAGGGTCGAAGGCGATACGGACGAAGCATTCCTCTCGACACGCTCAATATCCACCTATCCGCTGCTGCCCTGCGGCGAGAAGGATGGCGACCCAATCGCCGACAAGCTATATGTACAGGTGCACAGAAACCGCGCTATAATGGCCGTGGCCGACGGCTGCAACTGGGGCCGCCGTCCGGTGATGGCTGCCTGCGACGCAATCGCCGCCTTTGCCCAATACTTTGACCAGCGACAATCAGAGATACAGACACTACACGACGCAGGCCACTACCTGCTGCGCGCCTTTTGTGAGGCGCACAACAAGATCATCCAGGGCAAATCAGACATATGGGAGGCCGGCACGACGACGCTGCTAGGCGGCCTGGTCATGGAGCTGGAGGACGACAGTGGCGCTCCGCCCCGCTGGGGCTTCCTGTGCGCCAGCGTTGGCGACTGCAAGGCATTCCTGCTATCGATGAAGAGGCGCGAGGCCACCGACGTCACCAGCGGCAACAGATTCAACATTACCGACACGCGCGACCCAGGCGGCCGTCTCGGTCCATACATCGGCCAGGGCTGGCCCGACCTGCGCAACCTAAAGCTGTACTTCACGTTCTGCGAGGAGAACGACATTGCCGTCATCGTGTCGGACGGCGTGCACGACAACCTCGACCCGGTGATGCTGGGCAAGCTGCCGGCCGAGCTAAACATCAACGCACACGGCTGGGAGGAGTTGAGCCACGAGGAGCTCCTCAAGACCAAGTCAATGTACATGAAGAAGCTACTCGAGGAGATTGTGTTTGGAAGCGGCCGCGTGGCCCCGTCCGAGATCACCAAGAAGCTGATAGACCATTGCGCAAAAGTGACGCACAGGTCGCGCGACTACATGGAGAAGTTCCCCAACAAGAAGCAACCCGTCGACTACAGAGAGTATCCTGGCAAGATGGATCACACCACCTGCGTCTCCTTCCAGATCGGTCGTTCAAAGTAATGGACAGGACAGACAACAACACAGGCAGCAGCGGCGGCAGCATGTAGCAGCAAGCAGCAGACAGGTTTGTAATAAAAAATGGCAAACGAACGTATCAACACCATACACTACAACTAGAGTCAATGATCCATTCAATCAATCAATCAGTCAGGACAGTCAACTGATCAGTTGTATTCCTTCTGGTTGTTTGTTATCCTTTTGATTGTTTGGGATGAGGACGATGTATCCACACCTTGGCGCTGAAGTAGACGAGCCATGGCAACAGCACGATCAATGGTATTGTTGGAGAGTGGCTCTTGGCCAGACCAGAGTCGTTCGGCAATGGCAATCAATCTGTGCCATACTCTCTGATCAAAGCCACGCTCAACAACACTTGCATCCTTCTCGGTGGAGCGCGAGCGTCTCTGGGTCATCTCCCAGGCACATGCTTCCACGCCAATAATCTTGTTTTTGTCCAATATTGTGGCACCTTCATAACAGTCTTTGAAGTGACGGCAGCTCTGATAGGATGGATCCAGATAGTGTCCATAACTATATATAACAGGTTTGTTTGAGTTCTGTATGTTCTCCAACTCCTTTGGTCCTTTCCAGACTTGATACACACATTCCTTGCAGTCCAAGCTTGTTACAACATCCTGGAAACTGTCCTCCCATATGATGACTTTCTTCTTTCCAGGAGTAGAGGCGGCAGTATCAAATGTAGAACGAATCAAAGGGAACATTCGTTTGTAGTAGTATGATAGGTATGTACTGCTGTCAACATATCCAAGATCTAGCATTCGTTTGGACATATTTGAATCCTCGCGCCAGCAATCGAGTGGCACCTCGTCTCCACCAATATGAACGTATGGGTCAGGGAATAGTAGAGCCAGGGTGGATAGCACCTGCTGGATGACGTCGTAAGTCTCCTGTTTGGAGATGTCCAATGGTAGGTTGACAGTGTAGTCTAGATTGAGATTGTTGTGTCGTGATCTAACATAGTTTGGACATTGAGCCGTGATGTTGTATCCTAATCCCCATGATCTGGCATGGGCAGGCATGTCTACCTCTGGTATCACACGAACTCCATGCACTCTGGCGTACTCCACAATGTCGATTATGTCCTCATGGTTGTAGTAGCGGAACTTTGGATTATAGGTGATGTTGTTGTGGATGAACCCAAGATGACCAGCTCCATTGCCATGTAGGTTGGGATACTTGGGTACTTCAAGGGGAAATGATTGATCATCTGTTATATGCCAATGTAGAGCATTCAATTTGAGTAGGCTCATTCCTCTTATTATAGACTTGATGAAGTCGACATCAAAGTAGTAACGTCCAGTGTCGATCAGCAAGCCTCTGTAGTCCAACCATGGTTCATCACGGATATGCAGTGGCAGATTAGCCACACAAAGGACACCTTGATTATTATCCAGAGTATATGTATTTGCAGATTGTACCAATGACTTGATTGCATTCATGGCTCCAAATGAAGTAGAAGATGTAATTACAATATGCTTGTTGTTGACCTCAAGTTCATAACCTTCATTACTTCCATTCGGTACTCTGGTATCCATAGATCCATTGCTTAAGCCTCGATTAATACTGATTGGTAGTCCTTTGTATTGTTGTTTGGGCAAGGGTACCTCAGTAGTCTGTTCAGCCGATCTTTTGTTGACAACATTCTTTGGAAAGGTAAAGAATGAATGATAGAATGTTCTAATAGCTTGTCTTTCCAACAATGACCAACTACCATTAAACCGTAACTTTGTATCCAGTTCAATCCTTACACATTCCAATGTATTGTTGGACGCCGTCATCCATATAGGACGAGGGTATAACTTTAAAGACGAAGGTATAACTTTATCAACTTCTTCATTCAAACATCTTATCTCTTTTACTAATGTACATGTAATAATTAATAGTAATAATAATGATAATGAAGACTTATAATACATGCTGTTATATGTAGTGTATGTATATGAATGAATGATTAGATGTTTGACACAGTGTGTCTCTTTGATCAACTCCCTTCACTTGTCTCTTCAACCCACCCACAACAACCATTAGCATTGTTTCTTGTTACCTCTCATTGAACATATGTGTAATTGTTGTTAGTTGTAATACTAACTCTATACCCTATATACAAATACATTATAGTTTATCAGATCACTATCATAGGTACTACAAGACCAGACATGTCATAAACTTGATCACAACCTTAAAGGTTGATGTTGGTGTTGCCTAACTAAAGTAGTCCTACGAAGTCCATTGATGGAGGGAGAGTTTGAGCAGACATGACCTGGATCTAATAACCTTGATCACAACAAAGAGAATCGATGTCTAATCTTATTACCCAATCGTGATTGTGAGCACCAGGGACCTACAATCTTATCTAAGCTTTCATCCAACATCCTTCAACCTTGTTACCAACATCAACATTTGTGGAATGAGTACAACCTTCCAACAACAAACAAAACAAACAACAGACAACAGGCCGCGGCAACATTAGCAAGGTAACCATACCAATCACATACACAAGTCGTCTTTGACAACATGAAGGAACAAAGGTAAAGAAAGAAAGAATGAATGAGATTAGATACATCTTGGAACATCGGAATCACCATCACGTACGACCTTGTTGTGCCGTCCGGCTAGTGTATAGCTTGGCAACATCCATCTCAATGCGAACCAACCATTCTACGTGGAAGGCGAGTTGACGATGCTAGGCACCGACACATTACCAACATCAACACCAACAACAACAACAACAGTGGGAACTCCTCAAACTCAACCAACAATTATTATACCATTCATCTCTTATATCTTTGACTGTCGGAATCCTCAATCGTTGGCGCTTATACGCAAACCCTCTCCGTCGCTTCGCAGGCCGTCCCTGTTCTCACATTCCATCACCTGTCAGAGGGCGGGCGTCAATCTCACACACACTCATTTACACATTCAATCAATCACTCACACTCACTCACTCACTCACTCACATTCAATCACCAACAACCAGAAGTCATGTGATTGATGTGGTTGTTGGCAACTGAGTGGACTGTAGTGTAGAGTGTGAGGGAGGGAGAGTGTGGATTGGTGGTGCGGTCAATGCGGTGAGTGGCACACTCTACTACTCCTTGATCAAACATTCTATGGCAGAATCAACACTACATTGTTCTGAAGCGTCAACATGAATGAATGGCAACTAATTCCACAATCCTTACTAGTAGTCAATTCAGATATCACACATCCCGTCAGTCAGTCAGTCATGAAGCCGGCTCATAGAGTAGTTGTTTAAAGCAATCACGTCACGCCAGACCAGGCTGGCTGGCAACATATTGCCAATGATTTGAAGTTGGAGTTGAGGTTGTATTATAATAAGGGCAGCATCAGCACCCATTATCCGCATCTGCTCCGGCGTCAACCTTATGCGAAACTATTCATTCGATGTAAAAGGCATCCTATCCATTTCTGATTCCAACTAGCAATCGTACCCGGAGAATCATCCATCCTTCCAGTCAATATTTATAACAACCTAATAATTCAACCCTTCTCTTTTTCTCTTCCCTCTTCCTCCTTTCAAAATAATCCAGCCTCAATATTCTCAACTGGAGTTGATAATATTATTATTATTAGTAAGTATATATTATTATTATTATTCAATCAATCCACGTTCACCTTCACAATAATCATCCAACAGCATAACCATCAATATTATGTAAGAGTAGGGTCATTCATTCGAATCTACTCTTGTTGCCATGTTGCCATGTTCCATCTTCTGGAGCCTATATATAACCTCATCCTCATGATGACATGTCTTGAATTAATAGTAGTCGACCCATTATCATATCCCAAAATGCGCTACCTTTAAACATCCTAATGGGGAGGTATTGCCAATGCGGTCAACACCTACTTTGTGCATGCATGGAGGAGTCGCGTGAAACTCCTTCGACATTGTCATAAGCCACCTACCCATTTCAAACATCCATCTATATATCACTTTTAAGTAATAGGTAGTTGGAGGGCTAGAATGGAAGCTCCTCGCTGCAGCGACGACCCAGGATTATTTCAACTGTTTCCAGCTAACTTGTCAACAAATACCCCTCGCACACTCTCACACACCACGCCACCTGGGGTCTGTTGACAATCAATCACCTGATCAGTGTGGTCATCATCAAACACACCCACCCACACATCTACATCATCATCACCCATCCATTAACAACACAGTCGGATGTTATCGCTTCCATCTTCCTTTGAAAGGTGGGCCTCATCTACACCATCTCCCTCAACACTGGCAATATCAGTAGCATGAGCAGTAGCAACAGCGACAACAACAGCCAACAACAACCAACAACAACAACAACAACAATAACATCTACAACAACAACTTATAAGTTGAATGAATGTGGAATGATGTATCGTCGAAGGTGATGCAATGCTTATACACCTCATTCATTCATTCAAACTAATACCACCAACTCAACAAACACCTGTCACCAACTTCAGAGTTGTCGAGTGGTCTGGTCGAACGCGACCCTATATCGTCCGCCACATCTCTCACTCACTCATTCATTCATTCAATCAATCAAACAATCATCCAATATACGAGAGGTGGAGGATTGGACAAGGATGTGTTGACCATCCCTTGCAACTTCCAACCATCAATCCATCCAGCTGGTGTTCCAATGGGGCACCATCTACTCATCGAATGGGACTGAATGAATGAATGATCGAATGGTTAGAGGTAGCTAGGTAGTTATAATATCTACACATTCTTCCATTCAGTCATTCAACTTGACGACTTTGCTTTTGTTTTTGGTTGTTTAAAACAGCAACAGCTTAAGCTTGTTGTTGGGTCGCCATCCTTCTATCTATCTCCTGCTTCCACCTCCTCTTGTTATTTCTTTTCCGTCTACCATATTTATATCCAACCAGTTTCCATCTCCCATCTCAATCTCGTCCACATTCCAACCTCCACTTCCACCTCATCCATCCATCCCTCCACTCATTCAATCAAACATAATTAATCAATCAATCAATCAATCAATCATTTCCATGAAGTTTAATAATTGATCAACTTCCAACTTCCAACTTTCCAACAAAGACCCTGTTGTAATATTATACATAATCAAACATCCATCTAATATATAATCAATCCTAAGAACAAGCAATGACATCCCTGATAGCCAACCCTTGTCTTAACAACTTGGAGCCGATCCAAGATTATTCGATGCTGTCCAGCAGTTGCTCCAATGTCCGTGCCCCACCCACTATGTATAATGGTGCGGGAGGTGCACCAAGGAAGCAGATAAAGATGCTGGGCGAATATGTCCTGGGCAAGACGATTGGCTCGGGCACATCCAGCAAGGTCAAGACCGCCACACATATACACTCTGGCAAGAAGGTTGCCATAAAGATCACCAAGCCCCGCCGGTCCAAAGAGCGCCGTGAAGTGGACCGTGAGATATCCATCCTAAAGATGTTGCGCCACGATCATATCATCCAACTCTATGATTCTGTATACGATGATGAGCAGAATAGAGTGTGCTTGGTACTTGAGTTGGTGACCGGTGGTGAGCTCTTTGATTATATAGTTGCGCGTGGACGTCTATCTGAGCGTGAGGCACGCAAGTTCTTCCGCCAGATCCTCGCTGGTCTGATATACTGCCACTCACAAAACATTTGCCATCGCGACCTCAAGTTAGAGAACCTACTCATAGACGATCATGGAAATATTAAGATCAGTGGTATGTATCATTCAAACAATCAATCATAAATATTTGGAATCATTCCACTCACATCAATCAATCATTTCTAGACTTTGGATATAGTAGTATATCAAAGCCAGGTAGTTTGTTATCAACATTCTGTGGATCACCAGTATATGCACCACCAGAGATATTGTTGGAGAAGAAGTATATTGGAACTGAAGTAGATATTTGGAGTTGTGGAGTCATCCTCTACGCGATGGTCACCGGACAACTACCCTGGAGCCTAACCGATGGTGTCCAAGTAGAGGGCATCGATCGTCTACTCAAAGGTGACTTTGCCTACCCATCCAAAGTCCTCGTGTCCAATGGTATGCATCACTCCTTCCATCAATCAATCAATCAACATTACTAACTTAATCAATCAAACATCAGAGGTGAAGAGTTTGATCAACCGAATGATCGTGGCCAATCCTTTGGATCGCGCAAAGATGTCAGAGGTGAAGAGTCATCCATGGGTCAACAAGGGATATGATATGGAGCCAGATGATGAGTATGCTCATAAGCATATGAGATCATCTTCATCATCACATGTTGTTTGTGATGGTGCTGATTATCATCCATCATCAGCCAGTGCATCAACTTCAACATCAGCTGGTCAAGCTGGCGACTCAAACTCAACCTCAAACTCAAACCCATCATCCACCACTACCACACCATCCACCGGCAGCCAGCGTGTACCCTCGCGTCCCATTGCCATTCCAATTCAAATACCATTGCGCAGCAGTACTCCAACAATGTCGACACCATCATCACCACGAGGTGGTTGTGGCGCTTCCACACCTTCTTCCAACAACAGCGCTGGATGTAGCAGTCCAGACCTGATGGGAAGCTTGTCGATGATGGGCTCGCCGGCCGGCGTCGCCTCGCCATCTGCGCTGAGTCCGGCGACCTCGCGTCTGAGCACTCAATCTTGCTCGACCTCGCCATCCTCGCCAATGTCTGCACCTGGATCGCCCTCTGGCTATCCAACCTCGGCGCCCAACTCACTCAAGTCGCACCGATTCTCACAGCTGTTCAAGAAGAAGATGCCCCTCCAGGCTGAGAGCATGAGCGACCCGTCGACGCCAACGATGTCGTCGTCGGGTGAGTTCCCAGCGGGCGCGACCACCTCGCCCCGCAAGCTCAAGTTCCACCTGGAGGACATTGTCTCTCGAGTCCTCCGCAAGCAGCGCACCAAGAGCGCACTTAAGCTGCGCTCGGTCAAGGGACCCTTCACATTTGGAACCACCACCACAATGTCTGTCAACGAGTTGACCAAGAAGATCGATGACACCTTGGGAATGCTCGTGATCCAAGGCACTCTAGCAACTGGAAGCACCGTGTTTGAGTGTGAGACCATCATCGAGGACTCAATGTGCAATGACATCCGAATCAGCTTCGAGATTGAGATGTGTCGTGTCAGTGGCACTGACATGAAGGGTATCAAGTTCCGTCGTCTTACCGGAGACCTCTGGGGCTACAGCATCATCTGCAAAAAGGTTGTTGATTCCTTGGCACTATAAATAAAAATCCAAGATCAGATTTTTGATGGACACAGGGCTTGAGTCCTTGTGGTCCTCTACCTTAAAAGATATTATTTTATACTGATCAATCAATCATTCAATTGACAACAATGAACATTGATTGACAACATATATATATATACCCAGCCAAGAGTTACAAGTATGATTTATCAGGGACATCTGATGGCAAAGATGGTCTTGATCATCATGATGACTTTGTTGGTAAATGGACAACAACAACATCATCATCAAGCTGGACAACAACTTGATAACATAGTACTATTCGTCGACTCGACCTCATCCAACAACTTGTCAAACTGTGGCTCAGCTCCTGGAAACATGGCCTGCGCAAACATCATACAAGCTGTCAATTCATTCCTTGGAAGCGCAAACAACAACCAACAACACCAACAGCAACAGCAACAGGATTACCCAACAAACACCTTGCTGACATTGCTGATGGTACCTGGTGTATACCCACCTGATGGCAACTCTGACCTTCCCCTCTTTAGTATCAACATTACAATGCGCAACTATGCCCCTGAGGATGGACCAGTCATCATCAATCTCGAGCAGATCGTCAACTTCATCTCGGTATATGAGCCCACCGCATATCAAGGAGATGGTATCAGTTTGATTGAACTCGATGGATTGACCCTGACCAACGGGTCCAACATTAATGGCGGTGCCATATCCATAATCACATACCTAATGCGAGTCAACTTGACCATCAACAACTGTGTGATGAGTGATCACGTGGCATCAGGACGAGGCGGTGTATTGTACTTTGAGCCACAAGGCCAGTACGTGAACTACTCCGTAGTGTTGAACAATACTTCATTCTACAACAACATGGCCAAGTATGGCAGTGTGCTGCATGGATCAAACATGAACATCTCAATCAGCAACACATCATTTCAATCGAACATCGCTACACACAGCTCGATGATATTCACAATGAATGATGGCCACTTCCGTATGACAAACTGCTCGGTCGCCAACAATGTGGCGATGGTGGGCGACATCATCTCGTTGTACATTCAACAGCAGCCCGCATACATCCATCACACCAGGTTCACCAACAACTCAATCAACTCGCTCGATCAGGGGTACAAGTCGGCGATCGTCAACTTGACGAGGACCAGCGCACAGATCGATCATTGTACATTCTCAAACAACGCCAATGGATCACAGGTGGCCGCCAGCAACAATCAAGCGCATCTCGACACGAAAGTCTATCTCGAGGTTGGCGACTGCACGTTCTCAAGCAACACGGGTGGCGGTGGACTTATCAATGGTCTGGGCCTCAACGTGGACATGCTCGGATGGGTATCGATCAACAACAGTCTGTTCCATAACAACTCGGGCGGTGGACTTGGCGTCAACCTGTACGCAGTCGACACGATCTTCATTGGAATCGATCACTCACGCTTCATAGACTCGCCAAGCATCGTGGCTGGCCAGTCCATCTATATGTACTTTGATGGCAACATGAGTGTGACCAACAGTCACTTCTCAAACAACGGTGTAGCCGATATATATTGTTATAGCAGCGATGTAATGGCCATCAACAACACATTCGATAAGGATACATTGTTGGTTGTATGCGAGCCTGGCTCATGTCAACTGAGTGGACATGACTTTGACACGGTGGAGTGCAGTCTTGGACCAACACATGATAGTAGTTCGGAGGACGCACCACATCGAAACCCAAAGACAGTACGAGGTGGAATCATCTTCCTCTCAATAATACTATTCATTATCTCAGCACTGGCTATCGCATACTTTATCCATTTCAAGTGGCGACGAGGTGGAGGACGAGTCAGTGACCGAGATGGATACACAAGGATCATTGGCTAGCTTGTGTGATCACAAATTGTAAATACACATATCATTTCAACAAACGAGTCGATGATTATTGATTCTTTGATTGAGTGTTTGAGAGATTGGGATAGTTCCATTTATTGATGGATAATATATTAATATAAACTAGTATATTAAAATAAAATAAATAAATATTATTTATTCATACTAGAGTATCAGACCTGAAAAGACACAATCCTGGAGGTTAAGGAAACTACAAACGAAGGGGCGAAACAATGATCGGGTATCAGAAATTTGCAATTCCTTGATTTCAGAGAATGCTTTTGATTGGTTGTTTTTTTTGAGTGAAAAGGAGTTACTGCACCAAAAATCTATTAATAGACAGGATAATAACGAACTTTGTCATTTAAACAATCAGTCGATTAATCAATCAATCAATCAAAACAATCAAACAATCAAATAATTAAATATAATGTTTAAATTAATAATCTATTCAATATTAATATATTCCATTGTTGTAAAGAGTACCAATGAAACTTTGACAGGTTCCCAAACACAATTGAGTAAGTATGGTATACTTTTGTTAAACAATAAATTAAATATATATTAATATTTAATAATAGAGTATCCAATAGTTTCATCATACTCTCCAATAACAACTGATGGTGGTGTTATCACAATTCATGGATACTTTGGAAATAATCCAATTCAATATTGTTCAGTGACATTTAACTCAACTATCAAATGTGATATTTTGGATTATAATCAATCAACAATAATATGTACACTACCAAAAGTATCCCCAGGATATGCCAGCCTCAACATGGTTATCAACAATGAATCTTATCAAACCAAAGAATCAATGGCAATATGTAAGTAAACAATCATTAATATTCCTTTATTAAATCATTTAAATGATACTAATATTATTTAGATCCAAGTGTTATAACAGAGGATTGCGGAGTTTTTTGGGAAGGACAGGAGAAGTGCCATGGTCGTGGTGATTGTATAAATGGTCAATGTGTCTGCCATGATACACAATTTTACGTCAATGTTGCTGGACCTTATTGTGAAACATATTTCCCATACTGGTCCCAACTTATATATTCAAACTCAACTCCATCCACTATCATATCATGGCTCTATCCACAACGTGATACGAATCCAGACCCTGCCTATGCTTACAACATCAATGTTGTGGAGATCCAAGAGTTGGATAGTGATCATAATGTCATCAAACAACTTCCAACATTCACTTGGAACTCATCAATCATTAGTACTAGCTACAACATAACTTCAAGATTGTACAACTTGATAACATTAATTCCAGGACTCAACATTACTGTCCAACTCAATCAGCTGGATACTGGGTCAGAATACAATGTTAAGAACAACATCACATATGCACCAAATTCATTTGACATGATTGTCTATGTCGATGGATGGAGCTATCAATCAAATATGAACTCACTTAGGGTCATCCTATCAAAGAATAGTTCAACTTCCGACTCCCTCATTGGATGTGGACGAATGGTCAGGGTTTCCAATGACGATCTAGGTAGTCTTCAATACTTTGTTGATAGCCAGGACCAGGAGTTGTTTGGTCGCTTCTCACCTATTGCAATGTCTGATGACCTCCCAGTGCGAGCTCACAATGAATTGTTGAATAGCACTACCAATCAAACATTATTTGGAATCAATGTGCCACAATGTCAGAGATGCTCAGTCAGTTCAAAGTTCACCTTGTTACACTATTCTAACTATAGACCATATGAACTATGCCATCGGGAAATCTATCACCCACCATTTGGAATAGTAGAGGTGTTTATCGTCATAGCTGTAGCTTCAGTCATTTTCCTGATCATTACAATTGCCACTACAGTCATCTTGGTAAAGCGCAGGATCAGACGTCGCAGAGAGGCCCGAGCCAACAAGATGATGGTCATGTCACCATAAATAAATACTAATTTCTTTGATTGAATGATTGATGATCAATATTTATTGATTGATTGATTGATGGAATGATCAGAGTTGGATGGTGTTGGAGAGTTGTCCAGCGACTGAGAGTGTGATGGTGGTTGGTGCCAAGGTGACATTGCATGCCATATAGCTCTCGCTGACGAATGAGTGACACAATGTGTTGCTGCCATCAATGTAGGTGACGTTGAGGTATGAGGTCGATGGGTCAAATGTCACTCCCATGTCCAATGGAACAAAGTTACTTCCAATAACCTGTACCTGTGTACCATTGATCAATGTGGCCGACGTGATTGTTGGTGCCGAGTAGGAGACGGTGAGCGTGGCGTCCACCTGGAGTGCTTGATCTCCGACTGATGCCGAGATGGACAGGTTGGCGCCGATTCCTGGAGGGATGGTGCATTCGACAAACACATCGAATGGGTTGCAAGACAACTCGATGGAGTCACCCAAGCGCACGTAGTCAATGTCGTCCGACGACATGCCCCATCCATATCCATTGAGCTGGAGCAGGCCACCCAGAGTGCTGAGTGCGTCTGGCGTGACGAGGGATGCCGCGTATGGGGGGTAGTACGTGAAGCTGGTCTCCTGCACCTGGTCACCGACCTGGATCGACAGAGACTGTTGTGCAACGCCATGATCGAGCTGGAACATGATGTAGTTGTTGGTGAAGTTGACCACGTCCACAACTTTGTCGTCGAGGTAGAGCACGGGCTCAGGGTCGCCGTTGTCGGGGTCACCAAAGCCATCGCCGTGGATGACAATGTAGTCGCTGGGGTCACCGTTGGCTGGCACAAACTCGCTCACCGTTGGGCTCTCATAGTCAAAGGTGCTCGCTGCCATTGTAGCCATGTCGTACTTAGACTGCTGTCCATCAACATCGACCTGCACCGACTTGAACTTGCCGACACCCTCTGGCGAGTAGCACGCGATGTTCTGAGAGTCGATGCCCACAATTGGCCAGCAGCTGTGTATGTTGTCCACGGTGACTTCGACCAAATCACTGTCCGAGCCAAAGTTGGTGCCGGTGATTGTGATGATCTGGAATCCATTGCTATCGGCTGTAGAGGGGGCGACCGAAGAGATAGTGGGGGCGTCGTAGGAGAAGAGGTAGGTGGTGCGCTGGAGATTGAAGATGGTCTGCGCTGTGGAGAGGAGGATGGGGTGCGAGGTTCCGACATGTGCGGGTGTCAGACATGTTAGGCGGGACGATGAGACAACGGTGACGCTCTCACAGAACATATCGCTGAACCTCACGGTCACGGACGAGTTGAAGCGAAGGCCATCCACAGTGATCTTATCGCCTCCAGATGTGGATCCAGAGAGTGGGCTGACATTGGTCACGATTGGACCGACGCGAGAGCATAGTGTCTCGAATTGCTGTTCAGCGTTGAACTGTACCCGCGTCATCATTTGGATGTCGCAGAGTTTGGAATTGAATGTGGCGATGGCTATGCCATCGATGCCCGACGAGATCGAGCCAACATAGCCATAGGGTCGCGGCAGGAAGTATACATCGAGATCGCCAAATTTGCGGCGGGATGACGCTTGTGCGCGAATGGCCGACTCGAGGAAGTATGTGATCGATGTGATCGAGGGACCTGAGCAGACCTGCGCCACATTATTCTTGAAGCACAGATCAATCTCATTGCCAATGTTATCCTCACTGAGCTCGGAGATGAAGCGCACTGGCTGGTCGCTTGTCTGGTTCATGGGGTCGCGCAACAACACCTGTATCGCCTGGTTCTTGCCCTGGATGTTGACCCACTTCTCCATTGCGTCATTCATGCTCAACACCTGATCCTCGGTCAGTGTGGACAGGATGTCCCTGACCGAGAATGTGACCGACTTGTTGAGCAACTCATGGATCGCGAGCACGTCCTCAAAGTCATCCTGGCGCAAGTAAACCGCGGATGTAGTGTCTGAGTCCCTGGCCATGTCTTCACTGCGCGTGGCGGCAGCTACCGTGGACTTAGACTTGGACGTTGGCGGGCTGAACAGGGCGAAAAGGGAGATGATACTTGGATCGGCGGCCTCTGAGCTGTCGGGAGCGCCGCCATTGTCGGGCATGAAGTGATCGTCGTCGTCGTCCATCCACCAGACCTGTGGCTCGACCAGATAGTTGTTCTCCAGAATGTCGTTGTTGGTCTTGGTTTGGTACCATGGGTCATCGGGACTGGTGTCGTCATCATTGAGTGTCATGTAAAGGTCGGACAACGAGTTGATATTATCCGAGCGGCGGAACTGAGACAGCTTCCTCAACATCACAGTCCAAGGCACCATGTCATCATCGGCTAATCTTACAGACCTACCGCCGCCACCATTGCTAAAGGTGTTGCTCATCAAATCATAAGCTGCTGCAGCTGACCTATGGTATAGTAGAACTTGGGTTGGGTTCAACACAGATGGGTCGGCCCTGGAATATTGGGGAGGGGTTGGGTTAGTAAGTGGAATGATTCCATCGATCAATCAATCAGTACATACTCGTTGTAGTTTCCAATGTCGTCCATGTTGGGTACCATGTTTAAGTAACAATTCTGGAAGGCTGTTGATTGGTCATTCAAGTCAAGGATAGACTATATGTTGCGCGAGTGATTGTGTCAGTCATTGGGATGGTTCCAGAGTGTGATTGATTGAGTGATGGAATAGTTCCAGGATGAAGGAATGACATACGTTGTAGATCTTCTTGGCGATGGCCACAAGGACTCCGTTGGCCCAGTTTGGCGCGTCATCTCCAATGTTGAAGAGAAGTGTGTTGCCATCGGTGGCTCCGGAGGATTGATAGATGTGCATGGCAGTCACAAGGTAGGCCAACTCATCTTCACATAGAATGGCATTGTTTCGCATGATGAATGGTCCATCACTGCGTATCTTGCTCAGGGGCAATGTGGTGTCGACGGCGACAGTCATTGGAGCAACCGAGCTCAAGGCAGTCCTCATCCTCTTCACAAATTCAATGATCAAATGATCCTCAGACGTGGCCACATCAAACGTCCTTACAAGTTGGCGCTGGCCGTATGGACTCAGGAATGCGGTGGGGAAGACCGCCGGGCCACCAGGGTTGACGAGGTGAGTGCGGCGTGCATTGTCCTTGGTGCACTCTGTCATGCCAAACACAAAGTCACAGATTGATACCGATGGGTTGTAGGCGATATAGTGGATTGAGAAGGTGTCGTCGGCTACGTAGTTCATGATGTCGTCTTGGCCGGCCAACAAGGGCGGAGTCTCGACCAGCGATATCTCAGTGTTGCCGCCCGTCATCACAAGGGCCGTCCTCAAGGCCGAGAACTTAGCAATCACATCAAAGGGGTGGGTGGCGGTGGCCGACGTGATGGTCAGGATGTCCTGGGGCATGCGAGTGACGTGCGCGCCATTAATCGAGTCCTTGAGCTCGACCACAATGTCGTCGGCCCAGCCCAGAGCGCGCGTCAGCTGGATCGGCTGCACGATGGGCATGAACAGGAACATGCCGTCGACGGGGCGCTGGTGTACGATGCCAAGTGCGTTCTTTGAGTTGTAGACTCGCACCATGCGGTTGAACTGGTAGGCGAGGGTTGGGTGCTGGAAGCACAGGATGCCACCACCACGCTTCAACTGGCCATTGTGGCGGTTGAGGTCGCCCACACAGAACATGTTCTCGTTGGCGTTGTAGGCTGCGCCGTCGTACGCCGGGTACACGGGGAAGCCGAGCTTGGCGTGCTCGTGGCCGCTCTTGGAGCTGAACTCGCAGTCGCTGTAGGTGACGCCGCCAATGCCCGGGGTCTGCGTGGAGAGGTAGGGTGGCAGGTCGAGCACACCCACGTTGATAAGGTACTCGTTGGTCTCCACCTGTAGGACGCCTCCGTTGAAGAAAGTTTCGACAAACATCTTGCGGCCGATTGTGGCGGCGGCCACCATCCACAGGTCGATGCCCTCGTACAAGGTCGTGTCCCTGGCGTTGGCAAGGATGTAGGGCGAGAGTGTGACTGGTCGCGGGATGTCGGCGGCAGGGTAGTCTCCCGAGACCTTGGTGTTGGTCTTTTGGAAGTAGATGGCGGGGCCCAGTCCTTGGATGTTAAAGTTGGTACTCCAATGGCAGATGTTGTCCAAGTTGGCAGTGTCGGCGATGCTGTTCATACAAGCGCGGCGGATAGTCTTTTCAGTTTCAATGGCTGGGTTTGTACCAGTGACTGTCCTCTGAGCCAAGCCAAACATGCTATAGACATAGTCATAGTATCTCCAGTTGGCTAACTAAATATTAGGGTGAGGGCAAGGGTTAAGGGTAGGGTTGAGGATTAGCGCGGGGGTTGGGGCGAGGGCAAGGGTAAGGGTGAGGCAAGGTTAAGATGAAGAAACGAGTGATAGTGCGAGGGTTAGGGTAAGGGTCGAGGGCGAGGGTTAGGGCGAGGGCGAGGGCAAGGGTAAGGGTAGGGTTAGTACAAGGGTTTGGTTAAAGTGATGAGGGTAACTAACACTTACAATTTCTGGTTGAGTCCATCCAGATGGGTTGAAAACTCGGTAGGGCTTCATTAGGAATGGTCTGGAGCGAACGAGGGTACTCATGATGGTATCCATATCAGGGTATTGGTAGCAGAAGAAGTGTTGGTTGAGGTCAGCCGCACCCAATAGCTTGAGACCACTGCCAATGCCATTGAATGCATTGGCCGATAGGTCGGAAGTCGATGGGAACAATGGATTGGAATGTGTGACATGGATGCCCGTCAGATCACTGTCGTATATGATGAAGCCCTTCACATGTCCATATGTGCCGTGTGACTTCTCAGCATGACGTCCACCAAGGTCCGTGCGCTTGCCCGTCTGATCATTGAAGAACATGTAGTAGTAGTTGCGGTACTGGTCATACGTGGCGACCAGCGGGCTCAGCGGGTCGTTGGCGTTGATGGGCTGCAGGGGCGTGTAGCGCTGGAGGCGGTCCATTGTGCTGTCGATGTAGAGGTAGTAGTTGCCGTGGCCGCGTATCTTGTAGATGAACCACCAGTCGACGGGCGAGTGCGAGCCGTCGTCCTCGCGGCGTCCAAGACACGAGATCGCGTTGGCCATGAACTGCAAGTTCTCGATTGACTCGACCTCGAGATTGGTCGTCGGGTTGGTCACGTAGACCGTGACGCCGTCGGACGATTGGCCGCCATTGGCCACGCGCTGGCACTCGATGCGCTCGACCAGACCGACGGCCGGCAGTATGCGCGCGTTTAGGCACGTGTCGATGCCGATCTCCACGCGCACCTTGCTGTTGTCCGTGCCAAAGCCCGTGCCAGTGATCGTGACCAGGATGTTCTTGTTGTATGTGCCCTGGTGTGGCCTGATGGCGTCGATGTGCGGGCCTTCATAGACGAGGTTGGTGGGCGCGGAGAACCCTACATCATTGACCATCAACTGGACGTTGTAGCCGCCTGGTGAGTTGGAGGGCATGGGGCACTCGATCTTGGTGGCCTCGACCGTGCACGCCACCAAAAAGTTGGCAATGTCCACTTCGTTGACCGTGACGCCGGTCGCGATGTCCAGATGCGTGCCAAGCAGACGGAATCGGCCGGTGCCCTTGGGGACGCGATTGGACTGCTCCAGACTCGTGATGGCTGGCACCCAGTACGTGAACCTCTTGTCCGATGTGAACGTGTATAGGCCATTGTAGAGCGTGAATGAGATGGGTGCGGCGATGGCGTTGAGGCCCTTTGGCGCCACACAAGTGAATGTGTTCTGATCGACTTGGACCAGGGTGGTGCAGGGACGGCCGTCGATGAAGAACTTGACGATCGAGTCAAGGTTGGTGGTGGTGGGAACCAGAGGGAAGTTGTGCGTGGTGATGCGGATGGGTGTGGCAAGGTGCATGTAGCCGGTGCTGGGTGTAACGTCGGCCGTGAGAGTGGGCTGGCCAATCATGAGCTGAATCTTGTTGGAGCTGTAGCCCTTGGCGGCCACTTGCACGTCCACAAGTCCTGCGTTCTTGAACTGACGGGAGTCCAGCTTAATGTGCAGCGAGACACGCTGGACGACATTGCCCACGGTGTTCCAATCCATTTCTGTTCCAATCTTCCACGCGCCGGCCAGGTCCAGATGGTGTCCCTTCATCGTGATGTAGTAGTCGCCTTTGTCGGTGATCACTGATGGGCTGAGGCTGGTGAGGTAGGGTGCGGCATAGAGGAAGGTCTGGTCCACGGGCGGGTAGTAGGTCGCTCCACCATTGTAGATCACCTGGACATTGCTCGTGACCTCCCAGACGCCATCGGCAAAGGTCAAGGCGCCAGTCAGACAGCGGATTTCATTAGATACCTGTTTCTTGATCTGACAAGCCACGCCACCAATCAGCACAGAATGTGCCTTGTGCAAGTATGTTCCAGTGATGCGCATCAATGTGCCTCCAATCACGAGGCCACGATCAGGTGATACTGTGACTACCTTTGGGTCTATTATTGATTGAGTGGGTGAGTGATTGGTTCAGTGATGATTGATTGATTGGTTGAGTGAGTGGGATGATTCCCCGGTGTGATTGATTGATTGAATGGGTGAGATGACTTACGATAGTGAGTGAACTTTGGCGTTCCCATCACTAGTTGGTTGCCGACTCGGATTTGGAATGAGACTTCACGGAGCTCACCTGGGGCCAAGTTCACGCTTGGAACATTACATGATACTTGAGTATTACTTATTACATTGATATTATTACATTGATTACCATCGACTGTGATGGACACTGTATAATCAGTTGCTCCACCAATCATATTAATCAATGTGAACGTTACCAAATGACCCGTGCCAGATGTTCCAATCTTTGGTGTGAAGTTATTGATCGATGGTACTACATATCATGCGCAATTGAGTGTGGTTAGTTATTGTCTGCGCCAAGTCCAAGTCCACTACAACCTACCTCCATAAGCAAATTGATCACGACATGTGACTCGTCGTCCACTGTACAACTCAAGCTCAACGTTGTAGTTTCCAATGGAGTCGTGGTCTGGCAAGTAGAAGTCAACGGTTGTACTTGTGAATGCATGGGCATTGATGGTGTGTCCGGCAATTGTTAACGATGGAGTGAAGTCATTGTTGGCAAGTCTAAGGTTGTTTCCAGTCATTCGGATTAAGTATCCTCCACTGTTCAAGAATCCACGATCAGGGCCAATCGTATCCAGTGTTGGAACTTTGATTGATTGATTGATCAAGTGGGGTGAGTGTGGGTGGGGAAAATGTTAAACAAATGTTATGGGACGGAACGGTTCCACTCAATCAATCAAAAATAACAACATACCAAGGTAACGGAAACCATCGAACCATTTGAATAATTGTTCGTCGTCGTCATCGCCAAAGTAGATCTCGAGACGACAGGCTTGCATGTTGGGTCGGTTGTGGGGCGTGGTGCCGGGATAGTCGGGCACAACAAAGGTCCAGGGGTTGGTGCCCGTGCCCTTGGTGTCCATTCGTACTCTGACGCCAGCAATTGAGCGAATGTATATTCTGGGGTCGGAGGGAAACTCGTCACCGGCTATCATGAATCTTGTATTGCCTCCTATCCAAGAGGTGAGTGGCGACATTGCAGTGATGGTGGGTTCGGCGTAGCAGCCTGGCAACACCAATACGCATATGGCGCCAACAACAATCATTGCTTTCCATAGCAACTGATTAGTGTTGTGGTGTCGCTGCCACATACTTTGTTGAAGTTGTTAATATGTTGTTGATGTTGTTGAAGTTGATGATGGATGTTGATGACAAGTTGTATCTTTGTGAGTGAGTGAGTGATTGAGTGATTGAGTGACCCTTGATGGATTGATTGATTGAATGAATGGGATTGGGTATTGTCGCGGCGATTGGGAGTATGTCTAGGAGTTTGGCCTGGGCGTGTTGCCAAGTAAGCTCGAGGTTGTTCAAGGTTGGAAGTCTGGATCGCGTGTCAGGGAAGCCTAGGGCTTGAGGCAAAGAACGAGGTTGACAGGGAAGCTACAACTCGGGGAGATTGATGCTACTGTTGCCTTCTGCTGTCTTGTCTTGTCTTGTCTTTGATTGCCTGTTTGATTTGATGTTTGATGTGATTGATTGATTGATTGATCGAGCCAGCGAGCTTTGAGGCAAGGCAATCCAAGACCACTTAGTAGCCGAAGACTCGCGCGTAGTCTGCTCTCATCCCATCATAAGCAGCAAATGCCTATCAACCTCTGATACTACCTTGAACCAAAGAACTGACGGGACCACCACATCACATGGCCCTCCAATCCATGCATTGGGTCGATTCCAAACGTCGTCGTCGAGGAAGTGGTCCACTGTATAGTCGCGTCGCCACTCATTTATCAGTTGAGTTTAGTTCGTTGATTCTGCTACACCATGTTCATCATCATCACATGTGTGTTTGGTTTAAGTAAGTAAGAGAGATAGTAGACTTGGACACGCAGAACTTGTGATGGGTTGGTGGGTGGTCATGAACACACCCCTTGGGTCTCCCTTTGATTGCTTGATTGGATGGATGTGTGAGAGTGAGCTCCACAAGTTCTGATCAAAGGTGTCAGTTTTTAAAAATAGACGCGGAAGGGGTGATCGCCAGAGCATGTGCAAGGTACATTCGATTGGAATCTGAGGTCCTGCGATTTGTCGATTATGGGGTACCATACCACTGAACGACTATCGATAGGTTAGACGATCGCAACCATTGGATATCAATCAAATGGCCCTTTGCCTCCCAGCAACCTCTCGAGGACTTTCAGCGTTGGGGCAAACAACCAACTTCAGCAAAGATACATTAATTTGAAGAATGATTAATTATTCGACTTGTTCGAGGAGTCAGTCAGTCAGGTGATATGGTAAAGGGTCACACCTTGTTCAAGGCATCATCAATGTCAGAGGGTGGTTGGAGGGCTGGCCATGCCCTTCCATCAATTCGTCGTCTTTGCCGTTTGAGTTGGAATTACGTTTGTGCCCACCACAACCACATACCTCCACATATTGTTGGAACTGGACCTCGACTGACCAGACCTACCTTGTCAAGATCAACTTGGTGTCAGGATTTACTTCGGCTTTAATGGGGCAGCCAGTCAGTTAATCAATGACGTCTGTCGGGTAGAATCTACCTTGTTTGCCCCAATGATTGGTGGAGAGTGTCATTGTCAAAGGGTCTTTGCGCGAACTTACTTACATCCACATCCGCATTGGGAATCGATTAGTCAACTTACCCATCACCATCACATCAAACAAGTATACTTACACTTATCCTTATTCATATCCATTCATACATTTATATCAATCAATCATACACTCGAGACCATCTTGCAGATATTGAGCGTCATCACAGCACATCGAGCGATGAAGACACACATACTGCATGGTAGTCATACCATGTTTGGTAGCAAACCAGGGTATATCAATATCCTATTGGTTATGTTATCTTTGTTATTATTATTACAACCTACTTATGGTAATGATCATCAAAATGCCGAACGACCGTTCGTTTAAACGAGTGATTGATTGATGTGGGGTGTTTGATTGATCAATCAAACACACACTCTTACTTTTGGAATATGATTGAAGACATACATGATATGATGATCACTCACTCACTCATTCAATCACTCAATCACTCAATCACTCAATCAATCACAATCATATAATAACTAGGTGCTCCATCAATATCTTCAATAACTCCGCCTTATGCCCCATTCAATGTGGACACGACCATAACGATACAGGGTAGTGGATTCATTCCACCTTCAATAGTGACGGTGGGTGGCGTCAGATGTCAACCTCAATCATTGTCAACGACAAGGATCATCTGTGCGCTGCAGTCCACATCGACACCGGGTGTCAAAACATTGACAGTGTCCGCGGCGCCATTCGGCTCAACGTCCACACAGTACATCCAGTACACCATGCCAACCATCCAGTTGTTGACGCCCAGTACGGTGGTGCGAGTCGATCCCCCACTGTTGACGATCAAGGGCAACAACTTCTACTCTGGTCTCTCCACGGTGACCATTGGCACGAAGGACTGTCCTGTGATCTCGACCACATCCACTCAGATCATCTGTGCCACCCAAGACGCGTCAGCCGATGGCATCAAGCCAGTCTTTGTCAGCAACGACGTCATCAACTCCAACCAAGTTGGTCTCCTCTTCCTCGAGCCCACCCCCGTCCTCTACTCCCTCCAGCCAACCAGTATCCCATTCAACATCGACTCCGTGATCACTCTCATTGGAACAAGTATGTATCATTCGCTCATTCATTCATCCCATAAACTAACATGTTGTGATCACTTCAGACTTCACCAAGACACCAATCTCTGTTGTGAACATCAATGGAGTTGACTGCCCAATTATCGATGGAACAGTCAACAGGACATACTTGGAGTGCACGGCACAGGCTGTCTCTGCGCCAGGAACCCAAAATGTACAAGTTGTCAATGTCAAACAGTACAAGTCCGCACTCCTCCCATTGACCTTCAAGAGTATGTACTATATTGAGGCTGGAACTATCCCATCCCCATCCCCTGACCCCTGACCCTTGACCCTGACCCCTGACCCCCAATACAGTGCCAACCCCATCAATCACATCGATCACACCCAACTCTGGCTTGATATACAATCGACTTAATACATTGAGTATCAGTGGAACTGGATTTGTCAATCCCAACTCGACGGTCACTGTTGCTGGTCAGTTCTGCTCAATGACATTCGTGAACTATACTTTGATCACATGTGATCTACCACCTCAGATCACAACCGGTCCCAAATTGGTCGTTGTAAACAATCCTACGACACCATCGTCCAATCAGGTCACGGTGACATTCGTCGCACCAACACCAGTGATCAACAATATCAGTCCAATGCCTATTATATACACTGTTGCGACCAATCTCACCATCACTGGACTCAACTTCATCCCTGGCATGTCCATACTTATGTCTGGCACCAACACATTCCCAGCCATCCTCGTTATGCCCAACACCATCATCTTTGCCGCACCTACCCGTACCTCCCAAGGCACGACCAACATTGTAGTACTCAACCAAGGTGTATCCTCCAACACCTTTGCACTCAACTACATACGTAAGTTATTTAGTCCCATCCTCACTGACTGGAACTATTCCGATCACACTTACTCACTCAATCAATCATCCAATCACCTTAGCACCAACTCCAACTGTGACATCTGTTACACCATCAAGTTTGGACTATACTAAGACTAACAATATAACAATCATTGGAACCAACTTTGTTTCGATTGCATTGACATCGGTCAAGTCTTCATTATCAGGTTGGTCATGCAGTGTCACAACAATGACTGCCACATCAATCATTTGTGTTGCGCCCACTCAATCAGCCAGCACCACCATGACCCTCATCATATACAATGAGAACAAGAACTCCAACTCTGCCGTCACCTTATCCTATGTCCGTATGTATCACTCATTCAATCATTCAATCACTCTCTCGATCAATCAATCTGACACAACTTGATCAAACATATCCAGCCCCAACACCAACGATCACAAACATCAATCCACCTGTTATGTTGTTGAATCAGAACTCTAGGATAACAATGACTGGTACAAAGTATATGACTGGTATCACAACAGTAAAGATTAATGGACAAGATTGTACTGCAGTACAAGTGGTCAGTACCACTCAGGTCTCTTGCCAGCCTCCAATATTCACCACCAGTGGCACCAAGCCCGTCATCGTCTACAACGAGAACCAAGCCTCAAATGAAATGCCCTTCAACTATGTTGGTATGTCTCATTCATCCATTCAATCAATCAATCAATCAATCATGTCTAACACACCCCATCACTGGAACTATCCCACCCCACCCTAGTCCCCGTGCCAACTATTGTCTCGGTCACTCCAAACACAGTGATATTCAATGAGGTCACCAAGGTTGTAGTGACTGGCAATAACTTTGTTAGTGGAGTAACTCAGGTGATGGTCGATGGTCGTGTTGCAGCTGTGACCGGCTACACATCCAGCCAGCTATTTGTGAATGTTCCAGCATTGACAACTACCGGTATCAAGCAACTTTATGTGATGAACGAGATGATTAAATCATCAAACTTGAACATTACATATGTTGCGCCAACCCCTACCATCACCAGCATCTATCCACCCAGTGTGACATTCACTCACATGACTCAGCTGACCATCAACGGTACCGGCTACGCCAGTGGTATGTCCTACGTGACCGTGGACGGCATCAACTGTACCGATGTCTATGTTGTGTCGGCCAACAGGATCACTTGTTACTCGCCCGTGCTCAAAACGTCCGGAAGCAAGACCGTGATGGTGATCAATGAGGACAAGACTGGCAGCATGCAGGAGACATATGTCGCTCCCGTCCCCTCGCTCACATCCGTGCAGCCACTGTCCACAACCTTCAACGCACCAGCCAAGCTCACTTTGACAGGCTGGGAGTTTGTCGGCTCGACCCAGGTCACAGTTGGGGCAGCATTATGTCCAATAAGTTTCCAGAACTACACCACGATCATTTGTCAGCCAGCCGCGTCGTCGACCACTGGTGCCAAGGACGTGGCCATCACAACCGAGGGATGGTCCGCCAACGTGTTGCAGGTGACATTTGCGCCACCAACACCCGTACTCACATCGGTCTATCCGTCGCGTTTGACCTACACCACCACAACCATTGTCACGATGTCTGGATCGGGCTTTGTCCCCGGCATGTCCTACGTGCAGATGTCCAACAACATCAATTGCACTGTCAACTTGGTCACCGCGTCCAGCATCCAGTTTGTGGCGCCCATATTCTCCCACTCAGGCACCGAGAACGTCACGGTTGTCAACGAGGGCGTGCGATCAAACGCGATGTTTGTGGTCTACAGCCCACCCGTGCCCGCCATCACAGCGATCAGTCCATCGACGCCCGTGATCAATCAGGACTTTGTGTTGCAGGTCAATGGAACCAACTTCTCCAACGGAATGTCCACGGTCAGGATCGACACGACACTCTGTCCAACGATCAGTGTGACGTCCACCTCGATCAGATGTACAGCCAGTGCCGTGTCGACTACCGGCTCGCGCGCGGTCACCGTCACCAACGATGGCACCGTGTCTAACACATTGTCGATCAACTTCATCCCGCCAACGCCCAACATCACCTCGCTCACACCATGGAGCGTCATTTACTTCAGTCCATCAAGCGTGACAATCAATGGTGCGAACTTCGTAACAAACATGTCCGTGGCCATGGTCGGCGCATTCAGTTGTCCAACCACCATTGTCAACTCGACCACACTCATCTTCACTCCTCCCATCGCCACCATACCATTCCAGCAACAAGTGACCGTACTCAATCAAAATGTATCGTCCAACTCTGTGTACCTGTCCTATGTCCCACCCCAGCCCTCGATCAGCTCGGTCCAGCCCGACGTCGTTCTGATCGATCAACCGACCCTGATCACCGTGTATGGCGCCAACTTCATGGCAGGCACCGGCTCGCGAGTGCTCATCGGTGGTGTGTACGCCACATACGTGTCTGGCACCTCGTCCTCGCTCATAGTCCAATCACCTGTGGTCTCGACATCATTTGGAAACAGATCAGTGAGCGTGTCTAATGATTACCTGTGGTCCAACGTCTGGATGATCAAGTACATCCCGGCCGCGCCCGTGATCACCTCCATCACCCCAGCGACCGCCATCGTCACGCAGTCCTCCCAAATGACGCTGACCGGCACAGGCTTCTACAACTGGCTTACGGTCGTCACGGTCGGCGCGATGAACTTCACCATCACATCGATCAACTCGACAAACATCATGTTCACGGCACCCATGCGTAGCTACTCTGGTGCGCAGACTATCTGGGTGGCCAACGATGTCTACAAGTCCAACAATGTGTCTTTTGAGTATGTGCCACCCACGCCATCAATCACATCGATCAGCCCGACCGTCGCCACATTCACGGAGACGACCACACTCGAGATAGATGGAAGTGGTTTCATCAATGGCATGTCGCAAGTGCGCATCAATGGAACGTATTGTCCAACGACCAGCGTGTCGCCAACGGTGATCTGGTGCAATGCCCCGCCCATGTCATCCACTGGCGTGCGACTTGTGATCGTGTCCAACGAGTACATCACGTCCAACTCCAAGGCCATCAGCTACATCGCCCCAGTGCCAGCCATCAACTCGCTCAACCCCTCAGTTATCATGTTCAATGACCCCGCCCCAGTCCTCACCGTGGCCGGATCAGGATTCGTGAGTGGCATGTCCTTGGTACTCGTTGGCGGCATCGTCTGCCCAATCACACAGTTTGTCAACAGTACTATGATGGTGTGTTTGGCGCCAGTCCGCTCATCCAGTGCCACACTCAATGTCACTGTCACCAACGAGGCCACCATGTCCAACGCCCAGCCACTGAACTACATTCCACCACTCGCCGGCATCACCTCAATCACACCATTGTCCGTGGTCTTTAGCGAGCCAGCCCAGGTCACCCTGGTCGGCTTTGCGTTTGTGCCAGGCGTGTCCACCGTCGTCATTGGCGGTATGGCAGCTCCAGTACTCGCGTCCAACTCCACATGGATGGTCGTCCAAACCCCTATGATCCCTTCGCTTGGACCCAAGATGGTCTTGCTCTACAACGAGTATATGTCGTCCAATAGCGTCGACCTGGTGTACATCGCACCCACACCATCAATCACATCGATTACGCCCACAACAGCAGTGTTCACTGAGTCCACCTCGATCACATTAACAGGCACTAACTTCTTTGGATGGCTGTCCGCGGTGACCAATGGCGCGACCAACTACACCATCGTCTCGATTACCAACACTACGATCGTGTTTACTGCACCATCTGTTCAATCAGCACTGGGCAACCAGGACCTGTATGTGATCAACGATGTCAAAGCCTCCAACCACGTGTCCTTTGCCTACATCGACCCGTCGCCAATCATCAACACCATCTCGCCCTCGACTGTCCTCATCAACACGTCAACATCAATCACATTGACAGGCTCAGGATTTGTTCAAGGCTTGACAGTCGTGTTCATTGGATCACAATCATGTGGCAACATCACGGTGATCAGCTCATCCATGTTGACATGTGTCGCTCCATCATTGAGCGTGCCACAACAAGTCTCTGTCACTGCCATCAATGGTGCCACAATGTCCATCGCCACTCAGTTGACCTATGTCTACCCCACGCCAACCCTCACCTCAGTCTCCCCGACTTCTGTCATCTACAGCCAGTCCGTGGAGGTGACCATCATCGGCACCAACTTCTACTCCAACATCACCTCGCTCCGCCTCGGCTCGACCAACACTGCCATCACCATCCCAATCACATCATTGACCGACACACAGCTGATCGCAACGATACCCGCGGTCAATGCTAGTGGCAGCGCGACACTCACAGTGAGCAATGGAGACCAGACATCCAATGGTTTGAAGTTTGATCACATCGCGCCAGTACCAGGATGTGTCGCACCCAATGGAGATCGCGTGAGCTGGTGGTTCGCCCGCAAGTTGCCATTCTCCCAAAGCTACATGTACTTGAGCTCAAGCTCGTCATCATTTGATTTGGAGGCATCGATATCCAACTCAAGCAGCTGTCTTGGCCGCACATTGATGCAGCTCGAGCAGAATGCACAGTACTCACAGACTGGATTCTTCATGTACAATGACCGCCCATGGTATGATGACCTGTCTGGCACTCAATCAAAGTCGATCAATGGTAAGAACAACGTGCACAATACACTCGGCAAGGGCTTTGCATCATTCCGCCTGGACACCAACCAGAGCGCAGGATTCCACATCGTCCACACCCTTGAGGGCTTCCCAGTGCCACTCACTGGTGACCTGGCCCTGTACAAGACGCCGGCCTCTCACCCCGACTCGTGGTTCCCCAACGACTACCATCTTCGCGTCAAACAAGACCAAGACCTGTCGTTCGGCCACTCATTCCTCTGCCACTCGTTCGCCAACGCATCAGAGTTGATCGCGTCCGTCCAAGCCACCTACCCCTTCATCTACAAGACCAACCTCCAGCCCATCCCCTCTGCCTTTGCCACCCTCGCCACACTACTCAGTGATCCCTCACCCAACGCCAACTCACTCACTAGCGTACCCAGTGGTGGCTCCGGCGTGATCTTGTCCGCAGGCTATCAATCTGATGTATGGACGCCACTCGGTGTCCCCTTGTCCATCACCCTGCCCGCCAAGTCAGTGATCATCCCCAACACCTACGCAATCACCGAGCAACGATTGACAACCGACTTTGCCACGACTCATGACGTGCCCATCGGCCTGCGTCAATGGCGTTCAGATATTGATCGCAGCAGGATTGGCTTCAAGGATAGCCTATTGTGTCTTGGTGCCTTCAACACCAAGTCGGTGGCAGGCGGTGGACTTGTTGCCTGTGTTCCAGGCGTCCCCTCTGCTGGCTCACTTATGCTCAAGGAGATGGCCTTCAGGTATATGTCGGACAACTGCACGTCTGGCGCATGCAACCAGACCAAGGTGATCGCACCAACCACCATCAGTGGCCGCGTTATTCTTGACACAACGCCTCGAAATGTCCCCCATCAGCGACTTCTCAAATCGACGACTACCCCTGGCGGATCGCCAACAAGTACTAGCGGCTTCGACGTCACGCCATACCAGGAAGCATTGGTCAACCCTTGGTTCGTGAACACCACGCTCTATGTGGCCGACCCCGGATGCACTGGCCCCTTCTGTGACACTACACCTGGCGCTATGACCATCCAGACTGACGCCCTTGGTCTCTTCACATACACTGGTAACTGGAACAACGCAAGCATCAAGCTGCAGCTCCACGATACGCACACTGACCTCAAGATTGTGGACACTGATGGCAAGCCCATTGAATACGAGATGGCGCAGGTCAATGGCACATTCCATCCCCTGTACACCTCTGACTCGGACGCCAACCTCTTGCTCCTTTTCAAGACCGTCCAGGAAGTGCTCGCCGCCGCCTCACAGGAATCATACATTGGCGTGCCAGCAGTTGCCGAACCCATGCCAGCAATGACTATCGTCGCGGACATGAACTCCCACATCGCATCAATCGTAAACAACAACAATGACCCCAATGCGTATTCGTTGGACTTCCGTAGACTATGCGTTGAGCTGGCTGTGCGAACTGCCGTGCTTGGATTCGTCGATGCCAACATGCCCCAGGCCGCGAATGTTGCCGTGCCCGTCTCGGCACAACTCGAACAGATCGTCGAGAACGAGCAGGTGGCTATGAAGGGCGCGTACATCAACATGCTCTCAATGGCATTGCGTGACACAGTCTTCCCCACCCTGCCCAAGAGCGAGGCCTCAGTTATCATTGGCATCGATGCCAATACCGCCACCACCTCGCGCACAGACATCGAGCACTTTACATCGACACGCACTCAACAGCGCAATGGACCCAAGTCCGAAGGCTGGATCACAGCATACTTGTGGGATCTGATTGATGAAGATGACGATGATTGCCAGGAGGAGTATTGCCAGCGCACTGCATACACTGATGGCAACTCGGACAACACAGTCGACTTGTCGACGATCAGCACGGTGGTTCGCGAGAATGGCTTCACCGATGTGTTGACCTTTACCAACAACTTGATTGCGAAGCTCGCAGCCTCGAACGAAACCAGCCCACTGACCACACAAGGAATCAAGGAGATCATGATATACAACCACATCTACAACTGCTCCGAGCGATGCGTTGACCTCCTCCCCGCAGCCTTGACCAACTCATCCTCGCTGGAGGCTGTCCTTCTGTCCTTGGGCATATGCCAAAGCACGATCAACTCGTCCTCGACAAACATGACCGCTACAGAGGTCATGGCCAGCCTATGGGTGTCATCAACATCCACCCCAACAGACTGGACACACAACCAGGCAATCCAATACCTCTTCTCAACACAGTTCAAGGAGTTGTTTATCAACACTCCATTGCTTCAGTCGCTGTTGCGTTTGGATGACCCTAACCTGTGCGAGTTCCTCATGGAAGACGGATACCCAATCACTCCACGCGGCATCCAGCTCATCACCAAGGTGCTCAACAACGCACTTGTGACAGCCACACTCGTTAACAAGTACAACCAACACTCGACATACTTTGTCCAAGACCAGGCGAGCACCGCTCAGGACGGACTGGCCATCGTAACATACCAAGGTCAACTCTGCGCGATCACCAAGACCAACCTGACCGTGTTCCAGCATGGTGCGGACATCCTCGCACTCTGTCCATCCGGCCCCATCGTCTCGTCTATCACCGGACTCTCTGGCCCCACCGTCTCCACAACCAATGTGATCACGGTCGCAGGTTGGAAGCTCAGCGAGCCAGGCGTGCAGGTCATTGTTGGACAGGACCCATCTTCGAGAACATGCCAGACTCAATCAGTTGTCGATCAATCTGATGGTAGTCAGGTGCTCACATGTGTAGTTGGCTCAGGTGTTGGAATAGTTCCAATCACATATTCAAACACGCTTAGTAACCTGCCTCAGGAGACTCCATTGTTGGATTACCAATTCGTCTATGATGCGCCAGTGATCCAATCAGTCACCACTAGCACATGGCCATTGCCAACGATTGGAGGTGGTCGTGTGACAATCGCCGGACACAACTTCGTCTCGTCCACCACGTCCGAAAGCGACATACTTGTCTCTGTCGACGACACCTTGTTCAGCGTGGACCGCGCCTACCAATACAGCTCGAATGAGTACCTTATCATCTCACCAAGCGGCACTGGCTACAACAAGGTTATCGCTGTCGAGGTCGCCGGCCAGTCAACTTTGACTCCCGGAGCCCAGCAACACTCGCTCAACTTCACCACGCCAGTCATCACGAGCGTGTCACTTACACGTTCGGCCACAGTCGGAGGCGACATCATGACTGTGTACGGATCATCATTTGGTCTGGCAGGCGAGGACAACAATGAGGTGATACAGGTAAACATTGGCGACACTCCATGCAGCATTTCTGAGCGTATTGACGACAATACCGCCACATGTGTCGTGCCCCCCGCCGCAGGCATAAGTCGCGTGGGCATCAGTGTGGACAAGCAATCATTCACAGACGGACCCGAATTCAAGTATGACCCGCCCATCATCTTCCAGGTCATCCAAGAGCCATTCAACACCTCTGCTGGCGGCTCATTCTGGATCATTGGACAAGACCTCGGACCCAAGGGTCTGCTCGTATTCAACGCCTCGATCGGTCTCCCCATCAACAACTTCACGACCGACGTGGTGTGCTTCGAAGAGGTGGACTGTTACTACAACAAGACATACGTGGACGACGATGGCGGGCTCATCCCCACCCCCACCGACCCCTACCACGAGGTGGATGAGGATGGCGTGGCGATCTTTGACCCATACGTCCTGATGAACACGTCATACCGCGAGACCGTGGACTTTGACTGCATCGTCTGCAGGATGTTGCCCGGCATTGGCAAGTCAATCTCAGTCAATGGATCAGTCTCCCAGCAGTCCTCCAACGTCTCGTCCGACGCCCTCACCTTCCAGCCACCCACTGTGCTGTCCATCTCGAAGAGCTCGGGAAGTTCAAACACCAGCAGCACTGATGGTGGAGACCAGGTTACCATCACAGGTTACAACTTTGCTCCAAATGAGTTGTTGGGCAATGACACGAACACAGCGCGATACGAGGGCAGCCTCGAGTACAGCAACGTGACACTGGGCCAACATTTGTTGAACAACATCACATTCACAAACTCAACATTAATCACTGGAGCCATCCCAGCTGGCATTGGCGCCAACATCACATACATGGTGTATATTGGTGGTCAGACCAATCAAACAAACATGTTGTCATTCAACATGTCCTACATGCCACCCAACATCACCTCACTTGCGTCAGGCAATATGAGCACAGATGGTGGACGACTGACGGTGTACGGCACCAACTTCATCCCAGCCAACGCCAACATCACAATCAACTCGACCACAAGCTACATGTTGATCAATGGAACACAGTGCGCGAACATTAGTTGGACGTCATCCGGCAACCTGTCATGCACAGTCGCTCCAGGCATTGGTGCCAACATGACCATCGACCTCTCGGTCGGCACACAGCACTCTTTGCACAACGACAGCGACATCACATTCTCGTACGCGCCACCCAACATCACAACCGTTCCACAAGCACCCACAGACGGCGATGCGACCATCACCATGATTGGAACCAACTTTGTTCCAAACGCAGTCGACCCTGGCACGCGCTCAAACGTGTCGATCGCCAACACACTCTGTCCAGACGTACAGTGGATTAGCTCCACCCAGGTTGCATGCCGTCCTCGCGCAGGCATTGGCAAGAACCTGACTCTCGACATAGTTATCGGCGGCCAGCGTCCACAGACATCAAGTTTGTTCTCATACTTGGCGCCATCAGTCTCCAATGTGTCCTCGTGTGGCACACCAGGCGGCCAGATCACATTCACTGGTACCAACTTTGTGCCACAGGGCGTCTCCCCAGCAGACTCCAACGTCACCATCGGCGACTCAACTACGGCAGCCACCACACAATGGATCGACTCCAAGTCGCTTGTGTCACAGGCTCCCGCAGGCATTGGCAAGAACATCACAATCACATTGATTGTGGGCAATCAGACAACTGATCGCGATAATGTCACCTACTCATACACCGCGCCAACTATCACCTCGGCACCCAAATCATCGACAGACGGTGACACCATTACAATCCAAGGAACCAACTTTGTGCCAAGTGGCGTCGACCCTGGATCAAACTCCAACGTCACCATCAACAACTCGTCATGTACCTCTGTTTCATGGATTGACGACACTCATGTCTCGTGCAAGGCGCCAGCTGGCATCGGCAAGGACCTGAGCATGGCAGTGGTGGTGGGCGATCAGGCCAACACAGACGACATTACCTTCACCTACAAGGCACCAGCCGTGTCCAAGGTCACCAAGAGTGACACCAAGGGCACTTCGATCACATTGTCCGGATACAACTTTGTGCCCAACAATGTCGAGGCCAAGGACTCGAGCGTGAAGATCAAAGATGACGAGGTGGATGCGACTTGGAAGGACTCCAACACGATCGTGGCCCAGGCTCCCAAGGGCATTGGCAAGGACATCTCAATCAAGCTCGTGGTTGGCGACCAGGCCACCGAGCGCGACAACGTCACCTACTCATACAATGCACCAAAGGTGTCCAGCGTGCCCAAGTCCGCGACTGATGGTGAGGTCATCACAATAGTTGGCACCAACTTTGTACCAAGTGGAGTGGACGCTGATGACTCGAGCCTAACAATCAACGGCGACTCATGCGACTCTGTCTCGTGGATTGACGACACTCACGTTTCATGTTCGATCGCCCCTGGCATTGGACGCGACTTGTCCCTCAGCCTCGTTGTCGGCGACCAAGAGAACACAGACGACAACACATTCTCATACAATGCACCGACCATCTCAAGTGTCTCAGACAGCGACACCAAGGGATCGTCAATCACATTGACTGGCACCAACTTTGTGCCCGCCGGTGTCTCACCCGCAGACTCCAACATCACCATCAACAACCAGGATTGTGAGACCATCGACTGGATCAGCTCCACTCAGATCACATGTACCGCGCCATCGGGCGTGGGCGCTGACGTGGACTTGGTGGTATTCATTGGCAACCAATCAGTGTCGTCAACGATCAAGTACTCCAAGCCCGTGGTCGACTCCAACTCTTATTCGGCACCAACCAAGGGCGACAAGTGGATAACGATCACTGGTGACAACTTTGTGCCAGCAGACTGGGCTGATGAGGTCAACCAAGCAGGCAGCGACTCATCCAACAACACCGTATCCATTGGCGATAATGAATGTGATGAGATCACATGGAGTGACTACAACCAAGTACTCTGCAAGGTACCCAAGGGTACTGGCGCCAACAAGAACGTCCAAGTCACAGTCGGCACTCAATCATCAGACTCCAACGACTACTTCTCATACGATGGTATGTTGTTGTTTGGAATCATTCCACTCACATTATCATGATCACATACTAACCCTCACTCACCCAATCAATCAATCAGCACCATCTGTATCCAGCATCTCACCAGAGAAGGGCAGGATGAGCAGGAACACTCTGGTCACGATCACTGGAAAGAACTTTGGTGATAGTCCATCAGTCAAGATTGGCTCGGGTGACTGCTCGGGTGTGAGCGTGATCCCTGGATCGGGCGACGACGAACGATTGACATGCAGCACTCCAACCTCGTCAGAGGAGGGCGACGTCGATGTCCAGGTGGAGGTCGACGGCCAGCAATCATCAGACAGCGTGTCATTTGAATATTATGGTGCGCCAAAGATTGACTCGATCTCACCAAGCTCCGGATCAATCGATGGTCGTTTCTCGATAACGATCAGCGGCAAGAACTTGGAGGAGGACGACAATGAGCCATCTGTCAACTTCAACGTGGACGATGTCTCTGTGGACTCACACTCAAGTGATCAGATCGTGTTCACTGCACCATCCGGTGGAGGCCAGAACATCCCATTGTTCGTGACCCTGGGCGACCAGATCAGTGACATCAACACTGACTTCTCGTATGACGGACCGTCAATTGACTCGATCAGTCCAAGCGAGGGCAACAAGGACAACCCCACCCAGATCATGATCTCGGGTAGCAACCTGGGTCTGTCGGACGAGTCGCCAGAGATTGACGTCGGCGGCGAGGAGTGCTCCAACATCATCGTCTACTCATCTTCAAGCGTCGGATGCACTGTGGAGCCCAGCGAGGAGGAGGGCGAGAAGACCGTCACGCTCACATTCTACTTCCAGACTGCAACCGGCACCTTCAAGCACGAGGAGGAGGACAGCAGCAGCAGTGACAGCTCTGACAGCTCCGACAGCAGCAACAGTGACAGCAACAGCGACAGCAACAGCAACAGCCAGGACAGCAACAGCCACGAGGACAGCAACAGTATGAGTCATGAGGACCCAAGTGAGGAGCATGACACCACCGAGTCAACGTCCACAACATCATCCACATCAACTTCATCATCCTCGCAACAGACTACGGGCGGTGGTGATATTGGTGGCGCAGCCGGACCAGGCGGCGCAGGAGTTGTTGGAGGCGGCGCTGGCGCAGGCGGCGGCGGTGGCGGTGCAGGTGCAGGCGCAGTGATTGCAATCTTGGGTGGCGTAGTTTCAACTCACCATGGTAGCAGCCACGGCAGTGGAGGCGGTAATGGCGGCGGCGGAAGCGGCGGCGGCGGCGGCGATGATGATGATGGCGGAAATGGTGGCGATGGCGGTGGCGGCGGGGATGGATCACCCCTCACAACAGGCGGCTTCCTAACTACCACAATGCAAACATCGTCAACATCCACATCCACATCCACTTCGACCACATCATCAACCGTGTCCACAACATCATCGACAACCAATGACCAGCCTACCATTTCAGGTAGTTCGACTCAAACGACAACTTCAACGACCAATGATCCGACAACTACTACTATCTCAACATCCACAACTTCATCGACGACCACAAGTGAGCCAACTACCGCTTCCACGTCTTCGACCACTTCGACTACAGATGGTACCACATCCACAACATCGTCAACGACTACAAGTGATCCAACTACAACTACCACGTCGTCGACAACTGGCGAGACCTCGACCACATCGACAACAGATGGTACCACATCCACAACATCACCCACGACCACAAGTGAGCCAACTACCACTTCCACTTCGTCTACAACTTCGACAACTGGCGAGTCCTCGACAACATCGACTACAGATGGTACTACTTCCACAGGTACAACGACATCAACCACAAGCGAGCCAACAACATCTACCACCTCATCGACAACATCGACCACAGATGGCACCACTTCCACTACATCGTTGACGACCACAAGTGAGCCAACAACATCTACCACCTCTTCAACAACCTCGACCACGGGTGAGTCCTCGACAACTTCGACAACCGACGGTACCACCTCTACTTCCACTACCTCATCGACGACCACAAGTGAGCCAACCTCCACTTCCTCGTCAACAACCTCAACCACTGGAGAGTCCTCGACAACATCGACTACTGATGGTACCACCTCCACAGGCACAACAACAACCTCCACCACCTCATCGACCACCTCATCGACAACCTCATCAACAACATCTACCACAGATGGCACCACTTCCACTACATCATCGGCGACCACAAGTGAGCCAACTACATCTACCACCTCATCAACAACCTCGACTACTGGAGAGTCCTCGACAATTTCGACCACAGACGGTACCACCTCCACTACATCGTCGACGACCACAAGTGAGCCAACCTCCACCTCCACCACTGGCGAGTCCTCGACTACAGATGGTACCACTTCCACAACCTCCACAACTTCATCTACGACCACAAGTGAGCCAACATCCACATCCACCACTTCATCGACAACTGACGGTACAACATCTACATCATCCACCTCGTCAACAACCTCGACCACAGATGGTACTACATCTTCATCATCGACAACCACAAGTGAGCCAACAACATCGTCTTCCTCGACAACCTCGACCACGGGTGAGTCCTCTACCTCATCGACAATAGATGGCACCACTTCCACAACCTCGTCGACGACCACAAGTGAGCCAACCACCACATCCTCTACATCCTCGACTACCTCGACCACATCTGGCACTGGCTCAACTGTATCAACTACATCATCAACGACCACAAGTGAGCCAACAACCACTTCCACCATCTCGTCGACAACAACCTCGACCACTACAAGTGAGCCAACCTCCACCTCTACCACTGGCGAGTCCTCGACAACATCGACCACAGATGGTACCACCTCCACTACCAATGAGCCGACTACATCCACCACCTCGTCGACCACAACCTCAGGTGAGTCCTCTACTTCGACAACCTCGACTACCTCTACCACCGGTGGTACCACCTCAACTACCTCGTCCACCTCTAGTGAGCCAACCTCAACCTCCACTACTGGTGAGTCTTCGACAACCTCGACCTCAGGATCAACATCGACCACAGATAGCACTACCTCCACAACTTCATCTACAACCTCCACCACTGGCGAGTCCTCGACAACCTCGACATCCACCACCCAGTCACCAACCTCAACTTCAGGCGAGTCTTCAACAACATCGACAACTTCGACTACCCAGACACCAACAACAGTCGGTACCACATCTTCTACATCAACATCGACCACATCTGGTACTACCACTGGCGACTCATCTTCGACTACCTCCACGACACAGACCCCAACAACAGTCGGCACCACATCGTCTACCTCAACATCGACCACATCTGGTACCATCACTGGCGACTCATCATCTACCACTGGTTCACAAACAACATCTTCAACTACATCGACCACCTCAAGCACATCTGACGTCTCAACCACCTCCACAACATCAACCACCAGCGGCACCACAACATCAGGAGACTCAACCACCTCGACCACCTCGACCACCGCGGTTACTGGAGACTCCTCGACAACCTCGACAACCCTGTCACCCATCTCAACATCAGGTGAGGCATCCACATCCACAACTGGCGACTCCTCCTCGACAACATCGACTACCTCCACGACCCAGACCCCAACAACAGTCGGCACCACATCATCTACCTCAACAACATCTGGTGATTCCTCCACCTCCAGCTCCACAACAGGCGAGTCTTCGACAGTTGGCACAACAACATCTACCAGCACATCCACCAGTGCTGAGCCAACGACAACCTCGACCACCTCCACGACTCAAGCCCCAACAACATCAGGCGAGTCCTCCACATCGACCACCTCCACTACTCAAGCTCCAACAACATCAGGTGAGTCCTCAACAGTTGGTACGACAACATCCACAAGCACATCATCCACCAGTGCTGAGCCAACGACAACCTCGACCACCTCCACGACTCAAGCTCCAACAACATCAGGTGAGTCCTCCACATCGACCACCTCATCGACAACATCAGGTGAGTCATCATCAACTGTTGGTACAACATCAGGACAGTCTGGCACTACGATCAGCACCTCATCGACATCATCTACCATTGGACAGTCGTCAACAGTTGGCACCTCGACAACCACATCTGGATCAGGTAGTACCTCCACATCAACTACATCGACTGGAGAGTCAAGCACAACTTCCACCTCAACCTCGACAACTTCATCCACTACCACATCTGGCGAGTCATCATCAACTGTTGGCACCTCGACGACCACCTCATCCCCAACTATCTCCACATCCACATCGACAACATCTGGTAGCACATCTGGCACAACATCCTCCACCAGCTCAGGTTCAGGTAAGTTAACATGAAACACGAGAAGACCAAGTCTAAATACTAACTTTTATAATGAACAGGTGACTCTGGAGTGTCCTCTGCCACATCAACAACCTCTGGAGGCGAGTCATCCACTGTTGGTACAACGACAACATCGAGCACCATCACTGGAGATGCTAGTACCACCGTCGGCACATCCACCACAGCTGAGCCAACAACATCCTCAACCAGCACAACGACGTCCATTACCTCTGGAGAGTCGAGCACAACAGTTAGTACCTCTACCACCACCACCGCTGAGCCAACTACATCCAGCACCACTTCTGGTGAATCAACTACAGTTGGTACCACCTCGACATCCTCGTCCACAGTATCAACGACATCCAGCACCTCATCCGGTGAGTCCACTACATCAGGACAGTCTGGCTCTTCAACTTCATCCTCGACCTCTGCTGAGCCAACTACCATCTCCTCGACAACCTCTACGGGAACTTCAACCATCACTGGAGAGTCAGGCACAACATCGACCACTTCATCTGGACAATCGGGCTCAACAACCTCATCAACGACCTCAACTACTGCTGAGCCAACCATCTCCTCCACGACCACATCATCAACAGGCGAGTCATCGACGGTTGGCACTACCTCAACCTCGACAACTACATTGAGCACAACAACTGGTGATGCATCCACTACCTCAGGAGAGTCCAGCTCTGGTAGCACCTCAACCACTGGTGGCTCGACAACAGTTGGTATAACCTCAACTGGACAATCAGGCACTACCGTCTCTCCAACAGGCGAATCCTCGACAGTAACCTCAACAACTTCATCTGGATCGACTACCACCGCTGAGCCAACAACAGTCTCCTCTACTACCTTGTCCACCACTGGAGAGTCGTCAACCGTTGGCACTACCTCCACCTTGACCACTTCATCAGGCGAGTCATCCACAACCAACAGCGCGACATCTAGCACTGGTGAGTCGTCAACAGCTGGCACCACTTCGACAACATCATCAGGTGAGTCCTCAACAACGTCCGCCACATCAGGCCAGTCGAGCACTACAACTGCTCTGCCAACAACCTCCGGCAGCACAACCGTAGAGTCATCAACAGACGGTACCACCTCTGGTTCGACCACAACATCCACCACCTCCGGCCCTTCGAGCACCACGGTGAGCACCACAACCACCACTTCGGTGCCAACGACATCCACCAGCACCTCTGGAGAGTCATCGACAGTTGGCACCACAACTAGTGATTCGGGCAGCACATCTGGACAATCGGGTACTACAACTGGCGAGTCGTCAACCATTGGCACCACAACATCTGGTCAATCTGTCTCGGGCTCAACATCAACTACTGCTCAGCCAACAACATCCACCACTGGCGAGTCGTCAACTGTTGGAACAGCCTCGACCACTTCGACCACTTCGACCACTTCATCCGGTGAGTCGTCAACTGTTGGTACCACCTCGACCACCTCGACTACTTCATCAGGTGAGTCATCCACATCCACCACTGGTGAGTCGTCAACTGTTGGAACCACCTCGACCACCTCGACTACTTCGACCACAACCTCAGCCGAGACCTCAACTACGTCCACCACATCTGACAGCACTGGTAAGCATTCAAAGATGTCTCAATTTAAGACCCATAACCATACTAACAAACATACAATAGTGACAACAGGTACGACCTCATCCACAACTGCTGAGCCAACGACATCCAGTACATCCATAACATCTGGAGAGTCCTCGTCAACCTCTGGACTGTCGGGCACCACAGTGAGCACCTCGACCACATCCTCTAGCACCACATCTGGAGCATCGTCGACTGGTTCCACCATCTCTGATTCGACCACATCATCTGGCACGTCAACCTCTACCACCACTGTTGGGCCAACATCAAGCAGCACCACTGGTGAGACGTCCACAGTCAGCCCAACCACTTCGACCACCTCAGGCGAGTCCTCCACATCATCCACCACTGGCCCATCGACCACCTCGACAACCACGTCCACCACATCTTCTGGTGATGTGATCTCAGCTGTTGTTGGATCATCTACCACCTCCACCACATCATCTGTTGGTACAACCGTGAGCACATCAACAACGGCTGATGAGTCGTCAACTGTCGGATCAACATCATCGACTACTGGCGAGACATCCTCAACTACCTCGACCACAGGCGAGGCCACATTGTCCACAGGCTCAATCACTGTGACAACATTGGCAGTGAATGGAACCAACTCAACATCGACCACAACCAGCGGCACGACCTCGACAATCATTGGATCAGGTGACAGCACAATATCATCATCTAGCGGTGCCACTACCTCGACCACATCTACTACTACCTCAGCTCAACCAACCATAACAGGTGGAGAGACCAGCACTACCTCAGGATCATCCACCACCTCCACTACCTCTACGACCTCGTCCACAACCTCATCATCTGGCGACACAACTACCACTGATGCCGGAACTGGAACAATCACAAACTAAACCAACCCATGATGATTCCAACTTGAACCATCATCACCAACATTATAATAAAATAACATAACATTGTTTATCGTTCAATCATCATCAATCAAAGTGAAGTACTTCCTGATCAGGGGCACTCACTCCTTCCTTTGGCTCCTTGTGTTTGTAGTACTTGTCGTAGGTGGCTCGTTGGATTGATTGCCAGACGCCATTGCCAGACTCTTGAAACGCTCGGCACAGGTCACTTGGACATGAATGATTGTGTAGGTGACTCGTGAATATGAATGTTGTCTTGTTGCCAATGTTTGGATGTTGATCAATGACCTGCTTGAGCTTGGTATACCATCCATCCGGTTGAAAACTCTTAGGTTTGATGATATACATGATTAGGCGTTGCAATGACAAGCATCCTCTGATGGCATCAATGAGTTCATCGCTAACATCGATCACCACCATTCCAAGTCCCTCCAGATTGGGATGAGTCCTGAGCAGAGGCATGACATCGTAGGCGGATACCTCGCATAGATCCATCTTGGAAACACACTTTAGTGACTGGATCATCGAACTCCAGTCTGCATCGTCTCTCAAGGGTTTATGAAGACCGAGAAAGGTGAGAGGACGACACACATTGACCGGCTGTCCAACATAAATGCGTATGTGAGTAAACTTGCAGCGAGGGTCTTGCAAGAGGTATTCAGCGACACGCTGAGATGACGGCCGCTTGAGGGCGATTGACTTGAGATGTGGCTGTCTGCACTTGGCATCCATGAGGTAAGTGAGCAGGTCAAGATCATACTGCCCCAACTCTAATCCAGTTATGTCTACATCGAGTAACAGTTCGCGTAGTGCTGGTAGGAGTGAGATACGTTCAAAGAAGAAGGTCGACGAATTGCACATGAAGTTGGCGATTGGATTGTCCATATTGTTAAGGAAGCCAGTCGAGTACAGTTCGAGGTGTGTGAGTGTGTCGAAGCGTGGCGAGCATAACTTGAGGAAGAGCGAGTAGAGATCGGGATTGGTAACATTGTCAAAGAATTTCATGAAGAACTTAAGTCTCAAGTGGCGCAGGGTGCGTGCGTTGCCAATCGAATTGAGCATGGAGAAGATCATGCCTCTGGACTCTGGTGGCTCCTCGCCGTAGGCATGCGAGGCAGCTGAGCGCACCTCATTAAAGTATCTTTGATTGTCACCGATTGGGTCCAACACATCAATATCCAAGTGACCAACGGCAAGTTTGAGATCGACCAACATGTATTGTCCTGTGGTGTTAGAAAATGAGTCGACGGAGAGAGCATCCAGATACAACTGATCGTCGCGTCGTTGTCTGAACATACTATGAAGTGCACTTTGAAGTTGTGAGTCAATTGACTGGAAGTAAGGTATATCTTCATCGCGTGAAAGATGAAGTGTACGTAGGTGGCTGAACAGTGGACGATACGGCTTCGTCTTCTCCAGGCAGGTCGACCTTTGATGTTGATCAATGACGAATCTGAGAGGATAGTGATTGAGGAACGGTAGCTCTGTGTTGTACACCCAAAATAGATGACAATTGAGTGATTGGACTATGTTGTAGAACTTCTTTGATATGAATCTCCATTCGAGCAATGGTAGTACTCTCTGTCTTACATCGTGGATATTCTCAAAACCAATCAAATCCCATTCACTCTTTCTCCTAAATGCTTCATCCCATACCATTGACAATATTGTTTGCCATAAATGTATGTTTATCTGTATCTCTACCTCTTCCTCTATCTGTTGTTGTTGTTCTTGAGACATGTACGCCAAACTCAATTAACCCCTCAAGTCTTTAACTTTCGCATTTTTCTTCGTTTCTGTATTCTTGGTCCCCTGAGTTACTGTCCATCATGTAACGTTTTCAGAAATATATCTTTAGATTTTATATAATCCGAGGAATGATAGGTTGATTGATGATTTTGATTGAATTGAATCTACATCATATCATATGATGTCTTATGCTATTGATGAATCTTAGGACAATCTTGAGCTCCAAAGTGTTTGTTGTCATTCTTGCAAGTTCAAAAGTAATCTTGACCCACACTACTCACACAGCTAAGATCCCAATTGAAATCAACTTTTGGAAAAGACACAGAACAGAACTTTATTTGATTCCTATTGCCTTGTCCACCCATCTGAGACAACAAGAGATAAAAGGATTGAGGTTGTTGTTGTGTTTGATAACAATACAATACAATACAATATCTAATCATATAGATATAATACAATACAATATCAAACAATCAAACTATTATACAAACTATTATTAATAACAATGACATCATCTGAGACTAAGCAACAATTACAAAAATTGAATGACTTGTTCAATGCTTGTTATATTACACTTGACGAGTATCATCGTCGTAAACGTGAATTGTTGGGTATCAATGACAATGACAATAATACAAACAATAATACAAACACAGATATTCCAACAACTCCACCTTCAACTCCACCACCTACATGTTATAATCCATATGCTGCAACAGCAACATCAACACCAACATCCAATGACGATGCTGGTGATATACCTTATTATAATCCAGTTCCAGTTCCCAAAGATGCCAACATCTACTCAATGCAAATAACATTCAATTCAAACGTTGATCTATACAACAATGACATACCAATATTGAATGAATCATTCTCAAACATAAACATCAACAACAACAACAACAACAACAACAACAACAACAGTAACAACAATTATCTGAACCATAATTATACATTTGAACATGATAGTGATTGTGTTAGTGACAATGATAGTGACTCTGATAGTGACAATGATCACTCTGATATGGAGTATGATGCTCCTGCACCAGCTCCAACCAAGCGCACCAACTCCAACAACAACAACAACTCCAAGTCCAAATCCAACAACAACAATACACCCAAATTCAAAGGTGACACTGGAGGTCCTGCATTCTCCGACTTCTTCTCCTCTACACCTGCTGGCACTCCAAAGGTTGCCACACCACCGACAAAGGCAAAGGCTACACCAGCCCCAGCCCCAGCATCATCCTCAACACAAACATTTGGATCGATGCTGTTCACATCGTCGCCAAACACAGCTCCAGCTCCACCACCTCGCAAGGATACCCAGATAGTCTCCCACAATGGCAGGGACTACCTGTTTACTGCCCAGTATCCAGGATCAGTGCTCCGCGTCGTTCTCCACAACTGGACCAAGGAGCTCAATAACTATGGCCGTCCAGACGAGCCCACCCCAGATACCATTACCAAATGGAAAACCGAGCAGGCTAACCTCCACACTCGCCTGGTCGAGGGCAACGTCAAGTTCCTCAGCATGAACAGCTATAAATACATTGGCGGCGTCGACATCTCATTCGCCAAAAACAACAAGATCGACGCATGTGCCAGCCTCGTCGTGATTGAGTACCCCTCGCTCAAGGTCGTCTACGAGTCCTACAAGATGGTCAAGCTCACACAGCCGTACATCGCTGGCTATCTGGCATTCCGCGAGGCTCCCCACTTGATGCCCCTATGGGAGGACCTCAAGCGCCTGCATCCACAGTTCATTCCAGACGTGGTCATTGTCGACGGCAATGGCATCAATCACATGCGTGGCATGGGTGCCGCATGCCATCTGGGCATCCTAATGGATCGTCCAACGATTGGCGTTGCCAAGCAACTGTTGGTGTGCCATGGCATCACTCACGAGTCGCTCCAAACCAAGACCAACAACCCAATACCCATGGTCGCGCCATACTCTGGCAAGCTCATGGGCTTTGCCATCAAAAACTCTGACGGCGAGCAAATCTACATCTCGCCAGGTCATCAAATGGACAGCCACCGAGCACTGGAACTGGTACAGGCCACAATGAACAAGCGACCCATCCCAGAGCCCACTTTCATCGCCGACCAAGTCTCTCGCCAGTTCCTCAAGGACTACTACTCCAAGTTCCGCGTCTAAGTAACGATCATTCGTTCATCTAAACAATAAACATTGGCAACATGGCCTTGTAATCTACAACCCTCGCATTATAATATTCTTCCACTAACCATTAATGTATTTAACTGAGAATGGACTTGATTGTGTCGCGATCCAACTTGATGATTGGACGGAGACGGTTGGGTCGGCTCATGCCAAGGTAGGTCTGGATGAGACAGAAGTCTGGCTCAAGTGGTCCAGAGTTGACACCACGTCTTGCAATGTTGCATGATTGTTGCTCAAGCCTTGGCAGAGCAGAGTTGGTATCGTTGATGTATGCAGCAGACCAAAGACGCTCGGCAACAGCCAGTGCTCTTGGGAACACTCTCGTGTCCCAGCTCATCTGATCGACTTGCTCGCTCCACATTGTCGCCTCGCCTCCAATCACACTATCCACATTGGATGTTACCCCGCTTGCTGGATCACTCGTGTAGAACACCTCCCAAGTGTTCTCAAACTCTCCTGTCGACACGCCCATTGGTTGTTGCTTGTCAAAGTACCATGCGTATGATGCGATGGCCTTGAAGCCTGCGTCCACCACCTGTTGAGTAATGTCTGCACTGTTCCAAATCTGAACGACTGTGCCTGGTGCCAGAGTGACACCATTCTGGAAGGGATCATTCCAAACGATCTTGGTACGATTGAGTCCGTCCAGAATGTAGGTGAGCTGGTTCTCAAAGTAGGTCTCGGCATGCACGGAGTCAAAGCCCATCTTGTTCATCCAGGACACGATCGATGGGTCCTGCAGCCAGCAGCCAAAGATCACTTCGTCGCCACCAGTGTGGAAGTACTGATCGGGGAACAGTGCCGCCATCTCGGTGAACAAGCCAGTGATCACCTGGTATGTGAAGGGCTCGGCGATGTTGAGGGCAATGTTGTTGATGTTGTAGGCATAGCCGGGGCATTGAGCTAGGAGTTGGGGATATCCAAAACCCCAGCCGTAGGCATGGCCTGGGATGTCAAACTCGGGGATCACGCGAATACCGTAGGTCTTGGCATAGGCCACCACCTCCTCAATGTCATCATGAGTGTAGATTGCCAATGGATTGAATGCACCCTTTGCTGACAATTCAGGATATGTTGTTGACACGACTGGGAACGACTCTGCATCAACCATATGCCAATGCAACACATTGAACTTATTATATCCAAGTGCATCAATAATATGCAATATGAAGTTAACTGGTTCATAGTGTCGGGCTAAATATTTGATTGATTGATCATGTGAGTATCAGGGTCATGTTAGTTTATGGAATGATACCAAGATGACAAGTGAGTATGTGATTGAGTGATTGGAATGATTCCAGGATTGATATGGGATTTGATTGATTGATCGATTGAGTGATTGGAATGGTTCCAGGAATATACATACCAGTGTCAATCATGAATCCACGCCATTGGAAGCGAGGAGAGTCTGAGATGGAGATTGGAGCGAATGGGATGCTGTAGGAGTTGGATTTGGGGTTGTAGGTGAGGAGTTGGGAGAATGTTTCCAATCCACGCATGGCACCATAGATTGTATTGGCAGTGATGGTCAAGGATGATGCAGAGTCAACTGCAATCTTGTATGATTCATCAACACCTAGTGCCAAATCCTCATTACTTGATTGAACTTGGATGGATAATGATTGAGTTGGTGCTCCACTTGTAGATGTACCATTGCCAAATGGGAAGAATAGTGTTGAATATCTCTTGGTGGCCACGTTCAAAGTGACAGAGTTAACATTTGATTGAATAATAAATGTACTGGCATCGCTTATTGGCACTACCTGTGAGCCCCATGTCAAGGATACAGGTTGGGGTAGGACAAAAGGTCCAGACCCAGGTCCTTGGGCCAAGGTCACACCAACCAACAATGCAAAAACAATCACAAATGTTTGTCTCATTGTGTGTATCTGTTTGATTGATTGAATGATTGAATGATTGAATGAGTGAAGGTGAGAGAGATATGAGTTAAGATGAAGACATGTTGATCAATCTTGTGGACCTTTGTATGAGCTCGACGAATCACACCATCACTCATCACACCTCTATCCTGGTTTAGGATATTTCAAATATTCGAAAAAGGGGGTCGGGTCTTCATTGGGGCCAAAGATATTTCTTTTTTGAATTTTTATCAAATTTGCACTCATAATCATGATCCTTGCCTTGTGTGGGGACCAGTGCTGGTTTCGGCGGAGACCTTCAATTTCCTTTACGCACAAACAACTCAACAACAGGTCCAATCAAACATCAAACATAAACTAAACACAGATATACAGACAGACAGACAGATACAATGAAGTTACTCGCGACATTGTTTGTACTTGTTGCAGTGTTGGCAGCCATCGAGGCTCAGAGCCAGGTGGCAGGCCCCCTGATCACACCTTATCCCCGATCAGTTACATTCGGCTCAACAACAGGATTGCTCAACCCACAGAAGTTCAAGATCACTACCAGCTCCTCGTCCAGCATCCTGGCCGGCGCCATCCAGCGCTACTCCTCCCTTTTCTTCCCCTTTGGCAACGGCGCCGCCAGCTCGGCCCCAGCCGCCACCCTCAACATCAAGGTTGCCTCGGCCTCCGAGACCCTTGACTTTGGCGTCAGCGAGAACTACACCATCTCGGCCACCACCTCATCGTACACCATCACCGCCGACACCATCTACGGTGCCATGCGCGGTCTCGAGACCTTCTCCCAGCTGATCGCCTACACCCAGTCGTCCAACAGCTACAGCATCCCCTTCCTCCCCATCGTCATCAACGACTATCCCCGTTTCCCATGGAGAGGAATCATGATCGACACTGGCCGTCACTTCCAGCCCGCCAGCTACATCATGCACTTGATCGAGGGATTGTCTTACAGCAAGTTCAACACCCTCCATTGGCACGTCACCGACACCGAGTCGTTCGGCGCTGAGGTACCAAACTCCAACGTCACCAACCCATACAACTCAGTTGCAGTCTGGTCAACCGCTGACATCCAGGCCATCGTTGCCCATGGCAAGTCCTACGGAGTCCGTGTCGTCCCAGAGTTTGATGGTATGATCACTCGCTCACTCAATCATCACTCAATCAATCAATCATTCATCAATCCACTAATCACACAAACATATAGTCCCCGCTCACTCATACAGCTGGAGATATGGTGCACCAGATATGTTCACCAACTGCCCAAGCTACTACAACTGGATGGATCAGGTTCCAATGTCGCCAGCTTCGGACAATGCTTTGGACGTCGTCAAGTCGGTGTTCACCGAGATGTCCTCATTGTTTGTCGACTCATTCTTCCACACCGGAGGTGACGAGCTTGCACTCGACTGCTGGAATGAGGACCCCGCCGTCAAGGCATGGATGGCCCAGAAGGGCTTCTCCACCGTCCAGACCGAGCAGTACTTTGAGGACTACTTCACCACCGTGTTGCAGTCGCTCAACCGCACCAAGGTCGTCTGGAACGACCCGTACAGCAACGGAGTCGCCCTCGCCAAGGACACCGTCGTGCACGTCTGGGACAGCACCTCGCTGATGCAATCAATCGTCAACGACGGCTACCGCGCCATCGCCTCCTTTGACTACTACCTCAACGACCAGATCCCCGTCTCTGGCCAGACTCACTACGAGTGGCAGGACACCTGGCAGGACTTCTACGGTGCCGACCCTCTGGCCGGCATCAGCTCCAACGGCCACCTCGTCATTGGAGGTGAGGGCTGCATCTGGGGCGAGCAAGCCGATCAGTTCGCCGTCGATGTTCGTGTCTTCCCCCGTGCTCTCGGTATCTCTGAGCGTCTCTGGTCAGACGAGAGCCTCACCGACGTCCAGTCCGCTCTCACCCGTATTGGTGCCCTCTCTTGCCGCATTTCCCAGCGTGGCATCGCCTCTGGTCCACTCTTCCCCGACTTCTGTCTTATGCCAGACGACGTTGCCGACTACCTCGAGACTCCACGCTCTGTCTTGTCCAGAGAGGAGGTCTTGTCCATCCTCAGAGCCAACTAAATATAAATACTCCTCCCTAGGGTCGTTTATTGGTTTACATTACATTAACATGATACACATCTTTGGCGTGTCGACACAGCCTCGGCCACTCAATCTATCAATCACTTGTTGGACGAGGTTGAGGTGGTGGTATCCAAGTTATTGGTCTTCCGGAAATGAGCTAGTTCTGCTTGGATGTAATCGTAGCCGATGGTCTCTACTTGTTTCTCAAAGATCTCTTTGGCCTTTTGATAGATGATCATATCCATCCAGTTCTTTTGGCGGATGTACTCGCGTACCCACTCCTCCACAACAACCTTATTACGTTGGACACCAATGTTCTCCCTCACATACTTAATATCCTTGAATCCAGTGTAATGGGACATCAATACCATCGACTCTTCAAATCGTTCAGTCAATCCAACAAACTTGATGGCACTATATTTGATTGATTGATCGAGTTAGTGATTGATTGATTTGAATGATTCCAGCGAGTGATTGACTTACTATTTCATGTGATGAAGGACGATCTCGAGTGACTCTTCGTCGAATGAATCGGTGCGGCTGAGTCCAAGGATACGACGAGTTTGTTCGTTGTCAGCGATGGGTGTTCGTTTTACCCAATCGGTGATGTTGAAGGCGTTGGCGATGGAATGAAGTGGATGTTGGACATTGTCTCGTAGGTAGAAGTAGTGTGAGATGATACGATCGACTGGCTCACGGAACATCGTCATATATGAGTACTTGTTTAAACCAAATGCGTTGTCTGGTATCCTATCAGGGTCCATCTCATGGAAGTAATGATGTAGTCCATAATGAATATGACCAAATATCGTATCTGATCGCTTGACTGTGTCCAGGTCGCGCACTGCAGGATGTCCATCGATGTGGAAGAAGCGATCAGGGTCCTCATTCATGCGGAATATCTCGATGAGTGATGTGCCGCCAGTCTTGGGAATATGTATAAAGATGTGTGGCTTGGGCAACAGGAATGGATTGCTACGGGGATCGCTCTTCCACGTGTTGTTGAGGAATAGGTTGTCCCACTTTGATGGGTGGGGTGGGACGTAGCCAGGATGCCAAGGTGTAGCAGCATATCCATAATCAGTCTTCCACGAGTCCTTGGCCAATGATAGATTCTCCACAATAATCCTCTCTTGTCTAAATTGCTTCACAACCTTTTTATACAACTCTGACTCCTCCTCTCTATTTATCTTGTCTCTTGCCAACCTTTGTTTCAACTTTTCAATTGAGCTCTCCTCCCTGGACTTGGCCGAGTCATCTTCTTTGTCAAGTGATTGAGCCGTACCATCATCCTCATCCTGGTCCTGGTCCATATATACAGGTGCACCTTGTTTAGCATCTTGCTGCTGTTTGGACTCGTCATCCTCCACATTGTCCATTCCAACTTGGTCACTCTCTTCTTCCACCTCTTGCTCATCCACTTTCTTGGAACCATCACCAGGTTGTGTAGTTGGCGGTTGGATATCGTTTGGAGTATCATATTGTTGACCACCATCTAATCCAGTTTCCTCATCTTCTTCATCCATATCCTGTTTTTTGTTCTGATCACCATCTATACCTGCACCTCCAAAGTACAAGTCATCTTGATCATCACCCTCTATATCATATTCCTTATTATTATTATTATTATTATTATTATTGTTGGTGCTACTTGTACTACTGCTGGATATTATTTTGTCTTGTTGTTCTTGATCTTGTTGTGGAGTACTAATAATATGTATTGATGTTGTTGTTGCTGTTGATGTACTGGTACTAGCATTCGTCTCAACACCTCTTTGATTGGAAGTTAACAATAATACAATAGATGATATTGCAATCAACATAATGAACCAAACAACATTGTTCGGTCTCCTCCTTAATTGATTATTCATTTCAAGTATATTGTGTATTCATGTATAACTACTTATTATTATTATTATCTTTGCTTGATAGAAAGGCTGAGTGATAACACTTATGACCTACCAACTTACATGTACTGTTCATGCATTTAAAGATTCATTGTTCCAGCACTGCTTCGACATCAACAAAACAACCTCATTTGCACCATACCATACGATACTAATACCATTCACCCCACACCATCCAACCCAGTGTTGATTCATTCGGAATGTTCATTGCCACAAGCATTCATGCAGCAAATATCTGTTTTTGGTCCAGATTCACCCCATTTGCATGATAATCTCGGGTCCAATAATGGGGGCCCATATACCAGGGTCTCGTCGTTGAGACCTTTGCATGTCCACATGAAGCATGAAGTTCATTTAATAATAATAAATCAATAATAGAGTATTTTGGCTCCCTTGATAAGTAGTTGATCTCTTGTAACGATGAGGACTCTTGATCGACGATTGATTAACAAGAAGTATGATGTGTCCAATTGTCTGATCTTGATGGGTGAGTTATGATATACCATATTTGGTATGTCTGTTTTGAGATATTTGTGAATAGTACAATCCCAATCATAATAATGAACCAAACTGTCCAGGATCAATGTATGTAGATGTCCACCAAACTCTGAGTTTTGTGGAAAACTATGATAATGTCTGACCGAAACATATTTGATCATTGGTGGATGTGCCAGTTCCAATGACACACTTTGGAACATCGTTGTTGTATCCTGTGTTACCAAGTTGTTATAGTTTGTTCGAAATGATAGATGTGTGAGTGATGATGGCAACATATCACTATTGATCAATGGATGATCAAAGTATGGTCCAAACGATAGATGTGTGAGTGATGGTGGCAGTATTGTTGGAAAGAGTTTATGCGTGTACTCCTCACTGAGCACCAATGACGTGAGCGAATGTGGCAATACATCCTTCGACCATGGATGATTGTAATAATATCCCAAGTTCAATGATTGTAGTTTCCTTGGTAGCACACCTGGAATAAGTATCTCGTTGAAGTCAATACCAAACACCAGTTTGATCAATGACTCGGGGAGCACACCAGCCATGATCCCCTGGTTGAACGCTCGTCCAAGTTTGAGTGATCTGAGTGATGACGGCAATGCCCCAGTGATGAATGGTTTGTTGTACTCGGATCCCGAGACAAACTTTAACTTGGTCATGGATGAGGGTAGGACACCAAGTTCAATCGATTGATTATAATTGAGTCCTAGAGTGAATGAGGTGACAGTAGGAGGTATCGAGCCAGGTTTAAGACATTGGTTGAATCTGTCACACATCACAATACTCGTGATACTTTCTGGTAATGATAAATGTACACTCTTGTCACCAACAGGTAACACTGGTAGATTGACAATACTTCTGACATGTGATGGCAATGTGATAATAGTGTTCCTTATACTAATATCTGTTGTTGTTTGATCAAATGATGCCTCTGTCACATTAACATTATCATTTCCTTTCGTCTCCAATACAATAGGTAGGTCAGCCATATGATATCTTAATAAATATACACCATCTAGGGCGAGGGTAAGGGTAAGGGTTAGGGTTAGGGTAAGGGCAAGGGTCGAAGGTTAAGGATTAGTTAAAGGACAAACTAGTTACATTTAGGATTACATCTATGAAAGATTGTTAGATTGTTGAAGTTTGGGTCAAAGTGATGATCATCATCACAATAACATTTGATTGGAGTTCTGGCTAATAAAACACGTAATTTATCATAATACCTCTTACAAGTCAATATTAAACAACACGAATCAACTTCATTAAGTTGATCAAATATATATTGAAGTACAATCACTGGTAGTGAGTCCATGTTATACTAGTATAATACAATATCACATTATATTATTGTGTGTCAAAGACTTGATGACCTTGGATCTGATCAAATTTGGAATTGACACAAACACAAACACACACAGTTTGATCGAAATGACGTTGAGGAATCGACGAATGAAGAAAAATCTTAGATTGTTTAGAATGAAAATAAATGGGATGCACCAAAGGATATTAATAATTTCATTCACATCATCAACTCCTCATTGTATTAACAACTTTATTATTACTACTACATATATAATATATATTTTGGTATTGATCAATTACATCAAATTATCAATATCAATCAATCAAACAATCAAACAAAATGATATCCTCAACAACAACAGAAGTAGTTGAAGTGTTGTCATCCCAAGAAGAGGTGACATGTACAACAACATCAACATCAACAACAACAGAATCTACACCAACAACAACAAAGACAACAACAGTGAAGAAGAGTTATAATATTCAATATTTGAGACAGATTGATGCGGATGAGTCGACAAAGTTGACATTGAATATCTTTGATTTCGATGGTACTCTGTTCAGATCGCCAGAGCCAAATCCAGCAATGTGGCATACAACAATGCTTGGTAAGCTCAAGGCATTGGTCACCGAACCCGGTGGACTTGGTTGGTTCCAAGAGACCGTCACACTCGACCATCCATACGTACCCGAGGCACCAGAGCTCGACTGGTTCAACAAGAAGATCCTCGATGCTGCCTTGCTCTCATCAAACACAAAGAACAACATTACAGGTATGTATTGCATTCGTTAGCTAGTCAAGTCCACTATGGGACTATTCCACTCACTCATACAAACAATCACATCACGTGTGTAGTTCTGTTAACTGGAAGAACTGCATTGTATCAAGATATTATCAAGAGAATATTAAAGTCTGTATCATTGAATATGAATCATATTGGATTGAAGCCAATTAGACAGGGCGACAAGCCAATCGACACGACCTTCCAATTCAAGGAGGAGTTTATCACCGAGCTGTTGGAGATGTACGGCGGACGCGTCAACAGAGTTGTAATATACGAGGACAGGAAGAAGCACGCCGAGAAGTTTGAGAAGCTGTTGGAGAAGCTCAGGACCACACACAACGTCGAGTCGGGCGAGGTCGTGCTGGTGCTCGAGCCGCCCAGATACCTGACCGAGGAGCTCGAGACCGAGCTCGTCAACCGTCTCGTGACCAAGAATGGCACGGACAAGTTCAAGATGCGCAAGATGGTCAGCTACACATGCGCCCTGCTCGATCACGACTCGCATCACTTGGCCAAGTCATGGTTTGAGTTGCCAGAGGGCTGGGAGCTCAAGTGCCACCATACCACAATGAACTTGGGTGCGCATAACCCTGCACTCTGGAGACTCACCGACGATGACACTGTGGTGCTCAGCGACGAGGATAAGAAGAACAAGGTGGAGGAGTACACACAGATGTATGCCGTTGGACAGCAGGCGCAATTGAAGGTTGTGGCCGTCGGTCTCTCTGGTGCAGCTTTGGCTCTTAAGGTGTCTGGCGTGCCATCCAACAACAAGTTGGTCCACATCACGGTTGCCCATCATCCACGTGCCAAGCCAGTTGAGAGCAACAACATCATCAACTGGACACCAATCGAGATGATTGAGCATGGTCATGTGTTGGAGTATGTTCCAGCCCCTGTCCCAGCACCAACTACCACCACAACAACAACAACAACCGAGGAGACACCAGCTACACCATCCATCCCTGCTGCTGCACCATCCACCCCTGGCAAGCAGCCATTCGAGTATCCAGCCGTGTCTATCAAGACATTGATTCATAAGGATGGACTTGTGCTCAATGCAACAATCAAGGAGATTGGACCAATCACTTATGAGAGCGTGAATGGTGGAAAGGACTCTGGACGTGGAGGTAACAACAGAGGCAACAACAACAACAACAAGCAAGGTTCGGCAGCTGGCATCCCAGATCTGTTGAAGAAGCACCATCCATCGTTGGACAAGAAGAACTTTAGCAAGGCCGTGCAAACTGTACGTACATGGGTAACGGAAAATGACAACTGTCAGGACGTTGATAAGCTCGAGCAGTACATTAAGGGTCTATCATTGAATGAGACACCAGCAGCAGCCACCACTCAGTAATCACCATCATCATCCATCAACAACGGCAACAAATAATAATAAATATGGTGGCACATATGTTTGATGATATACCTTGTCTAATACTCTCTTATCTTCTCTCACTCACTAATCCATATCAAGAACAAGAACAAGAAGAAGAAGAGAAACAGAAAGAGGAACAAAGATACTCCACTCCAACAGATAATAGATTTGGATGCCGATGACAATGACAACAATAATGACATTGTTGCTATCAAAAAGTCGAAGAAGAAGAAAAGGAAGCCGGCGAAGAAGAATAACGAAGATGATCAGTTGGATGTAGATGACAACAAAAAGAGGAAATGGAATAGTTCCAATTCTGACCATCATGGCCATAGTCATAGTTATCAAGAAAGACCAAAGTGGATGAAGAAGAAGAATGAGAAGCAGTCATGGAAACAAGACAATCATCAACAATCAGGTATGGATAACCAAACATCCACAGACTCTCATCGAAAGAAGAAACACAAGTCCAAGCACCATGGTAACCAAATAAATGGGTGGCATGATAGTTATAGTTAAGTTGATAAACAGGTGAGCGAGATACTCTGATTTGTGTTGACAATGATCTACCGACAAACAACCCAGGACACTGATCAGCCCCAGGCCAAAAAAAACGAAGGACTTTTCAGATAACTTAAGACTTTGATCTGACATCATTCATTCAATCAATCAATCACATCGAGTCGAACAACAGATAGATACAAAGGATGTTGTTGAGACATTCATTATATGTCGTCTCTAGGGCGACAAGATACACTAGCAGTAGGGGATTGTCAAGTGCTGTACTTGGTCATTCAATCAAATCACCATCATCATGGTCATCAACCAGCTCATTGACATCATTCAACAACTCATCACCATCAACATCATCATATAACATGTACTCAACTACAACAACTACAACACAGACAACACAGACAACACAGACAACTCAAACGACAACAGATTACACTAAACTGATACCTGAATCAGGCAATATACCAAACACAATAATGGAGAAGATGGGAAAGAACTTACATTTGACGACTGATCACCCAATCAACTTGATAAAGAAGAAGATACAGTATCACTTCCAGCGACAGCAGACAAAGGACGAGCCACCCTTCCGCTTCTTTGACAACTTTGCGCCAAAGGTCTCGTCGCAGCAGAACTTTGACGAGCTGCTCTTCCCCAACGATCACGTGGGCCGCAGCCCCAACGACACCTACTACTTCTCGCCCAGCACTCTGCTGCGCACACACACCAGCGCACATCAGACACAGCTGCTGCGCGACAATAACAAGGCGTTCTTGGTCACGGGCGACGTGTACAGACGCGACACCATCGACAATGTGCACTACCCAATCTTCCATCAGATGGAGGGCGTGCGCGTCTTTGACGACGCCGAGCTGGCGCGCATTGCGCCCAACGCCCCAAAGCTGGCGTACAACGCCGCGACCGACTACTACGAGGACGGATCGTACAAGCGCCACGCCGAGGTGGCCGCCGTCGAGCAGCACCTCAAACAGTCGCTCGAGGGCATGATCCGCGGCGTGATCGGCCGCGCCGACCTCCAGGTCCGCTGGATCGACGCGTACTTCCCCTTCACCTCTCCGTCGTGGGAGATGGAGATCCTGTTCCAGGACAAGTGGCTCGAGGTGCTGGGCTGTGGCGTCGTGCACCCCACCATCATGAAGCAGTGCGGCATGGAGCACAGTCGCGGCTGGGCCTTTGGCATTGGCATGGAGCGTCTGGCCATGATCCTCTTTGAGATCCCCGATATCCGTCTGTTCTGGAGCGAGGACAGCCGATTCCATTCACAGTTTGCCGGTGTGGACAAGGCGCCGCAGGCGCTGACGGACATCTCGTTTGCGGGCGTCAAGTTCCAGCCATACAGCAAGTTCCCATCGTGCTTCAAGGACATCACATTCTGGCTGCCCGCGCAGGGCTTCCACGAGAACTCCTTCTTTGAGTTCTTGCGTGGCATTGGCGGCGACCTCATTGAAGACGTGTCGATGATCGATCAATTCAAACATCCAAAGACTGGCAAGACATCACAATGCTATCGAATCAACTACCGATCAATGGAGAGGAACTTGACCAACGAAGAGATAGACAGGATTCAAATTGAGATACGTTCCAAGATTGAGGGCAATCTTGGTGTCCAATTGAGATAGAGAGTGATTGATGATCATTATTAATTAATTAAAGACAGGTCTACAACTTCATCTTGATTGATTGATTGATTGAGTGGGGTGGGTTGTAGATCACTCCAGTCCATTCCAAGTCCAGCCTACTAGGTTGAACATCAATCAATCATATTTACTCACACATGTCGATCAATCAATCAGTGGAAGTTACAAATGTGATCGCCCATCTTGGAATTCGCCTCTTCAAGTACTACTCTAGACCAACTACCTTAGGTGTAGCGTCATTGAAATTACAATGACCGACACACACTTTAACTTACTCTACAATGTCAATATTCATCTTGGTAGCCATAAGGGTCACTCAGACAGTTCAGTCCGCCAATCATACAGCCTGCCCACTATTTGGAAACAATCAGGACATATCCCTCCACTTACTCACTTATTCAATCACTCTTCGAGTAGCTCGACCACATCCATCAACCCTAGGGGGTCTCAATGGTAACTGTTGATAATGGGTAACCATTATATCGATGTTCCCTCTTCACTTAACTATTAATGGTAGTAGTGAATGAGTGAATGAATGAGAGTATGAATGAAGGAGTCATATGACATTGAAGGACATATGTCAGTTACCCACTCATGGATGGACCAGACTTGTGAACATACCAAAGTAGAAATGAATGATGATGTGACCGTCAACGAGCCGACCGATTACCTGGACATAGGTATACTATTCGCAATCTTCTCGGAGTGGATCGAATGCAATCGACCCTTGCATCAAGCAGTATACATTCATTTCAGTCACAGGCCAACCAACAATTAATATTTAAATTACAAGATGATTGGGTAAATACAAATGAAAGTATTCCACTCGCCACTTTCGTCGTCGCCGTGTGTGGTGTGATCTTGATAACACACGTGTCAATATTGGACATCAATTGGTGTAGTGTAGTAGTGTAAGTGTGTGGCGGTGAAGTGTGTGTTAGTGAGTGATTGGTAAGTGACATTGTAGATGGAAATCCGTTGGACAAAGGGGGTAGATATAGCACAAGTGTCATATTATGTCAAGTCATTTCAGGTCAGTTCATGTCAAGTCAGCGATATATGATCTATCATGGTGAACTGAACATGAATGATATCATATGCAGCCAGTCTTAGAGTGCGCGGCTGTATTGAGTGGATGAGGACTGTGGTAGGGGGGACAGAGAGGGAGTCTAATTAATTAGCTTGGGTTGGCGCGCCAAGACCACCCATGCTTGCATATGTCATGAGCAAGTTGGCTAGCTGGCGGGCATGTTGAACTAGTTTCTTTTATGGCATTGCATCATTATATATTGAGTGTGTGAGTGTGTGCGTTCAGTGCAGTGCAGTATAATTATAATATTAACATTTGATTATTGACCTGATTGATTGACTGTATCTGTTATCAACGACTGCATCATCATCATCATCATCATCATCTGCCGTTAGATAGATATATCACCCACATCACATCTTGTTGCCATCCCTCCATCCCTCCATCCATCATCCATCATTCAATCAATCAATCCATTCCATTCTGACCAATCAATTAATCCAACTGTCTGATCACTGGTTGGAACTTTGACACTGAGGTTATATTGTCATTGACCATATTTGAATCACCACCATCTTCTACATCATCCATTCAAACTCTAGTTATAACTACTCATTTCATTCAAACTCCACCCCACTTCCCGCCATCATCATTCCATCCAATCAATCGCCTTATATATTTATTTATTTATATATATTAATAATATATATATATAATAATTCGATCATATTAAAATTCATTGTCTCCATGTCAATTTATTTATTTATTTACTAATTAATTAAATCAACTTAATTATTTTCCGAATATTTATATCCACACACAATAATGTCCAACTATAATTTAAAAAAGAATAAGAATAATAACTTTGAATGTTATGTATTGATTGCTGGTGGATGGCAAGGTGGATGGTGCTGGGAATATGTCTCAAAATATTTGAAGAGCCAAGGACACAAGGTTTATTCCCCAACACTTCCTGGAATGGGAGAGAATTTCAAATATAGTACATGCGATCAAATCGACCTCGAAACACATATTCAATCAGTAATCCATTTAATTGATTCCAACAATCTTCGAGATATCAACCTTGTTGGACACAGTTATGGCGGCATGGTCATCAGTGGAGTTGCAGACCTTAGAGCTAAGTTTATAAAGTCATTGGTGTACCTGGATGCCCTGGTCCCTGAGGACAATGAGAGTGAGGCCGATATGTTTGGTCCAGACACAAGACAAATGTGGACCGATAAAATCAAGGCGGAGAACAAGGGCAATTTTCTACCATTCTACAGTCCCGAGTACCTTGGAATGACAGACAAGAGAATGATGGAGACATTGATAAAAAAGGCTACACCACATCCCCTCAAGACCCTGCTCAGTCAAATTCATTATGTCAATGGAGGAATTGAGCAGGTGAACAAAAAAATACTCATCGAATGTACCAAACCAAGTGCAGTGTATAACTTGATCAGAGATAATTTAGAACGCACCAAGAAGTACCCAGGATGGATAGTTGAACAAATCTATTCATGTCATCAATGCATGCTTGAGGATCCAATCATTGTGGCTCAAACAATCATAGAACTCACCTCAGACTATGTTCCAAATGTTGGACAAGCACTAAACTAGGTTCAATATTATATCCATCCATCATCCGATCTTGGTGTTTGGTATTAAATAAATTATATAGAGTATTATTATTAGAATTAATCACCAAGGCAATGGTCCTTCAGCTCTACCCTTGCTCGCCCTTACCCTCGCCCTTACCCTCGCCCTTACCCTCGCCTCGAGGACCAAGTGCTACCTCTCTTGACATCGATCCAACTGGACACTGTGTCTATAGAAGTCCTAGCACTCTACCACAACAAAATCATGAGGGTCCTCCTATCTTTGTATAATCTTTTTCACCAACCATTATCGAAACCAGATTTGAGAGAAGTGGATGCTGTTAGGTATCGCCATCCAGTATTGGACTATTGGTCATTGCTTAAATAAATATTTATTATTATAACTAATGTTGGTTAAATAGGTAACAGAACATATTCAAGATAAACTGAAAGTTGTGAGTACTGTGACCAGTTGTGTGTATGTTCTGGAACAATTGGCGAATGTTGGCGACCAGATCTCTATCCTTGAAGTGTTTGCCTGGCTCGCATAGGGCAAAGAGATTATCGTCAACAACGATCTTGACATTGTTCTGGCTGTTATTAGTGACACGACTACTGCAGAGTCCAATGCACAGAGACCCATTGACGCAATGACGGAATATGTTGTCAAGTCTGTCGGGTGCATGTGGGGTTGTAGACCAAACTAGTGGTTGTTGTGATGATCTAGAGGCTGGTGATAATAATTGTGATGTTTGTGATGTAAACTCGTCAATGTATTGCATCCCTGGTTGGGCGGTTAATGGATGACCTGTTGTGTGTTTTGTGTGTTTCGTGTGTTTTGAGAAACTTAAGTGTTGGCATTACTTGACCAGATTCGGGCATAACCCTTGCCCTCGCACAAACAATCACACCAAACACTCTGCAGTGTTACTAATTGTTCAACTCCCATCTTCAACAACTCCCACAACACAACTCATTGTCTCTAGTCATATTGTTTGTCTCACCTCAAACATCAACTACAACATTATCTCTCACAAATATTATTATTACCTCTTGACCACAATGACTTCCAATATTTGGGTCTATGTCAATGATGCGAATCAAGGAATCGAGATCCCCACCACTATCATCAACATCAGTGGTTTGCGTACATGGATCAAGGACAACATACAAGAAGCTCAGCAACTGGCCTTGAACTCCTTTTCATTGCGAAGAACTACGATCAACAACGAACCTCAGGCCATACCATCGAACCAAACACTTTTGGCTGCGTTACCAAGGAACGACGATCACTCGCTGTGGATACAGGTTGTTCCACCAGCTCGTAAGTACAAACAACATCGGGCGCAATGTCTTCATTCAATACTAACATATACACTCTAGCCGGTGCTGCAGGAGGAGGTGATGACAATGATCGTAAGTACATATAAGAGCGAATTAAGTGTTCGATTGATACTAATAATGTTTCTATCACAGTTGCGAAGATGGTACAACTTCTCCAGGACATCAAGCTTCAGAATCAAGAGCAGATGCAGATTTTGATCAACTCAGCCTTCATCAGATCGCCAATCTCAGATGGCAACTCTTCAAACTTCAAACGATTGGCATCCAATGTACAGATCAAAATTGACAAGGACCCTCATCATTTGGAACCACTTTGGTATATGGAAGGCAACGGCTACAAGTTTATCTGGCAGAAACCAGAGGCAGCCAACATGGAGAAATGCTATGAGTGGATATCACACGCAATTGAGCTCCATAGGTTCTATCTTCATGATGTCCACACCAAGAACGATCTGCTTACATTTTATTCGGAGGGAACTGCATTCCCTGGAGGTACAGACTTCATCATCTCTGACACTTCATCCATGGATGACTCCAGTCGCATCTTCATTGTAATTGAGCTCAAGGATCATTGTCCAACACCAAACGAGAGAAGGCAAACAATGCTGGAGTTGATTGGAGCATCAAAGAAGTCACAACTCCCTTTCCCCACATTCGCTTTTGCGACAGACTTGTACAAACACTGGATTCTCTATTGGTTCTCCAATCCTACAACCATATCATTCATCGAAGCTGAGAATCGCTCGACTGGTATCTCAATTCTTCAATACCTCATCGACACATTCAATGACAAGATCATTCGACCGAAACCAACTGGACATGATGGCGACGACAAGGGTGTAGATGACGACGATGGCAATGATGGCGATGGCAATGATGACGACGATGGAAACGATGACCGCAACAATGATTGGACACAAAGAAACCACCTCTCAAAAGAGGTTCTTGGCACCTACGAAGTCACCTTCTCCAAAGCGTGCAACCCGTTGAGTCACCAACATCATGTGCACCAGCAAGTATCAGAGAAGATGATCCTTCAGACACGAACAAGTGATGTCGCCGAGGTCTTGGACCAAGACCAACTGTTGTCCAACATCATTATCTCGCTCAGGAATATAATGTCTCCAAGCGAGTTCCGTTCCATATCTTACCACACATGCACTGAGGAGTCAACAACAAAGTTGAATGAGCAAACTCTCTTCAATATGGACACCTTTATGGAGTCATAGCTCAGACTTGCTGCTGCATCAACTACATCAACTACATCATCTACCACGACAACACCATCAGAGTCACCATTGGTCATCCAAAGAACTTTTCCTCATCAGAGTCTTGATATGCCAGCAATAAACCCTGCTTGCGCTCACTCAATTCAAACCCATTCAAACTCACACAAGTGCAATAGCCATGTAGACAGGATGGGCCAGTTATTTTATTTATCAAGTTCACTACTACGTTTGATGGTACTCGATCAATCAAGATGGAGCATGGTGAACATATTATTATACGAAAGTCATTTTATCCATTGTTGACGATTAACAGACATAATGAGACAGCGGATTGGGTACATGGAAATGGTAAAACTGATAGAGATGAGTGGAAACTACACATTCTGGAACCAATCCACTCACTCAACATCGGCCAACTGAGGTACTTGACTTGCCCTTTTGTGATATCTGTATCATGTTGGATTGATTGATTGATTGATTGATTGATTGTTAACATATTGAATGATTGTTGTGCATCCAGTCCATGTCACTTACATTCAACTTGAGTACACAGTCATCGGGCAACAGTGATGGCTTGGACGTTAGGGAGCACAAACAATAGATCATACATTTTTCAAACAACTTCGGAATCAATTCAAGACAAAGAGATAATAATATTGATGGAGATAATGAATGTTAGTATATATACGAGGATCATTGACATTGTGTTTGATGATCCACTTCATGCTTGGAGATGGAAGATCTCATTATCATTGGTATCAAAGAGATTCTTTAAGATTGTATCAAATCATATGAATAAGACGTTCAACAATACACAACTCTCCAAAGATATCATTCATCTACAATCACCTTATTGTTTAATCAAGAATATCAACTCACTTCATATTGGATAATCCTTATTTAAATGATATTGATACATTACTACAACGACATCATGACGTTTATCATAATGTTCAATCCCTCATTGTTGACTTTGAAGGTGATTGTCAAGAATTTATAAATGCCCTGCCGAGTGTCATTACTAGTCTCCCTCAATTACAACATATATCACTATGTGAAGTTGATGAGACCATCATTCTGCGATCAAACATTCAATCAATCAGCTCATTGGAGCTAAAGGTCTTTCGAAGAGAAGAACAAACATTGTGTCGCGGCATTGAATCACTACTCAACGATATCACTATGACATCACTATCACTCTCAGGCTTAATCATCAAGTTCAATCCATCATCGTTCCCCAATCTCACGAGTCTCGTGCTGGGCTATCGAGAACCAGGCGACGTCTACATTGAAGACCCCAAACAGTTCTTTGAAGGACTGCGCTCATGTACAAGACTGACAAAGCTAGCATTGTTCACAACAAACTACACCATTGACAATGATTACAAACCATCATTCTTTCAATATCTTCAACAAGAGAGCAATACACTCACTTCGCTCTCATTGGGTTTCATAAAGATGCACCAGTATCTTGAAGCTATCGCCTCAAAGTCCAACATCAAGACACTATCAATATCACAAATGGATGGACCAGTTATATTTGTACATGTACAAACACTTAAGCTATCATCACGATTGGATCGCTATGTACAAAGGCAACTTCGTAACATAATGGACCATCACCAAGCCAATTCCCACCTCTGTCTTGATCATTTGACACTTGAGTTCTTCCAGACCAATGTCTATTCTATGCATAAGATAATACCTCACCTTCCTTTGTTTTGCCAAACGATCAATCTAAGACGACTATCCATCGATCTTAAAGCTTTCCAACACTTTTATGTCGATGGTGCAGGCATCGATCACTTCCTTACATGTGGTTTGGAACAGTTGGACATGTCCATCCCTGATCAGAACGATGTCTCATCGGTGTTGGATGAACTCGGACCACCGCCCACATCGACCAGACTACTCTTGATCACTTTCCAAGTGTCCATGACCCCAAGACATGACCTCGCATCCAACATTCATTATCAACTCTTGAGTGTATCCAAACGAATTTACACATCATCATTCATCAGCTATCGACCAATTGTTGTACCATCATCAACAACTTTATCATCATTGGACCTTGTTGATGATGATGATACCGAGTCACGTGATTTCTGGAATAGTGACTTTGAACAACTTTCAGACGATGAGGACACGAACTTGACAGATATTGAATATCGATACAAAGAAGGAGACGACTATGATGAACAATTATATGAAGGTTTATCATACTATTGACCTTTGCCAGACAAAGCGAGCTCGAGCGACTTAACTTAAGTTAACTTTAACTTTAACTTTAACATCGGAGTTCGGACATGGAACCATGTTGAACATATGTATAAATACAGTAAACACCTTCCCACATGATGTGGCACACACCAGATGATGTGTCTACCACTTCAATCAATCGTATCACCTGTTGCCAACATTGACCAACAAACACTCTGTGTGAACCCCATCACATGATACATCTAAGAGTGGTGTGTGTTAGTTTGGTTGTTTGATCCCATCAATCCAATCACTTGAATGATTGTGTGAGTGAATGGATGGACGAGAGAGATAGAGATAGAGAGTATACTTGTATGTTTGTGATAGGTAGTATGGACATAGACATTCCGACATGGAGTCCGACTCTGTGTGTATGATCAAGTTGTAGTGATCAATTATTTGAACATGTAAACGGAGGTAATATAATAGTCTCACCCGACACACCATTCTTACCATGCACATCATGTACATGGTATCGATCAATTCAATCCTAGGATAGTTTGATTAATTGATTGATTGATCGAATGATTGATTGTTATTGGATTGTCATTCATTATCCCAAAAGATATAATATCAGATTGGTCTGATTGTTTGATATCATATTCAATTATATCATTAAATCAATCAAACAACAATAATGGCGAACAATAGAATTGGTCAAAGATATCTAAGTCTTAAATTCATCACCAGAGCACTGGTGGCATTGTCTTTGGTCAGTCTGTTCACATTATCAATACTTCATCTATTCCAACAACGACCCGTCCAAGTATTATCAATAGAGGTTGATCAATCAAGACCTGATCTACAACAACAATCTCAACAACAACATAAAGAACATCTATCACATCCAAAACAACCAAGAGACAATGTAGAAGTGGCCAAGGTATTGCTGCCTGGCCAAGCCAACATTATAAAGATCAACAATATTGATGTACATGTAGCAAATAGAGGTGGAAGGAATATAGAGATGGACTTTGAATTACCAAAAGATTCTTGGTTGCCAGAGAACAACAAGCCAGAGACTCCATCACCAACACCACCTCCAACTCAACCCCCAACTCAACCTCCAACACCTCCACCTCGTCAACTTTCATACGAAGAAACAATCGATGTACTGAACCATAATGAACCAACTGTTAAACCATCATTCGACTGTCCTTTCATTGATGTAGTGTATACATGGGTCAATGGTACTGATCCATGGCACATTAATCGTAGAAACCAATCATACCCGTAAATATCAATCACTCCATGGAACTTTTCCAATCACTCATTCACTCAATCACTTGATCAATTATACTTTAGGAAAGCGCCCATGATGATCAATAGATTTAGAGACCTTATGGGATTGAAGTATTCATTGAGGAGTCTTCCGATCAATGCTCCTTGGGTCAGGAAAGTGTTTATAGTCACAGACAGTCAAGTTCCAACTTGGTTCAATAGGTCGTATACCAAGGACATCCATTTTGTATTCCACGATCAATTCTTTGCCAATAAGTATGAACAACCACATCCTTGATTGACATTGGTACAAGTTGACTAATATCATTCCAACATCTCATTCATCCAGGAGCCATGTACCAACATTCAACTCTGAATCTATAGAGTCCAACTTTTATAACTTACCAGACTATGTAGGTGATTGTTTCCTTTACTTTAACGATGATACTTTTACAAACAACAAAAGTAAGTTACATGGTGAAAGATTGAACGATTGACTGATTGAACTAATATAATTGAATGATGATCGATGGATAGTATACCCTTCCGACTTTTATAGCAAGGAAACAGGACAAGCTATATATTTTAACTTATGGAAGTCACCTCAGGAGCCAGAGATCCTGGCCAAATCAAGTTGGCACAAGTATGTTGAAAGTCTGATTGATTGATTGATTGACGGATTGATACTGACATACACTTATCTTGGATATTTAGGGCCATTGATTATACTAACAAGTTAATGAATAGTATATGGGGAGATGCTGAAAGACATTATAATAGTCATACTATTATTATGTATAATAAGAAGGTGTTGAAGTTGATGCAAAAGACATTCCCAAAGGAGTTTGCTTTGACATCAGCCAATCCATACCGTACGGCCACCGAGGTGAATCTAGGATTCATGTACTCACACTTTGTCAAACGATTCTACAAGACATTCGAACCAACCACCAACATACTACAGTATCATGCACTGCAAGATGATGTGGAGAAGATGGACAAGGCATTCAAGTCAATCATTAGTAAACGAGCCAAGACTGTCTGTCTCAATGATGAGTTGGGAGAGCCTGCCAACGCCACCGTCATTGAACATCTGATGACCATGTTCGAGACATTATTCCCAGTCAAGCCTGAATGGGAGAATGTTGTGTAATCCATCAATTAATTGTCAGGTCTAATAAATCATTGATATTTGACAATCACTAAATCAATCATGGAACTATTCCAATCACACACTCCACCACTCTATCACTCAATCACTCTTTCACACAATCTCATTCAAAACTAGATAGTTTATTGATAGATTGATTGATTGATCAAACGAAAGATCTGGATATTAACACTTTGGGGTTAACTTGAGAGGTGGACAACCATGCAAAAGGTGTCCAGAGGAGTTCGGCTAGGACAGGTTTTCTATCACCTGGAACATTCTCAACGACCCACAACATACTATCACTACTAAGTGGATTGCTGTAGTTAGGGTGTGGAACATCGGTTGGTTTGAACCAGCCTCTGACACCTTTGGCCAACACCTTGATGTACAACGATCCGTCATCATAGGTGACACGCATAGTGTAGTCACATCCATATGAATGACAGTACCATGGAATATCTCCAGTGTTTGGTGTTATGGTTGCCAGTTGAGTGGCATTGGTGGGGTCGATGTAGTCCACCAGGTTACCCTTGTACTTCTTGGACAATGGGTAAATGATTGAACAGTTGACACAGGTAGAAGTTGGTGCAGAGTTGTGCTGCATGAAGATGGTGTAGATGTCCACATCACGCTTCGTTGGCAAACCAAGATTGAGCTGACCGTACAATCCCTTGCTTGCGGTTGCCACCTTCACCTGGACATAGGCCAGACTGATTGTGTCCCATTGCTCGTAGATATTGCGGTTTGGACGGTACACGATCTTGCCGTTGGGCACATGCTCACCCTTGCTGTTGATGGTGGTGTTGCCTTCGAGATAGAGTTGGAAGCCAGCCATGTTGAAGTCTGAGAACAAAGAGAATGGATAGCCTTTGGATTGAGCACCGGAGCCACTTTGCATTGGATCCTGTCTTACACATTTTCCATTGAACATCACAGAGCGTTTTTGGCAATTGAAAAAATCAGTTGCGTTGGGCGAGATGTAAATATCCAAGAACTCATTGTGATCCATGTCAAAGCCAACAACTGAGCCCTTTAAACTTCCATTTACATATGGATATTGGCCATCATTGTACGCTTCTCCAGCATGCTATTATAATAAGTGTATGAATGTGTATGAATGTGTTAGTATTTTGATTGATTGAAATGATTTCTTATTTAGTATGTGATTGGGTACTTACAGGTAGTCCCATGGCATGACCCATCTCGTGGATAAATATTCCAGAGTAGACATGATCACCGGCACCTACGGTACCACCACCTAGACCTCCACCAGTGCCTGAGAAATTTCCATTTGGAATGTTCAAGGCAATCAAGGGAGAATAGTACAATTGATTGGTGTTGACCTCTCCACTGGTAGTCTGCAAAGCCTTGAGGAATGGCAACACAGTATTCATGAGGTCATATCCATCCTTCATGCTACTGGCACCAAAGATCTTGTATGCAGGGTTATTATTGGCCGGCAACATCACTATTGAGTCCCAACTCAATCTCTCCATTGGATGATCGATCACCTCCAGGTTGGCAACTGGCCAAGTTTGGAATATTGCTGCCTTTCTCGCGGGATCGGCCTTTGTATTTCCAATTGGAATGGTGGCATCGGTGGCACCAAACAGATAGAAGGGAACATTGAACTGACGGAGGGTACCATCCATTCCAACCTTGGGCATGATCACCTGGGTCACATCATCATTGACAACTACTTTCATTCCAGGTCGGACAAACTCTCGGGTGATACGTACAGAGTAGGCATTTGTGGCAATTGGTGGTTGCTTGGCCTCGGTGGGTGGTAGTTGGTCAGGTGGATTGGTGGTCAACACAACAGAGTACTCCTTATTATCAATGGTACAGGTAATCTGTACTGTTGGTGGACTGTTGAACCCATAAGTGGCAGTTGGCTTTGGCTGGATCATCAACAGAGTCTCACGATCACCTATCAAGTGCAGCTCACTAGTCTTTCCTTTGAGTGTCCATTGTAGACCCTGAGGTGGTAACTTATGAGTTTGGACAAAGTACGAATCAAAAGGTGGAGTAGTAACAATCTTAATGTTATCGGGCATGTTCCAATTATTATTATTCTCAACTATTATTTTGGAATGATTAATATTATTAATATATTCACTTGTTCGGGAATTTAAATTAACTTAACATACCTAATTCAGTTGGTCCATCTTCATTTGGTATTGTTGCTGCAGCAACTACAACAAATAATATGATTGATAATATTATTAATTTCGCCATTATTTATCTTCTATCTCTATCTATTCAATCATAAATGAGAACTGAATAGTACTTACTCGGGGTCAATACTTCCACCTCCACATATTCATATCTCCTCCAAGATGCATTCAGAGTATGACCCTAGGCTACGTTGTTCTGGGGCTTGCTTGCTTGTTTGCTCGCTCTGTTCAGTTTACATGTACATATATTACTGTGTTGTGTTAAAGGATAGGTGTGCAGTGTGTATAACAAGGGGTGTGGGTGGTGACTTCATGGTTGATACACAATCAATCAATTTGCAATCACGGTGTATTTGTGTAAGTGTGCTTGATTGATAATGTATAGCTGTGATGTTATAACTTGTATCAGAATTATTTTCTTTGTTTGATGTAGGCCTTGTGGAGAGAAATTAAGTCGCTGACATACCCAAGTAGAGCGAACATTACACCCTGAAGATGGGTGCATCAGCATTGAGAGTGTCACTTGAATTGAATTGCATACTTAAAGATACTCTGAAGGGAGGGACTGATCAAGGCAATGATGCCCCTCTGAGCTTAACCATTCACAACTCTGGCAGCTAGATCAAGTACATGAGCATGAACTTCTGGTGATTGGCTGTAAACCTGGCGGAAATGCCACTTATTTGAAACATCTTCTATTATTATTATCTTGTCGAGTTGAAGAGTTCTCCTCTCCTACTGTCTGCGTTGTCGACTTAGTTAGTTATAAAATACTGTCCTGTGTTATGTTGTTCAACATCGACAACAACCTTTGCCTTGGTGTTTTGGTTCAGATGAAAAATGCGCCAAAATTTAAATCTTCAAACTTGACGTAACCAATTTAACTAATGCCAGATAACACAGTCATTATTCATAGTGATAGAACTATAACATACATACATATATACATATACATACACACAATTCAAATACACTTTAGGAGAATGAGTGATGAAGAGAGTGATGTTGCTGTAGCATCAATTAATAATAATCATAAGGTGCGAGATGATATATTTGACGATGACGACGACGAGGAAGACAACAAAGAGAATGATAATGATGTAGAAGGTCACTTTGTATCAGATGGTATATCAATACATCCAAAGTATATGGATGATCTAATGCAGTGGAATAATGACAACAGTGATGATGACGATGACGATAATAATGATGACAAGAAAGAAGTGGACGAGAGTGATGATGACAATGATAATGGAGATGCTGCCAGCTATGATGGAGGTGGTGGTGGTGGAATGGACGACTATGATGATGATGAAATGACAACAGAAGAGCCAGATGACAAGGTCAAGAAGACAAATACAAAGAAGCCTGATGTATCATTGGGTTCAAAAAGAGGCAGAGACATCCAGAGTGATGATGACGATGATGAAGACGATAATGACTCACCACGACAGACAAAGAAGAAGAACAAATTATCACCAAGCAAGGACTCATCATCTTCATCAGCATCATCATCATCTGCATCAACCAAGCCAAAGGTGGTCAACTTGAAGACAAAAAGAAAGCTAAAGAAGAAGACCATGTACGACACCGACCTCATGAAGGACAATGGACTGGTCAAGCTCGACACACTCTGGCGGGAAGATTGCAAGATGAACTCTGCCAAGGGTGAGGTGACTCTAAAGGTAAGTTGGTCATTCATCCACTCTACCGCTCACTCACTCACTCACTAACTCACCTTATTGACGACTTTACATCAACGTGCAGGAGAAGTTGAGTACGCTATTCAATACTTTTGGACAATGGGCCAAGGGTATTGTGCCTGGAATACCTCAGGCCGATGCTATATCAGTGGCCGAGAAGCTGGGAGGTCTAAACAAGATTCGCAATGTAATAGATGGAATAGAGGATGGATCATGGAAGCCAGTCAAATTCTACAATGACGAAGAGACACAAGACAACGAGTCGAACACCGATCAATCAACAGTAGACAGTGGCGGACACTCCAACTACAACAACAACAACAACGACATCCACAAAGACACATCAACCTCATCATCATACGACAATGTACATACTTCTCATCCATCATCTTCATCATCAATGGTAAGTTCACTCATTCATTCAATCACCCAATCACATACCATCAATCCATTCAAATGACTATGACGACGACGACGTCATTGTCGGGGCTATATCTGAGTGATTGTTCTTCAATGGTTTACTCTCACTTCGTTCCCAGCCCAACATTAATAGGATGAGTTGGGGGCTTGGTTGCCTGAGCATCTATACAGAGATCATTGTTGACAATGGGTGTGCAAGCACTCCTTGTCGCAATCGGTCGTATGCAAGTTGCCAGTGTACTCCCTGTCCTCTCTCATCGCCGGTGACTTTTGACCTGTATTACACAGCCATCCTAAATTCAGGACAGATACTACCGGGACATCCACATCCATCCACTTTCATATCCATCCACATCCATTCAACAACTCCAACATATCCAACTTGGAACTAACCCTTATATCCATCCATTCCCAAACTTGATCATATGTACATCATAGCAGCATGCAGACGTCACTTTCGCGACTACCTCTACGACAACAACGACTACAACAACTGCAATGCCAACTGGTAGGCTCTCACTCAAGAGCTTGGCAGGCACCCTATCACTCCCCAAGCTGGGCGCAGGAGGCTCAAAGATCACTCTGAGTCTCAAACCACAACTTGGAGGTCAGAACAAAACACTCAAACTTTAGACATTCAAGAGATAGATAACTGGTCTATATTTGCAAGCAGCACCAGGTGCTAGTCCCTAATGGTTTCAATCCGTTCATTGTACCCTCAGACCAAGCAGTCCAGTCAGTGATCGTGGTTGAACCTGGTGTCGATACGCCACACATGACCATCACAAGTACTTCCCTTCCTTTCAATCCTATCCCATCTACTCCAGCTTCCAAACATCAACAACAACCCCCATCCATACACCCGACAATAAGATCATCTGATCGATCAGCTCCGGTTAGAGTTCTTCGAATAGTTCAATAATAAGTACTACTTTGAATGACCATTCATTCCTTCACTCTTCCAGTTGAGCTGGAGCATCCATTCATTCAATTTACAAACTTTGCCTTAAGGCATGGAGGGGGTAGGTGAGGGCCTGGATGAGGGCCTCGAGAGAGCCAGCTCATGGTTGTGAGGGAGGCTAGATAATCTGTCAATTCACATCATCAACATGTTGTCAATTATCCTGTTTTGTAATTGAACTGTCACATGATCTCGGAGCAGATTGTCCAGGTTGTTGTTGTTGATGTTCCCCCAAGTGTGTTGTGTGTATATGTCTCTTGTACATACACAAGGTAACACACACGGATCACACACTGCCATGTGATTGATCAATCACCACAGTCGAGTGAATTCTGACACACACAATCAATCAATCACATAAACTTATCTCCCCGATAACATGTTAATTAATAACGTACAGACCATCCATCAATCATTCGACTAAGTTTATATATATGGCATTGGCATCGTTTAGATCATCAACCACACCTTAATCAATCAATCAATCAATCAAATCAATCAGCTGATGACCGTCATCAATCAGGCGATACTCACTATAGATCACGTTCAAATAACATTATCTAGTTTATCACTCCCACCCTAGTGTTGATGTGACACACATCAACATCAACAACAACTATAACCATCCCCACGTTCACAGCGATCAATCAATCATATTATATCATACTTTGTCGACTATTGCCAAACGACCACTGCTACTGCGATGGAGGTAGGCAGTGCTCATAAGTGGATTACGCTCCCTACACCTCCTCACACACTTTTAACTCTGATTTAAAATATCCCCTATATGTCCTCCAGTGCCGTCCAGTCCAATCACACTCGATCCAGTCAAGACGTGGTTATATCTCGTGATTGATTGTGCACACTCATTCAACTTTAACACACATGGTACCAAAGATGGGATGTGAAGGAGAGTGAGTGCTAGAGAGACAGGCATGGCAGTTAGTTATGATGGATGCCTCGATGTACACTAGAGAGACGTCTTTACTATAAACCTACCACAACCCGTGTTGTCAACATTGCTTACAACATCATCTATCCACTCTCTCACACTTACTCACTCCAACTCATACTCGATGGACGGACAGATGACATCTGACCTGACTCTCAGGTGTCATTCAGACCTGTACCTGACATACACGGTATGATTGGTGGATTGATGGATGGATGAAGAGATGGAAGTATGGATGGATGTATAGTAGGAACATCGACACCTTCCAAACAACAACATCAACATCAACCAAATATACTTACTTACATCGACCCGTGACAAATAGTCGATTGTCTCTACTACTTTGATAAATATATATCATCTTCATCTTCCTACCTTTGCTCTGCTTTGCATTGTCTTGTCTCCAACATCAACCAATACCAACATCAACATCAACAACAACATCATCATCATCAACTCAACCAATTCAACTCAACTAATCCAATCTTCTCCAAATATTGAGATTGACCATCCATAACCACCTTCCATCATCATTCTCTCCCTCGTTCAGACACTACCCTTCTTTCGCTTCGGTGGTCCAACTACCATTCCGATCAGTTCCACGCACCATCTCATCTACTGCTTGTTCATATTCATCATATTTATTCCAATATCATTCATTCAATAACATTGTTTGTTTGATTGTACATTAATTTATTATTATTATTATTTCCATTATTCTCAACATATAGTTATATTACTATATTTAGATATATTCCAACTTCCAACACTTATCGATTCACTTTGGAACTACTCTGTACATTAACGCGCGCATCAATCAATTAATCAACGTAATCAATCAAAAATGTCACTATCTTTAAATGATATCAAATTCCCAATGCACTGGAACTTGGATCCGAATGAGTTCTCCTATGTAGAATATGTTTACCGTGAGGGATTGGAACTGGGCGTGTGGCGTCCAGATAATAAGCGCGACCAAATGGCCCATACCAATGTGGTCAGTTTATCGAGATACTTCTGGCCCAACGTTGACTTTGATCGTTTGGTAATGGGTGGAGAACTGATGTTATGGTTCTTCACATTCGACGATGGATTGGACGCTGGCATCTACGACGATCAGAAGAGTTTAGAACTTGTACGACGTATGGACATTGTATTCATGGATGGAATACTCCCTGAAGACCCAACGGGTCCAGAAAAAGTGGCACTTCGTCTTCGAAACAAGTGTCTGGCCATGTGTGGCAGGCGCAAAGACACCTTCAATCGATTCATAACCAGCTGTGTACAATGGGTGGATTCAATCATTCCCTTCAACAAAGTCAAGGTATGTGTTTGATTGATTGAGTGAGAGTGAGAGTGGTGGAATCATTCCAAGATTCTAACCCTCGCCCCCCCCCCCCCCCCC